CCACTTTTATTCCATTCCTACCACGTTCTATCCTAGTGCCGTAGTACATGAGGAACTCTAGTAGGGTTCTTTTTTACGCCCAACCTTACAGGCGATAGAGTTCTTTTTTTGTGACCGCCAATCAAAGCAAGTAAACTAAATATTGGTCATCCACTTTAGTCGAGTCAATCCATGTATAAGAGGACTAATATTGAAATATATATATATATAAGCCTGGTTAAGATTATCGCCAAAGAGCAAGTGCTTATTTGTGTAAGTAGGTGTTGCTGCACAAGGACACGGTGGAGTAACATGAAGTAGTTAGCTATCGCTAAGGGTTGCGCCTTTAGAGGCGGGGTTGAAGAAAGATGATGTCAGGAAGTGCCCGGCTAATATGTAAGTCGGTCTGACATACTTGTTTATCATATGCAGGCTATACCACGCGTGACTTGTTGCGTCCACTAACGAGTGCAGCTGCTCCCTGCTTGGTCTGATCAGAGACATCATTCCTCTGTGAGTCACAGACAATTAATATGCCTTAAATACCCCATTCCTGCCTAGAATCAAAAGCAATAGTCAACGCATAGGTTGAGTCCTGACGAATACATATTAAAACACATTTCTTTACATACTTCCGAACTAGGATTTGAAACCGGCCTTAGCCGCGAGTAAACCATGGATTCACCACGCCTGTATCACAAGCTTCCCTTCCCTGACAGTATTCGATTGCTCGAACTGAGCCAAAATGAAACGAAATACTCCATATGTGGCCATCTCGTATTGTCCAGACTCGAGGATACTCCATGCTTCGCAGCACTGTCATATGTCTGGGGCTGTGCATCGTCAGAGGATCCAATCCTCCAGGTAGACGGCTTCGAGCTCAAGATTCGGCAATCCTTAAAACATGCCATCGACGCCATTTTCTCTGGCTCAGACAAAATTTTGTTATGGATAGATCAAATTTGTATCGACCAAGAGAACTATATCGAACGACAGTTTCAAGTTACGCTTATGTCAAAGATTTTCAGACAAGCTCAGCGAGTAATATGCTGGCTAGGCCCTGACGACGAGAATACCAAAATCGCCTTTGATCTATCAACTGTCTTGGCGATTGAAGGATCCGACTTGGCGTCTGGGAAAGAGCCGATGCAAAGGCTGGTTGAAGCTGGGTTTATCCATGATATATCAGATCTGGTTAATCCAGCTAAAGTTCCATTATCCGCTTTGGCCTGGTTGGTCAAGAATACTTGGTTTGGCAGACTATGGATAGTGCAAGAGGTTGCACTCGCATCACAGCTTGAGTTTCGATGTGGTGGCTCAACTATTAATGGAGACATCTTTTTCGCCGCGATTAGGAGGGTATCCTCTTCCGTGCATAACCCACCTGCACCATTGGTGCTCGAGCCATTTCGTCATGCTGTTAGGTTGGGCCAGCTCAGAGCACAGATTGCAGATGCTATAAGCTGTTCATATCCACACCTGGCTCATACGTTCAGTACGTGGGACTGCACAAAAAATGAAGATCGATTGAATGCACTTTTCGGGTTGGCTTTCCCATACAACTCCGATTCAACATGGTTTCAACCACGATATGATCTGACTGGACCGGAGTTATATATCAAATTTGCAAAGGATTACATCAAAGAAACTGGCAACTTGGACATCCTTCACTTCTCAGGCTGCGGCGATTCAGAGAAATATTCACTCTACTATATTGGTGGTATCCCTGTGCTAGAACCTAGCCCTCCAGTGGATGACGTACCGTCATGGGTGCCTGACTGGCGCGTGCAATCGCGGCCGCTCGTGCTTCTGTCCGACCCTGGATATGATGTAAGATCTCATTTTACAGCAACCCTGTCGAAAGTGGACTATTTCTTTGATGAGAACGAACACAAACTGCATGTTCGTGCGCTTCTGGTAGATGAGATAGTTGCATGTGGCTACCCTTACTATCTATCCCTATGCCGAAACCTTCAGATCACTGAACATGGAATTTTCGAACAATGGCACGAACTAGCCAAAGACCGTCTGAACAGCGATACATTTGAGAACATGTTCTCGTCGACCTTGGTCATGGACGCAAGAATGATGCTTACTGAACGTGGAGCTCTGAACGTGAACCAAGACGAGATACCTACTTTATTCAAATATTGGCAGAAAATGATGAGAAATGACTCATTGTCCTATGATCCAGATGAGGCCCTACCGGTGATCGAGGGCTCTGCACGATATGGTTATGTTGCAGAGGAAGTCTGTCGCAACAGGGCAATGTTTATTACAAAAAGAGGTCGTTTAGGGTTGGGCTCAACACACGTCTCTCCTGGTGCGCACATATACTTACTTCATGGTCTGAAAACACCGTTCGTTGTTTTCAAGACTTCCCAAGGACATATACTGCGCGGGGAGTGTTATGTAAATGGCCTAATGGATCAACAAGTTCATACTTCAGAATCAGACATCTATATTGACTTGATTTAGATATTAGTTTATAATACTTAAGATATCAATGTTGAGCTTCGGGTTTGGGGTTTTCACCTACTACTACTCCCGTAACAAGGGCTGATAACAAAGTGCCAGATTACACGGGAATTTACCTGCGCATTAGTGGAGGTTCTCCCAAATTCTGGCAAGATTGATCAATCGTGCGCCACTTATTCTTTATTCTGATTGCAATTTTCCAACTGTGCACAATACCTTAACCTTACTCTAGAATACTAGATGGTAACGGGGCCCGTTACGGGTTTTGGGCCAATCAAAACTATTGAATTCGCCATGGGCTCCTCAAACTCGTAACGGTCCCCGTTACTGTTCGGGTCGTGTTTACAAAAACGCGGAACGGGGCCCGTTTCAGAACACGGTGATCCGTACCATCCTAATACTACAGTCCAAAATCAATTGTACAACAATTGATTTAATTTACCCCACTTTACAGGGGGTTGACTTGATTTTTGACAAGGGGTAGATTTGAATTTCGAAAAATGGACTAGCGTTGGGGTAAACTCGATTTTGACAGGGGTTGACTTGGATTTCTGATTGGTTCTTGGTTACACGTCAGGCAAGACAACACTTTAACAGCAGCGCATCGAGCTTTGAATACTATTTATCAACATCTATCACAATGAATGTGAGATCTAACCAACAATCTATTATTCTTTAGCTTGTTTCAAGAATATCCGTCAGACCATGGCACTCAAGCCCTCATCCCCATCAAACCAATTTTGACCCGACACACCGCTTCTTTGCTATTAACGACCTCGGTACGGACTCCATCCTTATTATCGATTCCAAGGATGATGCCTTCCAGGTCGTCAATATTATAAAGGTCTTGCCTGGCTGTGACCCTCGACATGGTGTCTTCTATCCCGAAGGAGTATTGTGGGCTACGCATTACATCGTCATCTGCGAAATCAGCGACCAATTATTAGTTTATACAGTGTTATACCGTGGTACCTATCTTGATCTCAAACTGATCCAGGGGATATCTACCTTCGGCCCTGGCTTTCCACCAGTTAACGCAGCCAGCGCTGCTGCTGGCGCTATCCTCTTAGCACCAAATAATAGAGATTTATAAATCTCGAATTGACAGACAGGCAACTCGACGGATTCTATTTCTCATTTCAAGATCATCTCGTTAAACGCCACCTATATCTCGCTAAACTTCGCAAGCTGTGCTTCCACTCATGATGAGCTTTAGTAGTGATGATCAATATGTACTTATTGCTAACCAAAAAGATGGATTCGGCCTTGTGGCTTTGGAGAGAAACAATAATGATATTCTTGGAGCAAACCCTGCGTCGGTTCTGGGTGCATCGGGCTTTAACCCACGATTCGTACAACAGATTGAACTTGATTAGAAGTAAAATTAGAAATCTATTATTTATTATGGTATAGCAAACATCTACGTCCCTGACTGCTAGAAGTTGAGCGATGTCGGCAACTTCTCGAGGAACTCAAGGAACCCAGGGGGGTCGCCTCCCGACAAGCGGTGAGGAAGCAGATGATCAGATTGTTGCAACATATAATGGGTAGAGCGGAGGTGATCGGATGGTGGATATAGAGTAATAGCAGTTATACAGTTGAGGTTGCCTCTAGGGTTAGGTGGTAGGTTGAGTTGCTGGTGGAGGTGCAGTCTCGCGTGATACAGGATTATTTGATCAGGTATTTACTGTATGGTGAGCTCAGTTCAAATTGGGGTTGGCTTCGGGAAAAGGTGTCAGGGACCTGCCGCAAAGAGCAAAGGTAGACAAGTTCCGGATCGAGAAGAAGCATAGACGTAAAATGTAACATGGAGCTGATTAAATAGAGGCTGCAGAGGGTATTCCTGAGAATTATTAAGGTCAAAGTTCGAATGAGGAAGGATGAGGACTTAGGGTGTGTTGGGAGGAAAGAGACTTTGTATATGATGCTGCTGAACAGTGTTGATGCTGTGTAGGTGCTGTGTCGAGGAAAAGTGGGGCTCGATTCACAAACAACCCGATCAACTACACAACACCAAGGAATTTGGATTGCAATGCAGACTTGCTTCCCTCTTCTCTCTTCACCACCTCTCGTCATTTATTCTCCCTCGTTCAATTGAGGCAGTTATTTCCCGTGGTCTGCGCTAATTCCCTTAATTTTGAGCTGTTTCTTGTTGTCCAATAAAACCATTTTCATGCGTTTATGTTAGTTGATGCCTGAGGCCTAAATATTAGTCATCTCCTCGTCGGCGCAACAGGGGCAAGACTTTGTCCAGCCAATTATAGACAGCAACCAGCCACGTATTCCCCATCACGCTAATCCTGTTTCTCTCTTCTCCTCTTTCAATATGACTAAATCCATTTCTGCCTCCTTTGAACCATCAATGACAATTATCAACACAGCATAACACAACACAACACGTCCAAAGCCCGGTGAATCGTTGCTACAGGCCGCATAAAATTCCGAATTGTACCCATCGAACGAGCACGCCCGCATTACGTGTGTGGCTCCTTTGCTGGAACAACCGGGGACTGTAGAAGGGACCTGGCTCAGTTCTGCCAGCTATGCTCTGGAGGACTGACAACTGGTCTGCCAGCTTTGCTCTGGAGGCCAACGGGTCGCCTGTCGACGAAGCTGGTTCTCTTTGGTCTGTCTTGTGTGGTGACGCGACGTGTTATTGCGGCGTGAGCAGGTAAGTCTGCTCAGCTTCCCGTCCCACTAACCGCGTCATTTCGTCACAGCCATAGACAGATATGCCCGACATTGGTATCCATAACACGACGCCTGCTGTCATCGGATGGCAGCGGAACAATGCACTCCATTTCTTGACCGAGCCCGACCCCAATTACAATAACATTACCCTCACGACGCGCTTTGACACGACGTGCTCATTCTTCGAATTGAGCGTGCCAATCAAGATAAAGGGCATCAGGCTGAAGGATGACAAGGCTCTGGACAACAGCATCTCAGCGCTGCTTCTTCGTATATGCCCGTCTATCGTCAAATCCTTGTCCCTCACCTCCATCGCAACGGCCCCCGAAGCGATACGAAAGAAGTTCACATCTGCTATTTTGCGACTTGACCTCGGACTTGGTCGAAACCTTGACATCGTTGTCCCCTCCAACGCCGAGGAGCCAATCGTCCCAGGTCGCGCTGCATCAGGAGTGGTCCTTGATGCTATCCGGCAATTCTCCAATACTACCTCCCTGTCCATCTACGTCCAAGATTCTGAGCTGTTTAATACGAAGCTGCAGTCCATCAGCAACGCATTCAGCCAGGGTCTCTACAAGTCAGCTCGCAGTGCGCAACATGACCTTGTAAGCCTCTATGGCGGTCGAGGAGCCAAGATGATCCATCTCTCGGCCGAGACTGGACAACTCCCTCCGCCTTATACCGAGTCCACATCTCCGCCACCAAGTGCTTCCACCTATCAACAGAAGCGACCTCGCCAAGATTCTCACGATGACCGCGATAATGCCATGTCCCAGATCTGGGCTGTGCTGGCAAAGATGAAGGAGCGTGACGCAAGAATGGAGGCATTGGAAAATGAGAATCGACGTCTGAAGCAAGGCATGGAAGAGCTTCAAGAGCGCCTTGCACTTCTAGAAACGCAGAAAGACGATGAGAGACGTGTGGAGAGCCAGACTGCTGAGAACGCCGCCGAGTTAGTAAACATCGATCTCGAATTGATGGAGATCCGGCAGGATGTCGACGAGTTGAAGATGAAGGCTGATGCTGTTGAAAGAGGCGAGTTAGTGGACACGGTTAAGAACGATGTCCTCGAATACATGAGGATACGTCTCTGGGGCGACGGCTGAAGCAGTAATTCGCTGTCAGCTTCCGTGCACAATGTCCGATCCAACTAGGCATGCTTTTGATGGCTGATATGGATCAACAACTAACGTCATGGCCGGAACCAGTACATGCCAACCTCTCTACCATACTAGATGACGATGCTCTCCTAGGAACAAGAGCTAGAAGTCACCAACTGCGCAGGGCAAGGCGTTGCTTAGCGTTGGTCGGATGATTGGATCAACAGCCAGTATGCGAGCATCCATCGTATCACTACTTTGCCAATGCTCCATGCAACAGTAAGTGGTTGGTACATCAACGACACAAATACAGGTTAGACATATCAGGTCGCCCTTTGAACCTGTGTCAACTAACAAGGACAGATACGGCTGTGCTCGGCTTACAATGGGATCTATCGGACACCACGTCATATCAGCTGGCAATGATCCAAGTCACACAACAGGAGAGGCAGAGATAGTCAAGAAAGGCAAGGACCAAAGAATCCAATACCAGGCTTCAATCCACGTGGTTTAGCATCACTGTCTTTTAGATCGCTGTTACGGTCGAGCTGGGCCTACAGTTATGATATGTCATGTAATCGGTTCACTTGATCTTGGTAAATAAAGGAAACGTGTTTGCATGTATATGCGTCTATTTGTGATAAATTCATACTGCGCCTGCCAATTGTTTGTTGTTCCTGTCATTTTGTTCTGCTGTATTGCTCTTGGAACTGTACCTTGTGTGCTCACCCCAAAGAATGGCCCAAATACCGTTTGATGACAGATCAACACATGGTTTTAAACGTGGCAGCATGTGCCATAGTTGCTTGCTCTACCTCGGGCTATTGTGAGCAGTTGATATGCTGCCTGAAGTGTGTTTTGAGAAGTGTTATGTAGAGTTGATTTTGGCCAAGAGCTGACGCAGACCGCGCGCCTTACCTCGAATCTGGCCAGGAGTGGATCAACAGACCCGCATAGGTTCGAGACATAGGACATGCGAATCGGGCTCCCCCCAGGCTTGGGGGTCTTAGTGGAATTCGCGCGGGCAGTCGACAGAGGCATTTTATTTTGTCAAAATTCAACCACAACGATACATCTAGCGATATGTATATAAGCCGATAGAGAATAAAGCAATTAATCGATAAATCTCCATAAAACCATTTTTTATTCATCGTTGGCTAAAAAACACGGGAAAAGAAAGCATCTAACTCGGTGTCGAGACGAAAACATGGTCTGAGCTCAGAGGCTGCTTACGAAATATCGTTACACCCTGGTCGCTTGGTCTGGAGCTCAAACCAATGAAAGGAGGGCTTGGACCGGACGGTATCCTTGTTGACTCCACAGTGGTTTCCTGAAACAGCTAGCTGAACTGAGTATGAACAGGGGCGGGTCGATACGCTGATCGTCTATCATGACTTAAGCCAATGATAGCATGTCTTGGGCCGGACGGTATCCTGGTAGGCTCCACAACGATATCCTAAACAAGGTAAGTTTAGTTTTGCCCATAGAACTGGCCGAGCGAGTAGTCAAGCAAGCACTGTCAAGACTAAACGACCGAGACATCATTGTATTGCGGACAACCTAGACTTATCACTCAACATAGCATGAATTCAAGATGCAATAAATATGATTTTGAGGGGCCACTTGGTTCATTAAGAGATTATCATGTATCCTTCGTCACCGAGTTTACTTTTCTACTGCGATTGCTTGTCGCGATTGTTCTTTGCTCCTACCCTAGATCGCCGTATTTTACCTGGCGGCCCTGACCTGACAACAAGTGCCGGGTTGACCTCTTATTTGCTTTTTCCCCATCAGCTCGCAAACTCTCAACAGGCGCTTCTGTCCCTCCGAAACCAGTAATCATTTCTCAACCCTGTCAGCCGATCCAATTATGTATTGAGTCTCGTAATTAAGCTCGCCCCTTTACTAGGTATGTTAAAGAATACGCATCGCACCGACGCGTAGAAGGAGATCAAAAGTGAAGATGACCAAAACACCGCCGGAAGCAGAGGGAGAGAGAGAAAGTCTTGACGAACCTACCAATCCGGGAGCGTGCAATTTGTTCTGCCATATCCTCTCGAGATCCTTCGCGCCCTGAGATCATGCTGCCTCCATCGGTTTCGGTCGAGTCCAAGAAGCAGAAAGAACGGGATCGTGGTAGAAAACGGCGCCAACAGTTGCGTCGGCAGGGTCAAGCGCGGCAACTCCGAGAAGTTGACAGCCATGAAACCATCCGGCTAGTGAGTCAGGTCCATGACGTGGAGGATGATGTTACCAGCCGTGAGTTGGACTTACCAATCCAAGATATCTCTTCCTACTCTCAAACTCGCGGTCCCGTATCTTGTTAGATCGTCCACACGAGCACTCCCATCGAGGCCATCCTGCCACCTTGTCGACCAGTATTCAGCACCTCCTACCAGAGACCTCTACTTTTCGAGATTCCTCCGTCAGCAACTATACTCCTCCACGATTTTGTCCCCCTACAGCTGTGTCGTCGGGCCCTCCAGTGACGCGTTCTCCGAGAGATATAAGACGAACGAGGGGTGCGTTTGAAGCCGTCACTGATTCAACAAGTGCGGGAGAACCGTTGATGCAAGGGTCATCCGAGACTGCAGCTACCGCCGTGTCCGGTCTTTCGGATGCAACCGAAGAGGTGCAAGCAACAGCGGGTCGTCCACGAAGAGACCCAGCCTTGTCGGAACGTGAACTCACACGACTCCGCGTCCGAGCCTATCGAGCCCGTCAACATCCGTCCAGGATTCTACAGACTGCCCAACCCCAGGATAATACCCTTTTTTCAAACCGGATTGATTCAGAAAACCAGTGTTCTGCTCAGGGTAATCCATGTTCTCCACAGAACGAGCCGACTTTGCCTGTTCGTTTCCATCAAGGTGACGACGCACAACAGGCAACAAGTGACTGGAGACGAATTAATTCGAGCTCTCCGGCCTCTTCGAGGACCTCGGCCTCGGACTTTGCTCTCGCTCCGCTTGATATTAATGATCACTACCACATAGCGGGCGATCATTACCGTTCGCTTTCACCCGACCGCTTGATAAGGGAGAACCCAACATTCCCAGCCGCCGACCGAATACAGGTGGGCCTTCCATACCTTAATAGCTTTATTGAGGCTCTTCAGGCTCTGGAGACACGGAGTGGCCTTGACTTTCTTGAGTCGCAAACCACGACCTATGATCGTATCTTCAAAACATTGTTTACTGCCGAGTGTCACTGTAAGTCTGTTCCTCCACCGCATCGTGTATGTTTAATCACATCATCTGATAGGAGGCTTCCTCAGGTTCAGGTTCGCATAAGACTCATGATCTTGCACGGTCTCATAGCCTTCAAGAAAGGGCGCGGTTCCTCCAAAATTCATTGCCACTGCTCACGACTGTCTTCGACGAGCGCTTTGCCTATAAAGCCATTAAATACCTTCACCAATGGAAGGAATTTCTTTCTGATGAACCTGCTGAGCCTTTATCTTTCCACAAAACCGAAGCTACTCTGGAGCGTGGTCCAGCCCATGTCAAACGGCAGTGGGACGTCGATAGTATTTGGTTCGGGCCCAAGAGCCTGCAGGCTGTCCACAAACCCGGCATTTTCCGCTTATCTTTTATGCCGCCGTTAACGCAATCTGTCCACGGATCAGGTAATCCGGCCGCAACCACGTTATAATACTTTATATATTAAATAGTTCTTATTTTATTTAATTATTTATTTTAAAAATTATTAATAATAAGCTTAATAAACTTTAATAAATTATTTTAGCTTTTTTATATTAAATTTAATAAAACAGCAAATATTATATTTTATATTTCAGTTATATTACTAACTAATATATCTTTAAGAAAAAGGGAACTTATTACTTAATTAATAGTAAATCTAAATATTATTACTTATTATTTTTACTGTAATATAATAGGGTTTATAATAGTAGACTTGTTTATAGGTTCGCCAAACATCATCCCGTATACATAGACCTCTCCAATTAGCCAAAATTTGTCTGGTCTCTCTTGCAGTGGCCGAATAATATACGGTACTTTCCCCCTAAGGAAGATACAAATTTGATCACCTTTTTTGGTATTGTAGGGTGCTAATCCCACGTGCCCAGACTCTAACAGAATTGGGACTCGTGTATTTAGCAAGCGTAGCCGTGTCGTGTACCAGTGAGAAGACAGCCAACTATCCCAGTCGTAATCGCCAGTCAACCCTTTCGTTATATGTTCGTCTCTCTGAGGCTCCACGACGCTACTGTCTGTTGGAGACATGGCGCCTTTCAAATAATCCATCACCTCTCGCCAACCTTGGATACAGTTCTGAAACTCCTTCTGAACTTTTGTATTATCATAGGCGGCCGCGATGGCTATGTGTGCAGCCGCTATCTCCACCTCATCTGACGTCAATTGCTGGGACCTGATGCAAAATGCTTGAACCTCCTGTAGATAAGCAATTGTTTGGGATAAATCCAGAGAACCAAGCCAATCAGGATTCCATACCGAACCACATTGTGCAATCGTGCCAATTATCGCCCCTTTGAGCTGTATGGTGTGCTCATCGAGCGACGTTACGCATTGTTGGGAAGCCATGCTTGCAGATGCGCAAAAAGCTATTCGACCACGGAGGCCCAGTACAAGGCGAACGTATCTGAATACGCCAATCCGGAGTCCATGTTGGCATGTCAAGCGACAGCTTTGGGAATTGACAGTATGCGAGAAGGTCAATATGTCCTTGTTTCAAAATGACCAGCGCAACTTCGCGATATATCTCTTCGCACGACCGGGAGTAGTCTACTATGTTAACGAATTCAACGGCGTCCTGGGCTAGATGCAGAATTGAGAATACTCTGTCCAGCGGGTTGGTTGCTTGGGGATGATTGTAGTCGTGCTCTAGGACTAGTGTAGTAACTAGCACGCAAAAGAGAGTGTCGCTGTCGATGTCTCCATCTTGACGCGCCCAGTATCGGCACCGCCTGGTTACGACGCCTTCCATAAAGCTCGTCGCTGACGTCAAATAGGTACGAGGCATACTGTCGTCGAGAACATTACTAGTCTTTCCCCGGGATCTTGTATGATGACCCTCTAAGAGCTGATTAATATAGGCGAGTAATGCTTGGAGATTCCAATCCCATATCATCATCTCACCACATGCAATACGCAGGCTACTGCCGACAGCGAACTCTTGAATGATCCAGAGTCTCTTCCAGTATTCCCGTTCGCAGAGAGAACGAAAAGCACGGCTGATGGCTTGTAACCCTTCTTTATTCGAATGAGCAGCGAGAATGCTGCCGTGATCGTCTGCCCAAATTGCCTCCCCGATTTTCTCGATGTGTTTCAGAAGCATATCGCTATCGTCTGCGGCAGGTCCAAGCCAAGCTATGACAAGCCTTGCTTCGCTGTAAATACTTTTCATCTGCTGCACTTGGTCGCTCTTCTCGGCGTTGTCTTGTTGGTTGATGCACACCTGATCCACCCAGGCGAACGTGTCGGTATCCTCAACCAGGAGTTGCCGGAGGACTTGCTCGACCGTACAGCTAACTTCGTATATCTGGCCTCCAATTGCCAGTCGGGAGCTTGTTGTGCTTTTGCCCCAAGCGTAGGATACAGCTGTATATGGTGGGCAGCGACCACGGGAAAAGGAAACTAGTTCACAAACGACAAGGTCTGCACTTATCCCGGCAGGTCGACGGCAGGATCGTGACATTAACCTAATTAGTCGTATGGCATTCGTACCCGTTGGGAGAGGCACATAATTCATATCATGTAGGGGTCGAATTCGAGCGACCATCTCGAACGGTAGGACTCAGGTTGTTGGTGAAGGGGGAGTTTTATTTTCTATTTTTGTTCCGATCATGTCCTTCTGAGGCTGCCTAATATGAAATCCCGTGACCAGGAGCGTAAGGCTTTAAATGCGGGGTAGGCATGGCAACACCATAATCTTTACCTCGTAGTAAAACAACCAAAACTCCACAATGGAGAGCCTATCGACCGCCGCATCTATAATGGGCATTATTTCCATTTCATTTGAATACTCTCGTATCAAAATCTCCTATGATTGCCTCAAGGTGAAAGATGAAAGTTTTGGGAGTATGGCCAAACTCAAGCCGACAATCAAAAGGGTACACGATAGCCTTTCCAATCTCACCTCGTCAATGGAAAGACTATGCGATATCCTTCAGATGCTCAAGATCAAGCCACGAAATGCCATGTGTCCGCTGCCAGTAGAAGAAGAGCTAGCGGTTGGCGAGTGTGCTTCCGACCTGATAAAACTTGAAAGTCTGGTACGAAGGATACAGCAAGAAACGCCCGATACGGGGAATACTTTACGCAATACTTGGCGGGGATATCCAATGGTTCTGAGAGAAGAGCATGTCGAGGAAATGCTGGCTATTTTGGAGACCCATATCAATGCCTTGGAGCCTTTGGCTCGCATGCCTTCTAGGTATGCCCTCCTCCAACTACAATGTTGTTAGTGGCAGTCTAACTGTGTCCTTATACAGCGTCAGCCAACCGAGAAGTTCTGAGCATTTCACTTGTGTGTCAGAAAGGTTGATGGACGAAATGGGTTCGGCAAACTTTATACCCGTATGGGACCCCCCCACCCCAAACTCGGTCCGTCTTCGAGACGATGAAGGCCGAAAGGTTCTGGCCAGTGATGAACAAGACGGGTTTTCCAGCCGCGTGAAGAACGCAATGCAGCGATTGCATGATGAAGACATTACATTTTCCAGACTACAATTATATAACCTGTTGTGTCTCCTTAGGGAAATAAACGGTCTGAAGGAAGACGAGGAGGAAACCGATATCCAGGGGGAAACCGATATCCAGGGGGAAACCGATATCCAGGGGGAAACCGATATCCAGGGGGAAACCGATATCCAGGGGGAAACCGATATCCAGGGGGAAACCGATAACCAGGACGAAACCGATAGCCAGGACGAAACAGAATACAAGGCTTTCAGAAGGCAAAGTCATATATGCGCGCGACGGCTAGCGAACCTTGCGAAAACAAAACTATCAAGGTCCCGCCCATCGATGGAGGCAAGGAACATCATCCTGACCTTAAAAGAATTCATCTCGGAAGTAGAAACAAGGTCGGATCCACAAAATCACAACCCCGTGTCCTTAACAGGGAAACGGAAGGCTGAAGCGGGATCTGGGAGTGAAATTCCTAGTCATGGGAATGATTCGCACAATTTCAAGAGGGCTAGACGCATGAGTGTACGGTATTGGTGGCCGTCTATGACGACGCGGAAATCAACAGTGAAAATCCAGGAGTGTGGGCGTCTTGCAGTTGAAGATGGCACGAATATATGCTAGAAATACAAGGTTGGACTTAACTATTAATGCCTCTGTTTTTAGTAATCGTGGACACGCTGCTCTTATGTTTCTGACGCCACCGCTCAGTTGTCAGTTCACGCCACTGGATCCAGGCCATACCTCGCAGGGACTAACTCTAATTGGCTCCCCGCAAATCTAAAATTTAGCTTATCGCCTTGTCGGCTTCAATACGGCGATACGGCGGGGTTCCTACATTGTTTGAGCCGTGATCGGCAATTAGTTCGATTTATTGGCCAAGATGAATTGGGCCCGTCACTCGGTTTATAGCGACTATAGCAACAACAACAGGACTTTCCATTATTACGAGATGGAGCTAACATAGCCTTTCCACTGGCTATACACCGGGGCGGACCGGTATAGATTAGAGAAATGTAACGTTGAGAGGTGGCGCGGGAGCTGTTCATTTCGACCTTTCAGCTCCCCACTCTTGAATCTTGGCATCTGGTCAGGTCATAGTTAACAGGTGCCAAGTGGCACACGATTTGTAATCGAGCTTGCTGCCTCCCTTAGTCCTACATGTCTTATTACCCCGCCCTTCCCGGGCCTCAATCAAAGACGGGGTTGATAGCTTCCAAGGGTCAGACAGCACAATTCAGGGATGAGTGCAGAGGTTCTGGTAGTCGCGGCCTGTTGCTTTGTTATCTGCGGGGGTTGAAAATATGCAGCTGCTTCCCTTTCATCCATGCCTGGCGCAACCATGCAGCCAACAAATATATTTTAACGAATCATAATGTGACTGCACTGCTCTCAAAAAGAAGAAAAAAGAGACAATATGAACATATCTACGCCACGTAAGAGATTGCAATAGTACGGACTAATGATCGTTATATTTTATATCAATAACAGGGATTCTTTCTTCTGATATGCCGCATGCCACTTCTCGCACCTCATCTGTTGTTTCTCCTTATACGTTATTTTCTCGCAAATGGATACGCTTCCGTTCGTCCGATGAGGCTGACGTGCCAGTTTTCTGTATTCGAGCCAACAAGAACCTGCAGGTAGAAGGCCTCATTATGAATATCGCTAATTCTGAATTGCTAGCCGCACCAATTGGTGAGCCTCTGAATGATTTTATTTTCGTCGGATCATCGGCAGGCCCTGCCGTCCGAAGTTTGGTTGGTTAGCTGCCATGGAACCATCGGTGATCTCCCAATAAACAAGGAAGCAAGACTTACCCCAGTAGACCCTGTGCGCCTATTTTCTGCAGACGAAGACCCATATCGCCCAAATTTTCTCAGGCTGCAACTCTCTCTCCGTAGACACTGGTACGGACACCTGGCGACCCGAATTATGCGTGGCATGCACGGACCATCAAATCGTGTATCAGGACCTGATACGCGGGGTAATTGGTACAATACAATACAATTTATTACGCCCGGCGGCTTATTTTGGCCGATAGGGCACTAGTCACTAATTCGTACGTACCTTGCCTAGTTTTCGTCCTCGCCTCCCCAAGCCCATGCTGTGCTACACGTTGCTCAATCTGTGTCCGCATTTCCTAAAGCCCAGACTGTACCTTGCTTTTCACCATATGAATTGAAATAGGTCTCCTCAAGCCCATAATGCGCCTGTTCCTCGATTGTGCTTTTTCCTTCTACCCTATTGCTCCCTGCGTTTTCCCGTGATTTACTAGCATAGCCAGCGAACTAGCTTGAAGGCTATTCTTCAAGTGTTCAACGTCCTATCTACGGCGGCTGAAGCGACGTCCGCTTTTATAAGACGGGGTGTTTGGTGTTTAGTGTAAGTAGGTTAGTAAGAATAAGTGGGTGTGATTCTTGCAATCTGGTTTCAGTATTGTGTGTCGAGTCGGCCTGTGGCCATTGCAAATCGTATAGTTGCATGGACTGCCTGCATGTTTGGCGTCCACTTGGCGTCATCTGATGGTGATTTTCCTCCTAGGTAGAACGAGAGATTTCCTCTCAATGTCTCCGTGCACTGCAACATTTCAGTCCTATGCGCTGTCCATTTTGTGCATCGAAAGAGAAAGTGCTCTACTGTCTCTATCGCTTGCCCGCATACGCATTGCTGTGACGCTGCTACGCTGATCCGGAAGAGGTACCCGTTCAGTCTGGCCATGCCTGTCCTAAGCTGTGATAGCACGCTGGCTTCTCTCCTTGATAAGTCATCATAGAGCAGTCGGGTGTGCTTGCCTGGGAGCGCAGCATCAACCTTCTTTGAAAACTTCCCAACATTGTCTAGTAGCCGTTTGCTTGCACGCTGACTCGATCGGGCTATGTTCAGGGTCGTCGATCGCATTCGGGGAAACTTCCGAGCCGGGACGGCACCGTCTTGGCTCGCACTTCGCGCCTCATTCTTAGCCATTTCCAGGAGCCTGTGTTCAGCACTGATGGGCATCCATACGACAGCCACCACGTTTCCCTTGAGCCTCAATACATTGATGGAATCATATATGCATCCAACATACTCTTGACCGGACTGCTGGCGAGGGTTTCGGACCGTGAGCACGGCGGCTTTGTTGCTCGCCAACAGTGCCACGCTTCGATACTCAAGGTCGGGTAAGTGTCTCAACGTGTAAGCCATCGCTGCTAGTTGTCCGGAAAATGGGTTCTGCTCCGTCCTCATGCCGAGCGTGAAGGAAAAGCGCTCAAGCTTCGGTCCTCCTCGCACCGAGGCAGGGATCTCGATGACCCCGCCGACTCCGACTACCCCATTCCGCGCCGAACTGCTCACTGCAGCACGTACCGCCCATCCTAGGGGTCTGCTTGCGTTGTCCCTGAACTATCCCCTTCATCCACTATAGTTTGCACCCGTTCTACCCAGGGTGCCAACGTGAAAGGGTTGATCGTTTCTAGTTCTTCCATTGGGATCTCATTGAGTGCCACTGCTACCTCGTAGAATGGCGAGCGATTGTACCTTCTGAATTTTCGGATACGAGATGTAGCATTTCGGAGTGGGTTAGTTGCTGGCAGGGTGTGTAGATCAGTCCACATCTTGATTGCTCGTCTCCAGAACCGTTCATGTGCGCTAGCGATATGCGCCTCTGCTTCTGCTACGCTTGTTGCCACCGTGAGGAACGTCCCCACGATTGTATTTGCTCCGATCCTCTGAACCCGATTGATGGGGCTGGCTCTTCTATACTTGCATGCGTGCATCCAGACGTTTGAGGCATAATCCACGACTGGAGCCACCGTGGCTGTAAACAGCTGTCTTGCTGTTCTTGGGGTAAGACCCCTGAGCCTTTGCAGCTCCATCGCAGCTTTCAAGCCCTTGGTTGCTGCTCGCGCAATATGTTCTTTGTATTTGAGGCCAGAATCCATGATCAACCCGAGAACCTTGACCTGGGTCTTGGGACGAACAAGCTGTCCCCTGATCGTAAAAGGCTCCGAGTCGGACTTGTATGCTTTTCGAGTAAAGTGTATAATCGCCGTCTTTTCTGTCTCGAAGGTTGCACCACTTCTCCTTTCCCAGTCCAGCGCCTTCTTGATTATGCTTTTAATCCCATCGCAGTTGCTTTCTGCTGTTGGACCCGTGACCCAGGCCGTGAAGTCATCCACAAATGCTATCGCTCCCCCATAACAATCAATGCGTTGCTGTACGAGGTCTGAATTAAAGAAAAGGAATAGAATTGGAGACAGAGGTGAGCCTTGTGGCAGCCCAGCTTGCGGCAAACTTTGCATCTCGGATGTCTGTCCGTTAACCTGAATAGTCGCTGTGCGATCCGAGCAAAAGGCTTCGATCCAGCGAAGCAGATCTTCTGGTATGCCCCTTGCTCTCAGTCTTTGGATAAGTCTCTCCTTGCATACTCCGTTATAGGCTCCTTTAATGTCAAAGCTCACCAGGCTAAGGATCCGCCGTCCCCGCCAGGCGGCGTAGATCTGCTCTTGCAGCAGCATCAGGGCCTGCTCAGCGGAACGCTGCTTGCGAGCTCCAAAGTGGTTTGTTGGCAGTAATCCGTGTGTCTCAACAGCGTGCGAGATCCGTTCCGCGACAACTGCCTCTAGTACTTTGCCTAGGGTAGATAGGAGCGATATGGGCCTCCACGCCTTTGCGATCGAATAGTTTTCTTTATTTGGCTTCTTCAGTGGAATAATCTTAGCATGTCTCCATTGATTCGGCAGCACTCCTTCTTCTAGCGATGCACGAAACAGCGAGAAGACTCGGTGCTTAACAGAGGGCCAGATCTCTTTCCAGACTGCTGCGGGTAGTCCGTCCTCGCCAGGTGCTTTCCACGCCTTTGCCGAGAAGAGCTGTCGCTCTACCTCCTCCATGGTAACGTCTGGCATGACGATGGCGGCTCCGCGCTGAGGTCGCTCCCCTTCCTCTTCGATGTGTTCCGGCAGTGGAGGGAAAAAGTTGGCTAACATCTCCTCGGCTTGTTCAAAGCTGTTGGTTGTGCGGGTGCCGTCAGCCCTTGTGAGTTGGGGTACTTTGCCAAATGCTGTATCATCTCCAGACTTGAGATACTTTGCCGCCTTCCATATGTTGTCGTTATCTGCTAGAAACTCGTTCCAGTGCGTCTTTTTCTGCTGTCTGATAGCATCATGATACTGTTTTGCTGCTCCCCTGGCCGTCTCCTCAAGCTCCTGACATGCCGATCCTGCTCGCCTCAATGCTCTGGTGCGATTCCTCCAGTGTGTGTATATCTGCCGGAGTTGCGTAAGGTCTGAGGTCCACCAGCGTTTTGCATAGGGTGACGGCTTAGCTCTGGGTGTCAGAGCGCGAACCGCCTCTAGCACCACTGCCATAAGCCTGTCAGTCTTCTGCTGTACGGTACCTTCCTCCAGGGTGGACTCTAATGCTGCGGCAATTCGAACGTTGATTTCCTTCCATGGTGCGTTCTTGAGTAAGAGCCGTTCTTGAACTTGGGGCACCGGGACGGAGACGTCGAACTCCGTCTCAATAGCACGATGATCGGACCCGTGCTCTGTACCGTGTATCATACACTTGACAGTCGAAGACGCTAGGTCCGCGGAAGCGAGGACCAGGTCGACTGTCGTCTCAAAATCTCCACCGCTCCACGTCTTCGTTCCTCTCGGGAGCAGGCTCATAAGTTCAAACTCATTCATAAGATTGATGATCTGATCCGCTTCGCCTTGCCTCGTCAAGCATATGTCGTCTCCTCCCCATAGCTGGTCGTGCCGGTTGAAGTCTCCAACAACTACCACGTCCACCAGTCTACCGGCTTGTCCTCTTACGTCTGAGATGACCTGGCGCAAAGCGTTGCAAGTGCCTTGTAAAGCTTGGGTGTCTCCTCCTGGCACATAAACCGAAACAACCAGAACCAGCCGCTCAGGGAGTCGCAAGATGGCTGCCGTCATATCCGCTGTCTCAATCGGTATCTGCTCTGCCTCCACATCCTTGTTTACCCATAACATGCTTCGGATCGGCCATCGGCCCTCTCTCCAAATCGTGGGGACTATCTTAACCCATCTGGGGTGCCCCATAGGGACAGTTAGTAGCTTGACGTCCTTTTGGTGTGCCTGGGGCTCTTGGATCGCTATCACTGTATATTCTTGTAGTTGCTTATCGTTCATGAGGCTCTCATGTACCATATCCTGCTTTCTCACATTCAGTTGAATCACCTGCAGCGACTTACTCATGCCGCCTAGGGTGAAGTTTTAGGCAATTTCTGCTGAATGACTCATGCGGACCGCTGCAGAGAGCGCAGGTAATTGGTACAGTAGGGTATGGAAAGTAGTTTTGGTCAGCTCCCTACGCCCATGTCTAGTCACCTTTTTCATGATGTCTCACCGATGAAGTACACTATTCTATAATAGGAAATGTAACGCTTGATCGCGAGCCACCGTATGGCAACATACTATGACATGCCGCGACAGCAATATTAATCCAAAAATAATAAAGCTTGGTCTTTAATGATCTCTAGACCAGGAAGTTATATTACAGAGCCAAGTTCGACTAGATTATTGGGGGCAGCGTTGAAAACCTAACCTGCAAATGCCTACTGGAGTCGAAGTTGCTCTGAGCAGATGCAGCCTAATTGCTGCAGGAATGGGGCAGTCGACAGCATCTTCACCCAGTCATTCTCGTTGTCCGATGGTGAGGCAACCACATCAAACGAGAGCGGAGGCGATTTCATAGGACGTCGATGGTTACACTGCTGGCCTTAAACGTTGCAGAGTCTTGTATTCGGAATTTCCAATTGCTACGACTACCTATGCAATAATTCTGCCTAGTGTCGAAATCGGGCTGAAACATTGTCGGCTGCCGGGGTGTGATATGTGAGTTCATCATATGGAATTGAACTATTAGCCGAAAAAAGCCGCCGGGCGGAATAACGTACACGATAAGCATGTGGCACAGCATACTGTGCAGCTAGGAATAACTTACCCTATAGAAATTTATTTCTTAAATAAAATAGCTAAAAATCTAAAAAAATTATTTTTAAAGATAGTATAGCTAGCTTAGTAAAGAAATATTTTTATAAAATTTTAATTTATTTTATTTTATATAAAAAACCTTAAAATACAGTGTAATATACAGTGTAAATAGATTTTAAAGTTTATAGCTATATAGAATTTCTTTAAAAATCTAGAAAAATTAGTATAGCTTATTTTAAGACTTATATATAAGCTATTAAAATCTTAGCTATTTTAAGCTTAATTTTAATTTTAAAGAATTATTTAAAAACCCGCCTTTAAGGTGACAAGTGGGGTGTGCCACATACTTGTCTGTGCCACATGCTTATCGTGTACGTTATAGGAGTTTAGTATAGTGCCATTATATTATAGGTTAATTTACCTTTTTTATACCCTATAATTTATCTTTTCCTAGAGTAATAGAAAAGTTACCCTTCCCATAATTAGATTTATTTAAAAATAAAGTATATATTATATAGCTATTTAATTAAACAGGTAAGCCTCTTTTTTATATTAACCCTGGTATTATTACTAAGATATTAATATAACCCTGAGATTAATTTAGATTTTAATATAATAGACCCCTGACCTAAGCTTACTATATCTGCTCTAGCTGCTTTATTAGCTTAGGCTAATTATACTTTGATATTTTATTAATTAGCAGTTTGCCTTTAACTTTTATTATTTATTCTAATATAAATTATCTAATTAGATAAAAAACTCCTAAAAATATATTCCCTTTATTTTAATATATCTCTAATAAGTTAATTAAGCTTATTAGTTAATATCTTATTATAATTTTATTTATTATTATCTGTTTTTATTTAGTGTTACGACCCTCGCGGTTACGTCACATATACCCCATAAAATTCCCTACTTCTTTCACTAATCACATAAGGACCAAAGGATTCCTTTTTAGTCCTCTAGCTTCAACTAACTACAATAGGATTAAAGCATTAAGATATTAGTCCTTAAGGAAATACTATTAAGTACTTTATAACCATTAGTATATAAACTATATTTATTTACACTTTTATAAACTTAAGCTTACTAGCTATTAATAAAACTTCTTTATATTAATTAAGCCTAATATATATTAAATCTACTATTAAGAGATATAATACTTAATAAGCTTAGTAATATGCCCTATGTAATCTACTAATAATAAACCTAGTATAGCTAGTTTAATATAATTAGACCTAACTATTATATATTAATAACTCTTATTTAAATTATACTATATAATACTAAGTAATATAAATATAATAATAACTAAGTATAGAGGGGCTTAATCTCCTAGCTAGGGGGTCTTTTAATAGCTTAAGAGCTTTCCTTCTTTATAAATTCTTATATAAATTAATATACTAAGCTATATATAAATTTATATAATAGAGATCTTTTCCTAAGCTAGGAGTTTTAACTATTTAATAAGTAGGTTATTCTAGCTATTAACTATAGTATTTTTAAATAAGTAATAAATCTAGCTATTAATATATTTAATTTATCTCTAAAGTAGTAATTTAAATATAAAAAGCTAAAAAAGATTAAGTGGTATATTAGGTAAATAACTAATATAAAAATTATAAGGTTATATAATAAAAGGGCTAAAGTTAAAGCCGCGGGCCTTATTAGGCAGAAAATCATTAGCCCTGGTATGATCCTTAGGGCCTATGCGCGAGCCCTTGTATTCCTTGCAGAAGCTCTTGTCATCATAGGAATCAACCTCCTATCTTTGATCGGGATCTGAAGATATATTCATTGTTTGAACTGCCATAGATTGTATAGTAATTTAGCTGTGAAAGGTTGGAAGTTGAAGCTTTTGATACCCCGCTTGTACTGCTGTGATGACAGAGATAAGGTGGGGCGGGGTACGCATTGGAGCTCTTAGATGAGACAGAACATTTTTACACACTTTGGAATATATTACTAAAAACCATTGCCGAAAAAAGGCGGACCGGAATCCATGGCTTTTTGCTGTCTATATGTTTGGTCTGTTCTCAAAGCCACACGCGAAAGTGTAAATAGAACCCCCAGTAAAATGCACAGCCTTCTAAGTTAAGACGTAGGGGTGATGTGGAGCGGAAGGTTCCGTCGAATCCTCGGTAGATTCATATACACCAATCAACACATAAACGATCTTCACATGCATCGTCTTTAGATGAACTTTTCGTATAGATGGTACCTATATCTACCTTCAGTCAGAGGGCCGTGACCGGGCATATGTATAATCGAACAATCTATATATAATGCCAGCGGGCTTACCCGCAACGGTTCACGCGCGCACAACGAAGTCAGGTGCAGCCCGTGGCGCTCCAATAGGTCTGTAACTCCGTGGGTAGGCATGCTGGGCCCCTAAAACAACTGCCCCGCCATAGGAGTGATGTCGACGGTTAGCACTGATTGGCCCCCATTGTTCTCTAATGACCAGTGTCGACGGAGCGAGATTGGAGGACGCGCCATCTATTTTCTTGATGCGTAAACTATTATCCCATTCTAAAGTATCTTGAGGCATTCCTTAAGCGGTTTCAGTCACGAAGTCGGGTGTACAATACAGAGGAGCTATGGCTATCAATGCGAGTTTGATATAATGCTTTGTACATGAGGTATCAGCATTCGCGGGCTTAGTTCGTACTTATGTGTGACGCCACCTTGTTTACATTAGACTATAACAGCTTAAAATCATGCATGTTCTTTATGGCTTTGAAGAATGCCTTACTGTTCTGCTGAGAATGTTGGTGTAGCTAGTTAGCCAAGTGCAAGTGGGGGGCTGCACATCCGGGCTAAGGTCACCATATGTCCGCCATAGCCACCCCCAGAGCCGGATTCTATTATTAGCAAATAGACTACTTCAGTTATATTTCTGATAGTCGAGGAATATTGAAAAGAATGAAAATCCTTAACAACACCACTTTGACACCGTCACTGGATGTCGCCCAAGTAGCAGGCATAACTTCTAAGCCAACTTTTCCGACATTCCTCACCATGTACGTCAACGTGTATACTGGCATGTGGGTCGATTATTCCAATGGGCAAATCACTGGTGCAACCATAACTCTGACTGCTCGAAATGGCTCAATCTTGGTGGCTGCCCTGTCCATATTCCTTGTCCTTGTTGGAAGCCAGTTCTGGAGCATTCTGAGCTTTGTTATTCACCAGATGAATGCAACAGACAAGGCTACTGATATACTGCACTTTCAACACCAAGCAATTTTTCGCAATGCCGGCACATCAATCGGTGCTGCTCGAGAACTGCTGGCGCTTCCATTGCCATGGCGGCGTCGACAAACGGGGTCAAGAGACTTCTCGATGACTATACTTCGGTCGTGGGCGTGGGCTTTCCTTGCTCTTACCAACTTCTGCGTCTGGTCTACGGTTGGACTCTTTTCATCTGCCATTACAAGATCTGCCGGAAACCACATTTTGATCACGCCCGGAACTTGTGGGATAGTGTTTGACAACACGTCTGAAACCGGCCTTTCAAGCAAATCACTTGGCAAAACCATCATTGCGGACACACACGCACGAGGTTGTTATGGGAGTAATGATAGCTCGGCACAATGTAACTTGTTTGTTCAAAAACAAATTACATGGACCGAAGATGCAAACGCGTCCTGCGCTCTCGGGAATGGATTCTGCTCGGCTACGCTTGAACTTGACAGCGGATGCATCGACTCTCACTACGACCTGGGTATTAACGCGCCCTTGGAAAACAGAATTTATTACCGCAGGGTAACCAAATGCGCCGTCGTCGATCCTAAGGTGGTCCGAAATTTTACAAAGGAGACTTACACTAACTATACCGCCTACCCCGTGTATCAATATTATCTTGGCAATAGCACAGCTCCTGAAACACCATTTACCTTTGAATATGACTCGTACCTGGCCGTCTCGGATGTTGGATATGGGTTGAGGTAATTTCAGTCAATCGTATTTCTCTATATCGCTAACACCTTCATTGGCAGCTCGATAAGTCAGTATGGCGGAGATATTAAGGCCTCAAGCTGGCTTCCCTCGGAAAAATTCTACCTGCCAGATGCAGATCTTACCCTCGTCTGGCTACTTCCAAATTTTGTGTTCTCCATGACCCCTATCGACGACCCATTTTTTGGATTTCATCCAAATAATATCTCAAGAAAATTCTGCCAACCCGACAGTAAGTCTTATCGAATGCTAGAGTGCTAGCGCTAATTGGTAACAGATTTGGTAAACATCATGGCTTGTACTGATCAATATCAAGTGTGTAATCCAAAGAGACAAACGCCTATATGCTCCCCGTTAACCGCAGCCGTCCTATTACGAGACAATATTTCCAACATTGAGCTGAATCCCACTCAGAATGTCACAGCCAGACTGATACTGGCCCTAAATGGTGCTGATGGTATTGGTTCCTCACTTGGGGGAAGAGGGGCAGGCGCGCTTCTTGCAAGCGAAAAGGTTGCTCAGTCCATACAAAGTTTTCTTCCTAGCAACCAATGGGCTACTGAAGTTAAAAACTGGTTTGCGATCAGTTTGATAAAACTCCAGTATGCCCTTGTTGAGTATCCAACCGGTCCGACTTCTCCCTTAACGGAAAATCTTGCCCTGAAGGTTCCGCAGACGTCTGAATCCCAGAATCTCTGCCGATCAATGAAAGTCCCAAACCCAGGAGGGTACAAGTCCTTTAGCGTTCTTGCCCTCGTTATCGTCCTCGTTGTAGGAGGCATGGTCATTATCATAAGCATCATTCTTGAGCCCGTCACCAATTATATTTATAACAATTGGGTCACAGAGCACCAGTTCCGGAGGCTTCAGTGGATTCTCGATGGAAAGCTGCAGCTACAGCGAATGGCGTACGAATGTTCCGGGGTAGGGACCTGGGTGAATAAGGACAGATATGTTCCCGTTACCACAGAAATCACGAAGATAACTCATGTCGACGGAATCCCCGTCAATTTACCTGGCGTAGAGTTCGACCAGGAAATACCTGAACAAGACTTCATTATCGGGCGGTTGGAAAGCCCAGGACGACACCATTTGATGATACCAGGCACACCTGGCACCCAAGAACACGCACCGCTTCGAGAGCAGCTTGCATGAATGTGAATAAACAACACAGAGGTTGGGAAAGGAAAGATGGTGAAAGGCACCCTGGTGCTGCGCCACCAACTCGATCCAATCAAGGTTGATATGGTCATCAGCTCGGCGGTTCTGGATAATGACCATGAGGTCCGGGACGGAGCAGCGGAGATGTTCTGCGAGAATGAAGCTAAGGCGGCAAAAATTGCATGGTGAAGCAGACAGAATATTGGGAAAGCGTATGGATCGATAGTGGTGTATTTGGTGGATGCCACTAGTATAGCGCCGCCCAGAACGCTAATCGTCGCCAGGCCCATATCGTGCTAGCGCCACTAAATTTCCCATACAAATTTCATCGTCGGCTGCCAGCCAACGCAAACAATAATTGCCAGGAGCTGAGGAGAATGAAACTCACACAATAAATTGATCATAGTTGTTATCTTTGGGCATCTTGCTTCTCCCCGTCTACCTAGCTGACTTCTTGAAGAGTGTCAATGCGATATGAGCATGGGCGATATCTGTAAACACCCCACTTCCAGAGATGATTCATATATGCATATAAGTTGAAGTTCTTATGCTTTTCTTTGATTATATTCGTACCTCTGACTCTGCCAATAGTTCTCTTAAGAGAACCAATAATATTACTACAACTGATGTCCAAGTTTGATTGTGATATGCCAACTACTAAAATTCCATCCTTACTGCCATTTCTGAAGATTATGGCATTGCTATCAGCCCGTTTCCTAAGGACAACCCTGTCACTTCGGCGGTCGGTTTTAATCCGGCTTGGTAAAGAACTCATCTATCGTACCAACTGAACTGAAGCAGATTTTAAAATTGCTCCATTTATATTCCCAGAGTCCTTTACTAAGCCCTGAAGTACATGGACGATACGTGGACGAAGGGGGAGACTCGGCGCCAACGGAGAGCAGCGACTCCTCTCATGGTGGGCTTTCTAGCGACGCCAAGGCTCGCATCGGAGCTGGTGCGGCTATCGGTGCACTTGCCATCATCGGATTGCTGCTATTTCAAACGACAGAAAATAGCCCATATGATCGTCAGCACAGACATCTCGTAGGCGGCACTTGGCGTCTTGAGACCTTTTGTCTCAGCTCAACCAGTCTCATAATCATCGGATAAGGTCATTTGGCCAATAGCTAGTATATTGTACCTCGACTAATTGCCAAAATTGAGCCTAATAACTAAACCTCTGCGGCATAGTATAGCGGCAAGATATACTATAATAGTGGGTAGGCGAGAGCATCCTATTATCGTCTATGCTTATTTATCTTTTCTTGGTAGAACTTCGTCACAGGACTGTGAATCTCTATAAAGATCCTTTCTACTTCGCCTAATAGATATCGCCCTCCATATCCCTGTTAACCTACCCCTCGCGACTCTATTTTTTTCATTTTCCCATCCATGCAACAAACCCATCACAGCATCCCCTTTCACTGAATTCCTCTTTCACTTAACTCCCTCCCTGGCCCTGTCGACGCCAGGTCATTTCCCATGCAAATTACCCTGTCTGAGGTGCCTTCCAATCCGACAGGGGTCTCCTCTTTCACTAAATAAGGACCGAGGCATTATTGCTAGGCGGGTTTCTTTACATGTTGCCCCCCTCGTTTTCAATCAATGTTGCCCCCTATGGTTCAATAGCGCCATTTCATTTTGTATGTATTTTTCAATCATGTAGCCCCCAACATGAATGCTGAATGGTTGATAGGTGCGTAAGGTAGGCCTGGCAGAGCACGCTCTTGTTCCAGCGGCCGGCCTGAGAGATTTGGGCGAGCGACGTGCCGTGGGTCTCCGCGTCCTGGGCGCCTACCCTGCGCGGGAGGTGCATCTTCTTTGATGCTATAAGGCCAGCGGCACCAAAGATACGCCAGGTCTCTTATAGCTGTGTCGGATACGAGAGCTCCTGCTCGCGGTCTCGTCTAATAAGAACCTTCATCTGATACTAGTCCTGGCGGCGCCGAAAGGACAGGGACAGCTCGCCGGCAATATGCTAGCGCCAGAAGAAGAGCTGTGCTAAGGCCCCTTATATACAGAATAAGGCATCCTTATGCCGGAGGGCACCTATAAACTCTTTCTTTGCTGTCTTATTTAGCTTACCGTCTTGCAAAAGGGTAATAAGATAGCCACAGGGGGTCAGGCCTTTGGAAGACGGATAGTCGAGTAGAGACAGGTCTGCAAGCTCTATCTTACGGCGGTTTTGCCCCTGTAAGAGGTAGTAGTGGCCGAATAGGAGGTCGACTCGCATACAGAGGTTTTGCAGCATATATGCGGCCCCGCTAAGAAGGAGATCCTAGACCCGGAGCCATTCATCGGGTGAATAGCCGGCCTGGATCCCATCGGTTCTGCGGTCTTTAAAGGAGGCGCGGTCGTGCTTCCCCCGCTGCCGGCCGCGTTGCTCAAGGAAGCCTCGTACGGCGGCGCCCCGGGGGTTTTCCGTGTTTGCGTTACCGTGGGCTACTTGGAGCCGCCAGAGCTCGATAACGGCCGCGATATAGGCATCGATAGTGCCCCTCGTAAGCAGAGATCCTTCGGCAAGGTCTGCTGCAGCCGGCGCAAGGGCCGTGGGTGGCACATAGCCCTCGCGATCGTCCGCGAGCAGCTGGGCGGCCTCGGCCAGGGGGACCTCTAGGACTTCGGCTAGGCTTTCGGCCTCTGCCAGGGCCGCGGCCTCGAGCTGCCGCCGTAACTGCACAGCCTTTACTTTGCCCTTGACCTTACCCCGTGCCCGTGGTTTCTTCTGCGGTAGGGCAACGCGTCGTAAGAGGATATCCTCTTTGAGCCACGCTGCTAGCTTGTCTGGCGTCACGAGCTCGCCGTCGGGCCAGCTATAAAGTGAGCCATCTGCCGTAGCCCGAGGCGTACGGCACCAGGCCTATAAGTCCTCATCTATTAGCCGCCCATAGGACCCTACGTAAAAAAAAAAGACAAGGTTAAAGGGGAAAAGAGAGGGCGGCGGCCGGGGGAACGCGCCTTCCACTCCCGCTGCTTCGCAGTATAACTCCATGCCGTGTTCGCTGGCTGTTCGTCCTTCTTCGCCTGAAGGCCTGCCCTCCGGGCAGCATGGGCATGCTCGTCTGCGGCTATATATACGTCATCTGCGGCCATCTCGGTCAATCAAGGCCTTTCTACGTGGTGCTTTTTTCCTGTCTGGGGCCTGATAAGCTGCAGGGAACTTATCAAAAGCACTTATTAGGCACCACGCACACGATTTCACGGGCCGCTTTTTGCGGGGGATAAGTCGTTACGTGGTCTGAGCGAATTACGACGTAATTGCGGGCACCATCGATAAGCTGGCACGTATGTCTGCAGGGCTGAAGACAGATAGAGGTATACTCAGATATAATATATTATTACTCCCATGATAGTGCCAGGGTTCTATATATAATTTGCTTAAAGAAGGCGACGTTATGCAGTATAGTGCAATGGTTTCCACCCTGGCGGATGCGGCTTTCGTGCTTATAACTATAAAAATGATATTCTTTTCAATCTACAGGTACAAGGAGGCAGCCCTTATTTTAGATACACGCGAACTCGTTCATTATCCACTACATTTACCTCCAAATGTAGGCGGAAGGTCCAGGTCGAGAGTGCTGGGTCATTGATCATGATGTGAGCTGACAGCGAGGTATCAGGGGTCAGGGACTTCGAGGTCATCTGAACATCTGTATGAGAAGGCGAAGGCAAACAATGGCCAAGTGGGCTGCTGCCGAACTCTCCTGCAGCAAGAACAGGCTCTGAGTCTTGGACGGTGATGTTTGCTGGAAGGGGGCCATGGCTGGAAAAGACGGGCTGAGCAGCGCTGCCCACAAATCAAATCCAATCAAACAAATTACCAAACAAATCAATCAAATATCCCGAAAATCTTATTTCAAACAAACAAATCCAAAATCTTGGATTTAAGATAATATTTAATATATTTAGTACAGGATATAATGCCATAGAAGATAGCTGGTTAGGCTCATAGCCGCCTTTCCTTATAACTTACCCAGTACTCAAGAGGTGCCAAAGATCTGGCACTTAGATCAGGCCAATCAGAGCCATTATCCGAGCTCTTACGTTAGTCAGCCGCCCTTATATAAGCCCCTTAACATCGAACACGCATCGTCATTGGTGCTTCTTTGTTATGGCGTGTGGCAGTCCTTACCTAATAAGGACTAGTCCAGTGGAGCTCGACGGCAAACTCATCCCTCTCCATCCCCTGGTTTTACTTACCCTTCACCAGCGTCAAGCACTCAGCAGCATCGCCAGACCTCCCTAGTAGAATAAAGTCCCCACCTGCAGCGGAGAGTAATAAACGACATATGCTGAGGAAAGTTACGACTTTATGAGGTTAAATCCGACGACAATTAGGAGAAAGGAAGACCTATAACGATCCCTTTCTAACCAACTAGGCTCGCCTATTCTGGGATTTTGCATTAATAGAACTGCAAGGCGTGGTGTTTAGTAACATAGAGTGCCGTGCTTACGGATAGGCAAGCAGATAGATGTACTAGAAAATCTATTATAATTAAGAGGCTTTTTTTGGCCGTTTTCGAGCTGCGGCTTATAAGGCTCCTGATAAGTATAGTCAGCGCTTGAGACCATGCGTGGTGCCCTACAAAGAGGTCGGAAATAGCATCGGAGAAGTATAACGCTGAGATTTAGAACATTTGAAATGTTTAAATAAATGTCTTAAACAACAAATCCAGTGTCTAAAAGTATTAAATAAATCAAATTCGACTACGGATTTGATTTGTTTGATTTGTGGGCAGCGCTGGGGCTGAGAAGATACGTATGATTACATGATCCGTCCTACGCTTCCTGAGTTGGGTTGAAATGCCTCATCGGCAGGCCTACCCACCAGTCTGGATGCATCTTCCTTGTTGACAGAGTGAGACCCAGCCAGGTGAACCAGGAAATGCAGACCACGAGCGAAAGATCACTATGATTCTTGACTTTCTCTATAAGGTGATCCATGGTTATGGGGAAAGAGGCCGAGGGCAACTCTGCTGCCTGGGAAGTAGTCGACCCTTAGTCTCCTTGCGCGTTATCCGAAGCGCGCCCCAGGGCATCCTCGCCGAGCAACCTGCCGACGGAGCCCAAGGCGCTGACACACATGTAAGTGACGAGCGCAGGCGCCCCAGTCGGAGTAACGTGACCAGCCTAGAGCGCGGGCACGGCGCCGAGGGGTCGGACCTGCAGTAACATTGAATCCTGGATGGAGAGGCTGCTGTCAGCGGCCTTGCGTCTCTTCGGTGTAGCTGGTCAAAATCAGGCCCTGACAGTTTGACATTCAGAAAGCTCATGTTTCTCCTCGGTCTCGGCGCCGAAGGCCGAGTCGAGCATGCCGCGGAGGATGACGGATATGGACTGATGGAGGTCGATACGGTGATGCGGCGTTCACCACAACCTACTAGCCTGGTTTACCACATAATCAGGCACACCATGCATTACCCCGCGAATTGCCCCTTTCTGTTGACAGGGGATCAAGAGAGTCGGGTATCGTTTCGATGCCGGGGTTCTACCCCAGAGTAATGTCGGTGATGAGCCATTGCGGGGCTATATGTAACTTCACAACCCATCACCATATGTTGGGGTTCAGTAGGCCCGATTAGAATGCACGAGAGTCCAAATATGGGCATCATCTTGCAATACTTTTGGGTTAGTTCCTGGGCAGGTAGGCAATATTCTATGTCATAAAAATCAACCCCAAAGATGTACTGCGATCTGAAGCCAAGTGCCGTGTTGAGGTCCTCCGCTCCAATCCTTGGAGATGCTAGTCATTCCACGAACCAGATCAATGACCAGATGTGAGTTCAACACAGAATCCCTCCAACCGGCCTGAAGGAAACAAGACTATCGCCTCTATAGTACCACCGATTCGTTGGATAAACATTGCCGATTATACCCTCCACCACGGCCAATGCCCTATTTCAGAATCCTCAATGCGCCAAAGAAGAATCACGAGAAGCCTCTTCGGACCGAACCAACGATTTCATGTGATGCGGGGTGCATAACGAGAGATGAGCGACACGGATAGAGGGTATCTTTTGTCTTCAAGAGAAAGATAAATAGCCAGTCAGCTCCGCGTTATCAACAGTCAACTCCATCTACAACAACGCTACACAACAACACTAACTAACCGACTTGGCCATCCATCGCCTGTTTTGAAAATGTTGAACACAGTTTTCCTCGCCTCTCTTTTCCTCATCCCATTGGCCATCGGCGCTCCGGCCGTTGACATCGAGGAGCGCCAAGCGCCATGTCAAAATGTGCACATCTTCTTGGCTCGTGGCACTGACGAGCCTTATCCGGGTCGCCAAAGCTCCCTTGCCTCGGCCATTTGCAGTGGCTTGCCTAGCTGTGGCTACGAGAACATCAATTACCCGGCTAATTTCAATACATACTGCACTTCGATATACGCTGGGATCACCGGCGGTCTGTCACAGATCACGGCATATGCGAATCGATGCCCTAATTCCAAAATAGTCCTGAGCGGCTATTCGCAGGGTGCTCAGCTCATTGGCGACATCCTTGGTGGCGGCGGCGGGCAGAGCTTGGGATGTACCCAGCAGTCCAACTCTGCGTTGAATCCTGCGACTTCGCCTGGCAATAAGAGTAAATCCTTCTCCTTAATTCGTATGGCGATAATGGTGTTCTGGCTCGAATGGCTAATCTCACCTGCATAGTTGCTGCTGCGCTGTTCTTTGGCGATCCTCGCCACGCTGCCAATCAGGCCTACAACACTGGTACCGGTGCTTCAAGGAACGGCGTAAGCAAATCAATGTGTCCTAGCAACGCCCGACAAAGAGTTGACATTTCCCCTTTAACAGATAAACCCTCGGAATGGTGCTCAACTGACCTCGCTGAACCGCTTTTCCAACAAAATCCGATCCTGGTGTTTGGCAGGCGATAATGTGTGCGCGCAGGGTACTGATCCAAACGCCCACACCTCCTACTTTAATGTGTTCTCTCAGGAGGCAGGTGCTTGGGTCAAGACTAAGGTCTAAGGGTTCTCTGGTTTCTTCAAGTTTGTGGCTGCTCCGCTACTCCCATGCTACGAAACCCACAAATTGTCTGTATAGCATGGGACTCGGCGTTACTTTTGCAGCAAATTAATCCGAGAACAGTTGGTTTGCCTGAACGAGTACTTTAACATATGACGTCTAGTTAGTCTGTTTCCAATTTACACCCTTGAGCCAATTACTGCTCGTGAGTCTGCGAGTTGTGCGTATGAGCGGGTATGGCCGAGTACTACCTGACCCCGTTACATACTCATCTTGGTCATGCAAAGCGCGGCAGCAACTGAGCTTGAAGTCCATTTTTATGCTGTAGAACTAATAAACCCCATTTGTACGATTTCATCGGGAGGATGACAATTGACCCTAGTCCATCCAAGTAGCCTCATATGGTGTAGCATTATCGGGATAATGCAATGATGCAACCAACTCCAGGGTAAGGTTACTAGGGGTCCAACCAACTACCATGCAGTACCCACCTGTAACGGTTGCACAAGCCGTTAAGCCACAGGGCAAAAGATCGGGCCATAATCGCTATGCAAGCAATTATAGGTGTGCCACAGCTGCCTTATAGAGCCTTATAACGCTGTTACGGACACGAATCGTAACACCACCTGCCGGACATACCCACCTACCATACACCAAAAAAGATTTTCCCTATACAAAATGCCCAATTTCACTTATAGAGTATGTTATTAAAATAAAAGGTATTTTAATAAGAAAATATCTATTATATTAAGAATTACATAGAATTTAATATTTCTACTTTACTTTTATAGCAATGCTTATAATATAATTACATAGAACTAATATAAAATATCTTAAAATACCTCCCTCATTAACCAGCCTCCTTAAAGCTTTATCTAAACTTTTCTCTTCCTTATCTTTCCTTAGTTACCTTAAATATGCCTTAATTATCTTATACAGAGGATAATATTATCTAGGCTATCGTGGTTGATAAGCATGCGACGCAGATAAGCATGCGACGCACTTTTCCCTCTTACATTATAGATTTTATCTGATTAGATATTTGTCAACCATTAACAATGTCACAATCTTCAAATGAAGCCAGAACCCTCCTTGCCCTTCAGGCCCTTCAAAATGACCCAAAATTAAGTACCCGACGCGCTGCAAAGATATACGAGATCTCTGAGCCTAGGCTACGTCGCCGTAGAAATGGCATTCAATCGCGACGCGATTTTATCCCGAAATCGCGGAAACTATCTGATCTAGAAGAGCAGATAATAGTCCAATTCATTCTTGACCTAGATTCGCGAGGGTTTCCCTCGCGACTGCGTTTTGTGGAAGAAATGGCCAATTCTCTTCTTGCTGACCGCGACGCGTCACCTGTTGGCAAGCGCTGGGCTCACAACTTCGTCAAGCGACAACCAGAGCTAAAGACGCGTTTATTTCGGAAATATGACTATCAGAGAGCCAAATGCGAAGATCTATCTATTATTCGTGGCTGGTTTAGGCTCGTACAGAACACAATCGCGAAGTACGGTATCCGATCAGATGATATCTGGAACTTTGATGAGACTGGCTTTATGATGGGCGCTATTATGGCTGGAATGGTCGTTACAGGTTCAGAAAGGCAAGGAAGGCCAAAATCAGTACAGCCTGGAAACCGGGAATGGATTACAGTGATCCAGGCGATCAATGCGGAAGGTCAATCGATCGCGCCGTTTATCATTGGTGCAGGCCAATATCACCTTGCGAATTGGTACCGAGAATGCAACCTCCCAGGCGATTGGGTTATTGCAACGAGCCAAAATGGATGGACAAATAACCAGCTAGGTCTCCATTGGCTAAAGCACTTTGATCGGTCTACAACTAATAGATCAACTGGTCCCTATCGTCTTCTGATCCTTGATGGTCACGAAAGCCATCACTCTGCCGATTTTGAGAGATATTGCGAGGAGAACAAGATTATCACGCTTTGTATGCCTGCTCATGCGTCTCACTTACTCCAACCTCTTGACGTTGGGTGCTTTGGGCCGCTGAAAAAGGCATATGGTCGAGAAATTGAGTATCTGATCAGATGCTCTATAACTCACATTTCGAAGGCCGAGTTCTTTCCCGCCTTTTACGCCGCTTTTAAAGCTACTTTTACAAAAAGTAATATCCAGGGAGGTTTTAAAGGAGCCGGGCTTGCTCCTTTTGACCCGGAAAATGTTATCTCAAAGCTTGATGTGCAGTTACGGACTCCAACGCCTCCCGGGGAGGCTGCTGAACCTTCGACCCCATGGGTTTCAAAGACGCCAAAGACGGCAATTGAGGCCCAATCTCAGTCTGAATACCTTGAAAAACGAATTAAAAGACATAAAAGCAGCTCCCCAGAGTCAATTATTGAAGCTTGAAAGTCTAATACTAAAGCAACAAAGGCAGTTATGCATGAGGTTACCTTGTTAAGGGCTGAGGTCCGAAACCTTCGAGATGCAAATGAGATACTAAGCCGGCGCCGGAGGGCAAAAAGGACTAGATTACAGAAAGGAGGGGCCATGACTGTAGAGGATGCATCACAAGTAATTGATCAGATGGATGTTGATACACAGGTAGTGGCCGAATCATCTAGAAGTGGTGGTCGGGCCCGGTCAGAGCGACCGGCTGGTCGGCGTTGTGGTGTATGCGGCAAGGCCGGGCATAATGCAAGGACCTGTCGGGTAGTAATTGAGACATTTGGGGAAGAGTATAGTAAGTAGTTTTAATTGATTAGATAGTTTGTGGTGGATTTAAAGCAAGTTCTAGCTTAAAGGGTAAGAAAAGTGCGTCGCATGCTTATCTGCGTCGCATGCTTATCAACCACGTTATATATTACTCTTACCTGCCTATATACTACTCTTATAGGCTATAGCTGCTAAATAATAGTATTTTTAATATATTTAAGGCTACTTATTAAAAAGAACTATAAAAACTTATTAGCCTAATTAATTCTATACTAGTAAATAAGATTAACTTTATTAAGGCCTATACTAAGGCTAAAGAAGTAAATATAATAAAGTAAAATATACTCTTAGGCTAAAGAGTAACTAGAAACTAGCTGATTTTATAGTAAAAAGCACTTATATATCCTAAGATTTAGCCAGATAAAAAGGAAGTAATACCTAGGTTAAATAGCTACTAAGATAAGTAAGTTAACTTTAATAATATACTAAAGACTAGCTATTATATCTAAGATATAAGGAAGAATAAGAGCCTATTAATAAGAAGGTATTATTTTATAATATTAAAATAGTTTAAAGCCTAAGAGTTAAAGATTACCTCTTTAAGTATTAGAATAGCTAGTCTAAAAAAGGAAGTTAGCTAGTTAAGTAGAGGTAAAAAGAGGAAGGTAATATTAAATCCTAATAAAAGATTTATAATATTAGCAGAAGCTTTAGTAATTAATAAGACTATTTCTAAGGTAAATAAAGTAATTAAAGAGGCAGATACTATTAAGGATATAATTAAGATAAAAAGGATAAAAGAAGTTAAGAGTTTAAATTTAAAGGAGGAAGAATTAAGTATAATATATATATATATAAGGCATAAAGTTAAAATACTATAAAAATATTAAAATCTACTTTATTCTAAAATAAAATTTAAAAATTATTTTATAGGTTTTATTTTTAGTAAATTTTTAATATATGGTTAAAAAATAGTATTTTATATAGGGGAATTTTTCTTTTACTATATAATAGGTAGGTATATATAGAAGGTAGGTACTACATGGTATACTCTACTAGCTGTTTAATAACACGAGCTTATAAAGATTGTTAAAAAGAAACCTCGGATTGAAATTATAGTAAAGAGGGTAGATAACCTATAAAAGGTAAAGTACACATTTACACGCATATGTGACATAGGCGCAGACCATTGATTGAAATGGGATAAGTTGCTATAGTATGGATTACATAGGAATAAACCGGAGATAGATAGGCACTTAGGAAGTAAACAGAGGTGCGCAACAATTAGGGGTAAACGACAATTAGAAATAGAAGAGTAGGGTGATGCAATTGCAAACACATATCAAATGTTTAAAACTTCAGCTTGGTCGGGAAGGAAAGGAAAGTCAACGTTATCTAATAATAGAGAAATAATAGGGGTTCCACCGTAGCTCCGCAAACCCTGAAAGCGTGCACGGACGAAAAGTATATATTACGATGCAACTCTAGGGAAATTGGAGAGACGTCTAGCGTGCATGGACCAGAACATGTGCATTGCATCGCAATGTTCGCGGTAATCATTGTAGTAGGGCCTTTGTGAAAGCCCTAGGCAGCCGGCCTGACCTTGAGGTCGAGATCGAACCTCTAGTCCAGCAAGACTCCTCCCTCCGGGCCGACTTTATAGTCACTATTAGAAACAGCCGCTACTTCTATGATATCCAAATCGTAGCTATCTCCAAGGACTCTGCAAAGGAGGACCCCTATAGCACCCTAAAGGAAGCTGCTAATAAGAAAAGGCGGAAATATTAATTTCTCGGAGCCTTCTTCTACCCTCTTATCTTCTCAGTAGGCGGCCTTATGGATCAGGAGACCTCACAGACCTACAAGAAGCTCCAAGAGCTCTTAGGTCCCTTTACAGCCTCACAGCTAGACTCAACTATAGGCCTAGCCTTAACTAAGACTAGGGCTATCTCAGCTGCCTTTATAGCTCGAGATCTACCTAGGAGAACTTACTCCTAGATAACCTCTTCCTATCCTCTCTATCTCTCCTTTCCTCCTATCTTTATCTCTCTCTTTTTCTCTTTCCTTCTTATCTCTTTCCTATCCCTATATATCTCTTTATTCCTCTCTTTTATATCTATATCTCTTTCTTATATTTATATCTCTCTCTCTTACTCTCCCTCTCCTATTTCTTTTATTATCTCTTATCTCTTTTCTTTCTTTTTTATATTTACTTCTTTTTTATAATTCTAGGAAAACCCTTATATAAATAGCACTAGAGCAAGATAGCTTCCATAGCCTAATATAACCCTATCCTAACTCTAAGGGTGATTCCAGACTTTTGGCCTGTTATTTTAATAACAACACTTTTACCTCAACATACCAGTGGTAATTAGTACAGTAGGCCCAGAGTTGCGTTGAAGGACGTGATCCGTCCATAAATCGTCACAACTGCCAATATAAACCAATTAGGTTATTATTTACTTCGCTGGCCCGCCTTAAGCAGCGGCATGACAACCGCCTCGTGCCCATATTCGGTAGCCGCCTATAGCAGCATCTAACCACGGTTATCCTTAGCCTTGATATTGGCACCCTTCTCGAGCAGCAGCTTGACGACGGCATCCCGCCCGTTCTCAGCGGCGCATAATAGCAGCATCTAACCTTCGTCGTTATTAGCCTCGATGTCGGCGCGCTTCTCAAGCAGCAGCTTAACGACCGCCTCGTGCCCATCCTTGGTGGCGCATGATAGCGGCGTCCGACCACGGCTGTCCTTGGCCTCGATGTCGGCGCCCTTCTCGAGCAGCAGCTTGACGACCGCCTCGTGCCTGTTCTTAGCGGCCGCCTATAGCGCCGTCTAACTATCGTCGTCCTTGGCCTCGATATCGGCATCCTTCTCGAGCAGTAGCTTGACGACCGCCTCGTGCCCCTCCCTGGCGGCCCACGACAGTGGCGTCTGACCATGCTCGCTGTCTTTCGCCTCGATCTTCGCATCCTTGTCTAGAAGTAGCTTGACAATCACATGAAGGCCATAATATGACGCTATTATGAGATCCGTAAAATACTTGGTAGTCATTAAACCTGTGGTTTTCTAATAAATTCCAAACCATGCCGAGTAGCTATTCGAATTAGGGTTATAAATTCTCAGGGCGAAAGGTATAATGGCGGCGCCATCGATAATACAAGCCTCGCGGAAGTGAGTGCCCCAAGTTTGGGCCAAGTATTTTAAAAAGGTATATCTGTTAAAATAGTGGTCCCCTTCCCTATTTGCATCTATCGATAAATTGTCGTTGGAGTTGAAGAAGTCTAGATAGAGTATGTAGACCTCTGCAAGAACAGCGTGTGCCTCTTGGATAGTGATGGAGTAATGCCAGTGCAGCGCTAACGAAACAGCTATAGGCAATGCCAAATCTGCAAGAAGAAACTCGCAAGCTGTTTAATGAATGAAATAAATATTGCCTTGATGGATTAAGACGAAGAGTCCGCACCAAGATCTGAGATACAACTTGAAGTCCTCCTCGTCCTCCAAGTCGAGGTCGTGAAAAGACTGTGATATGTCGTTTATATTTACTGCATTGTTCATTTCTGAGAGTATTAGTAGCCGACCCGCTGCTAAGATAATACTTAAGGCCTTTCGAACTATTAGGTCTTCTTTAGACTTGCTAAGGATCCGATTATATGCCTCATTAATACTCCTCGGGAGTGTTGCAATAGCAGACTCAACACCTTTTGGGGTCCTTTTAAAGTCTTCTTTCCCCAAGTAATCAAACGCTAGGTATACCCAGAGATAAGTGCGGTAGGTAGTCTCCTGTAGCCTTTTCTCCAAGTGACTCTTGATTTCGGGAGAGAGGTGCTTCTCCATAGACAGCTGGTTGACCCGGCGCGTAATGACGTGATTTACCTCCTGGCTAATCGTTTCTAACTCTTCCTCTCCTGGTATACAGATATATAGAAAAGTATCCAATAGGTCGCGAAACTTGGACACGATCTGGTCATACGGCCGGCACGTTAGAAGATACTTCAACTTACCATAACCCGACTGGTCGCTACGGAATTGGCTCTTAATATTCTGCATCAGGTCCGCAAACTCCGATTTGGCACATTCATCTAAGGCATTAAGTGCCACGATTACAGGCCCTGCCTGGGGATCTTTTATAGTGTTTTGTAAAACCTTCTAGAGCGATTCTGTAGAGTTAACTAAGCCTTCTCTATCCTTACTTAATTGTTGCATGGCATGTTTAATCAGGGACGGTTTCAGTGAGAAGAGCTGGTAGAGCAGTACATAAAGGGCTTGCCGGATAGTATTCTGGTCTTAATCTTTAAAGAAGAAGTAGCAGATTGTTGTCGATTGTGGGAGGCCATGATCGATTAGGTACTTGGCTAACACCGACTTTCCACAACCAGGATCCGCCGTGACTAGCAGGGGGCCAGAGTCCTGTTTCAACCACCTCTGGAAGTGCTTATGCTTAAGGAACCATAGGCATATACCCTTAACCCTTTCTTCCACTTGTTCTTTATACCCCTCATATGTGGAGTCCTTGCTGCTGGTTGTTAGATAGAATAACTGGTGACACTCCTGTTCTTTTTCAGACAGCTTTGCCTTGGCTAGATCTTTCTGGGCTTGGAGCTGCTCCTTTGCAATATTATAATATTCCCTTGCAACATCCCGATGCTCCTCTGCAATTTCTTAGAGGCCTATGTATAGAATCAATAGGTATTCATAGTATAATTTTAAACCTTTGAATTACCGGATAGAATATCGCCAATCCTTCTCTCAGCCTTAACCTTATTAGGCGGGATCTGACGCAGAAGATCTTTCGCATACGCCGCCGCCACCATGGCGGCATAACCCTCCTACTCCTTGTTCTGATGGGAATCAGAATAGTCGCATATACCGCGTATAACCAGGCATGGGAAGTGGTTCATCAGGCCTGCCGCCTCCATCTCGAAGCAGAGGACGCCCTACTCTTCTATTCTAGATCGTCGCCTGCCCCTGTTCGTCGGTTGCCCCCCTGTAAGTCGCCTCATACCCCAACGCCCGTTTGATCTCCGGCGGAAGATCTAAACTCCAGTCTCCTCCATTCTCCTGCTTGCTTACCGCTTTAGAAACAGTGCTAGGGTTATATCATTTACGCGATTGCGTCTGGAATGCGACTGATTGCATACTTATGCTTTTGCTCCTGCTTTTACTCCTAATTTTACTCCTGCTTATAGATTATAACCACTCATCTTTCTTTAACCTTAGTCTCCTTATAAGATTTAATCATTTAATATAATTGTTATAGATCTGAACGATCTCTTCTATTACGATAGCCACTGGCACATTCTTATATATAAAAGATGCAGCACTATGCCGCAGACTAGCATCTACCGGCATATCAGCATGTTTTATAACCCTCTGCGTGCCCATAAACCTGCCGATATTAAGTCCTTCGAACGATTAATGGACTGTCTGCCTTACATACGGGATCCGGATGAGATTAGTAGATCAGTCCGACCCTGACAATTATTGTTTGCGTCGACAGCCTACTCTTCTATTCCTAATTGTCGTGTACCTCTAATTGTCGCCTACCCCTGTCCACTTCTCAAGTACCTGTCTATATCCGGTATATTCCCTTTCAATCCATACTATGGCGACTGATTTGTCCCATTTCAATCGACGATCTGCACGCGCGTCACACGCGTGTGAGCGCGTATTCCAGAGCTAGACAGCTTCTTCCTTTTAGTTCTCAACTTATAGTTGAGTGAACTAAAGTATTCAATATTAAACATAACAGCAGAAAAGAAACTCTCCTACAGAGTGTACGCCCGTGCCAAGATCCATCTCCTGGTTTTACGTACAACAGCAACTAATTCAATGTATTCGACTCTAGATATATATAAGGGGGGTTGTAATAGATCTTTTGATAGGAAAGAAGCCTAACTGGCAAATTCCATATATTACCTGCTTTATAAACTACGATCACAGTCGCTGTAGTGCTTTTCATATCATAGACCATCATACATAATTATCAAATAAGCAGCCAGGATGATTAGGTCGAGGATTAGGTGCGACAATTTACATCAGTCTTGGTCAACAGGCAAGGCTACAGCGGTAAGTGAAATAGGGCTTATCCCTCAACGCTCTACTACTTTAAAGAGTTGCTTTCCATACCCATGAGAATAGAACGGAATTCATGTTTTGTATAAGCTACCAAAAGCCTAGTCAAGGATCAAGTTCCGAGTTTTACGCAATCATATTACAAAAGCGCTATTCAATACATGATTATCGTCATTGGTCAAGCTCACCGCAGCAATTCACGGCTTGGTCCGGCTTTTAAACCCTTTCCCTCCAGCCCTTAACTCATTCTATATTAGATTGTAACCTAGTTGCCTTCATTATTTATCTTCTACTCTCGCACCCTAAAGACTAAATCCCTGAAGCTATAGGGTATGTAGCTAGTTATACCAGCTTTAATAATAAGGCATCAGTCTGTATAATTGCCTGAATAATCTCTTCTCAGTATTATTTCGTATCGGGAGTTGGAATATCAAAGAATTTATAAAGCAGAATTTTTAGGTTAATAGATACAATTTGGGACGATGATGTGTTCTTGAACTCATGTAATGTACAATGACAAGCAGATTCTCATTCTGACATAGCTCGAGATCTATTCGTGCTCCTCTTTAATGATTAAGGCTTCTAATGATTTGCATAAAGACATCTGCCCTCGGAAAACTACTTGACAGTTATCCGACCTTCTCTCAAAAGTTGGTCCCATACTTTGAATCTTCTGCGATCCGTCCATATAACTGTTATTCCAATGATCAATAAACTCTTGTGCTGCTTTATATTTTCGGAACGATTTGTGGCAAGCAAAAGAAACTTGTTCTACGGCCTCTTTGGCTCCTCCTGGTCCACTAATCCTGTTAGCAATTACCGAAGACACGCACCTAACGAAGGAAACACCTACTCCCAGAATGGATAAATACCAGGCTTGGGACCATTAGCGACGGCATAATAGTTACGTGGGTCAGGCAAGGGCGCCGTCTTGTCTGTTCCATCGTCGATCAATTGTTCGATATAGTCCACTCCCATTAGTTCCATATATATTCGTGCTTCATGAATTGTGTAGAAGCCCCTATACTTAGAAGGACAACCAGTCACTCGCGGGTGTGCATCTGCCCTGAGAGTCGTTAATCAACTTGTCTTTGAAGTTATCCTTAAGTAAATGGTACCAAGATGAGAAGATAGTAGGTTTGTCAATATGCCCTTCAATGACTGCATAATACTTTTTACTCTTCTTCGGGTTCCCCATGTTTCCAGATTGAAGTGAAATGGAGACGACAAAATGGAACCGTTAGGTTAGTTGTCGAGAAGATAGCCACAACAAGGTGTGAAGTAATGTTTTGCTACAGCTAATAGATACGAAGACAAAATGGAGCATGACGGTGACCACGGGTGGTTTGAGGTAAATCTTATAGCCCGTAAGGTATTACTCCTGGCTTAAAACTGATAACCTTTGATAAGAGGGGAGTTCACACCAGGCTTAGGCATCGAGGCAGATAGGCACAATGAGCCGACAGCCGTAAATCAGGCTGCTTTGGTGAACAAGGGAAGGAGGGCGAGAGGAAACATGGGAACCAATGGACTACAAGCGAATGGGCTCAAAGCATCGAATCAATTGGAGATTTTGAACCAATCAACAGTTTGTTGAGGATTGGGTGTACTGTACTGTAGTGATGGCGTCGCCAACTCTGTTTGATTCGCCATCTATGTCTGACAATCAATATCACCCCACCTGTGCTTACCACCTCCGAAATGCAGGTGCCTTTGTTGCTTGCTGGCTTATGGTTCGCACACAGATAAATGAGGCTCTGCGCTGCAATGGGTTATTGAACGGCTGCCCATGTTTCTTCCACATGATTTGACGAATAATTTGCTCCTTGAACATTGCAAGAACCAGCTCTGTCTATAATGCAGTTTGAGTTACAAATACCTCGTCGCCAAATGTCCAATAAATAGAAAATTCTAAGAACTTTACTATACTCTTACAGCCTCGTCTCGGGAGAACCGGTCATAAGTCGCTCTGGGCTGCGGTTAGTACTGTGTCTGGTCCGGGGCTCCTTTTCTTTCGGCAGAATTCGCCGCGTCGTGTGTCAGATAAATGTGAACTAGAGTCACATGGCTTCTCTTTTTAGACTTGGGCGCAAAAGAATTGTCAGATGGCAGGCACATGAGAAAGTGGCTGGCTTCAAACTGTTGCAGTCTGCCTAGCCTGCATTATGCAGTCAGGGAAAGCATTACTAGTTGAGTTGCATGCGTAGGCGGGGCAAATCAAGACACCGTGTACTGCTATGCAGGATCATCATGATCACGCAGCGTTGGATGCGCTGGGCCATCGGGCGTTCAGTGGCACTTGTGACGGGCTGACAAGGCGAGCAACTCAAAAGCGGCTCGGCGAGTCACTAAGTGGTGCGAGAGGACAATTGCGGCATGGCAGTGAGGGGAAGCGAATGGGCAGTCATTGGCTGTCGTATGTTTCCTCAATTGTGCGGTGACACGCTTTACCCCGCAAACCATGTTAGCATGAAGTTGTTGTTATGCAGACCGGCCCGCTCCGCGAAGACAATTAAGACTTGACAAAGGAACCTGTCTTATGGATTCGCTCTGAAATAAAAAAGCCTTCTGCTGCATTGCAGGTATTGGCTTTAATGGAGCTTCCTGTCTCGCCTCATTATGAATACCGACGAGTTGCTTCGCGTATGGTGGCGGGGGTGCGCCATTTTCTTAACCCACGTAGCCGAAGTCTCCTCGGCCCATTGCTGCCTGATAGTCAAGCCTGCGGCCACACTAAAAGCAATCATACACTTTGCCAGCCGAATTGCACATTGCCACCGTCGAGCTGAGGTGGCTAGCTGTAAGGTTGCAGCACTTGTTCCCGACTGTCGAATGTTTGAAGGAGGCCCGAGCGTTGGCCTGACCAAATGCCCTTTTTCCGTCCTTGCAGCCTTATGGATCTGGGCGGGCAAAGGAAACGGTAGAGCATTTCCTCTTTCGATGCGTGAAATGGACGACACAACGCAAAGAGAAGTTTCAGAGTATAAATGAGAAACGCGGCAACCTCTCCTTTCATCTGGGAGGTAAGGCAGCATCAGACGGTCAGGAATGGAAGCCAGACATGGACGCGGTGCGGGCCACGATCAGGTTCGCGATCGCTACAGGTCGCTTGGAAGGGAGATGACGGGAACACTACTAACCTAGTAACATTTTATCAACACTAACCGATAACCTATGACGCCCTCAAATAATCAACAGCAGGCATTGCTTCAGCCGCCGAAGATAGGAAACTGAACACTTGGAGGGATTGGGCTTCAAGTTGACCTGCTACTACTAACAATCACGAGGACTAAGAAGAAAAGCAATGACTAGACTGGAAGGAACAAGGTGAGAATTGTATGGGCTTGGCGAGAGCAAGGCAATAAGTAGCGAAGTGTATGTACCTTTAGCTTCAGAGCCCATTGGGCGTTGGCCTACCGGGCGTAATAGACTTGTATTGTATTGTACTACTAACGAGGAACAGCACGGGTAGAGCTTCCATACCACGGAGAGGGGAACCTTCACTGCATTTTTAAACGCACCAAAGGGAACAAGAAGACCGTGGTTGGCTCGATCGGAAAGTGTGTGTGGAAGGTGCAAGCAGAGATACTTTAAGATTACAACCGAAATGGTAAAACCTCTAAGGGGTAGAATTTAACATAACACATGAATATACCAATCTGGATCAATGGACCGAATACACGTAATGTCTGACAGAATCTTGGTTGTGGTGTTGAAAACCTATAGATATCATTTGATTGGATACCATACTTCGCGATTGTGTTCTGTACGAGCCTGAACCAATTGCGAATAACAGCCGGATCTTCACATTTGGCCCTCTGGTAGTCAAATCTCCGCTGAAAACGCGTCTTGAGCACTGGTTGCCGCTTGATAAAATTGATAGCCCTGCGCTTGCCAACTGGTGATGCATCGCGGTCAGCAAGCAGTCGATTGGCCATTTCTTCAACACCACGGTGCCGGGGAGGAAATCCTCGCGAATCTAGATCGAGGATATACTGAACTATAATCTGTTCCTCTAGATTAGATAGTTTCCGCTGTTTTGGAACCCAATCGCAACATGCAGACAAGCATGCCGATCAGTTCCACTTTTCACCTTAATGACAACTTTTTAAATAATTCTGAAAAATCCAAATTAAGCTTAAGATAGCCAAAACTTTATTGATAGATATATAAGTCTTAAAATAAGCTTTATTAATTTTCTTTAGATTTTTTAAAAAATTCTATATAGCTATAAACCTGAAAGTATATTTACACTGTAAAATACACTCGATAGGGCCTAGTGGAGAAGATTCGAAAGATCCTGATACATTCTACGCAATCACGACGAACTACGTGATCTACGGTACCCAACTGATACGATTGAACCCATTCCGCATCTTGCGCCACAAGAACCAGACGGGATGAAATGTCGTGCGTGCGGCCATATTGTTCGTCGTATCCAAAAGACACAAAAACATTGTGCTGACGAGCATCAATGGATGAACACAGGAGGCAGAGGCAACCAAAGCTCAAGAGGAGGGGAGGTCAGGATGAATAACAAGGCATGAAGAGATAGAGGCATAACTTCTAAATTGGTAAATTATAGATCAGAGGATGTACGGCTGACATGAACGAATTGATTCAGAATGTACAATACACTCTCCTACTTCTGGCAACACTCGATGACAGACGTCTAGTAACCTCTGCGTTCTGGAGTAAGCACTACATGACCTTGCAGAGTCAGGTGTAGAGAATCTCGGTGATGACCTTTCCATGATGTCCTAACAGCACGAATGCTTTCGTTGTCTCTCGTAGGGTATGGGGTGTACGTGATTCGCTAACTTAGAACATGACACCGCATTTTAGCTCAAACCTGCTGGAATAGGTTTGTAGCTTGAGACATAAGGAGTAATGGCGGTATTCGGTCGCTCCCGTCGAGACTCAACTGGAAATTATGGTTTCTGGCCATATACAACATGGCTGAGTGCGTTAGATGAAGTCTAGGATGGCTTTGAGGTGTAGACTTACAAATCAAACAGAGCATGGTACTTGCGAGCATACAATTCCTGACGTATCTGGGCCAACATCACCAGGACTTCGTCCATGGGCATGCCCAGAACTCCACAGAATATCTTCAGAGAGAAAGCCTCTAGGCCTTCCAAGAGTTGAGCGATATTACACATGCCTATATCTTTCAACTGTGGATCTTTGGGCCATGATCCTAGAGGCAATCGGAACTTTCGGTGGACAACATTCGTGAAGCCAGCATGCCTGATCCACCCTTCAAGTCTTGGCCCTGGGCAGGGCTCGCGGTTCAGCTTCGTTCTTGCCGTATCGATGAATAGTTTCATCCATTTCAGGAGGTGATGATCGTCCGTGATTGAGCCGTCTTCTGAATAGTAGAGAAGGTCAAAGTCCTGAAATTCGGCCCAGCCGCCAGGATGAAGGTGCCTGTTGACGATCAGTAGGTGCTATCACTTCATTTCGCGCTAAATTACTCAAAAACGTTCTCCACTAGCTTTGGCCAGTCCAGGATGGAAGTCGACATGTAGCGTGAAAAAATGTAGTCAAACTTATCGTGGACCCATGGTTGCTCAACGTCATCGACCTCGAACTTGACGTTTGGGGGAACCCTTCTTCTATCAACATTGCTACACGTCAAGCTCGGGATCAACATACCATGTGGGTTGGATAGCACTCAAATCGTTTCCGATAATCTAGAATGTCAGCAATTCTTGCTCCGTATATAGGGAAAGCGTTACATACTTCAGCACTAGGATACTCTTCACCGACGCAAATGGCCCCTATTTCTGTAAGCATGAATCGACACAAAGGAAGACTGAACATAATACCCACATATACCTGTCCCTGTACCGATATCTAAAACCCTTGCTGACCTATTCAAGTCAACTGGAGCTAGAAACAGGCGATTGCCAATGCCTTTAGTTATGAGCAAATGTGTCAGATCGAGTCGTTCTCGTTCTGCTTCGTCGTTGGGAAAGTTATAGGCTGTAAAGTATCAGAAGTTGCACAAAGTCGTACGAACTCAGTGAAGGTCTTACAGTCCGCATTGTAGGCATGGTATTGTCGACCGAATTCAGTGGGATAATTCAGGACGCTCGAGGTCAAAGACGCAGTGTAGGTTGATCTGCTTCGATAAGTAACAGACTCGAAAAGGACCTGGTGATTTACATTTCACTACTTAAGGTTGAGTCACTGTCGTTAACCTTGGAACGGTGATTAGATTGCAATAGCGTAAGAAGAGGGGTAGGGAAGGCACACAGGACGCGTGTCCACTTCAACTGGGGCCGTATTAGTGGCGGCTTCTGCTGCTTCGTGCACCGGTGACTGCGGAGGATTAGAAGGACTTATGCCAGTCATTGTGGCGGATACGATGGGGAAAGGATTGCTGGGCAGCTGCTAAGGAAGTAGACGAAGGGTCAAGTGAAACGGCTTACGGGAAACGTCTTGTACTGGGGCCACCGGGTAAACTAGTGATAGCCGAAGTTTATGGCGTGGGGAAGGTCCAAGTTTCATAGGCTAGTGAGGCCATACGCCCCACTCAGTAATCTCTCCACTCAGTGTTAACAGGCTACAGTACGTCAGCTGACTTAATCGAGCTACTTAGCACGTGACCCAGTTGAAGCGCTGTTGGCACAACACTGTTACCGAGCCCTGACCTAGACTGTATCACTAGATGAGGAAATATCTTGGAATACTCTTACTCATCTTCTCTATAACTTTTGAAAGACCTGGTAACTGCTTGGCGGAGATTCTGGCCGTTGGTGGATGTCCTGTGTTGCGAACCCCGCTTCAGACGTCATCATCGTCATGGGACGTGACCCGCAACGCTATCCTCAAATCAAATCTGGGGTCATCTCAGTGCCCACAAGCCTCGCCTTACTGACAGCGGGGTCGATCCAATTAAAATGCCTATATAAGAGGTACTTTATTGCCTGCCTAATTTCTATTATGATAGAAGTACCAGCAATTCCCGTTGTTGCAAAGAGGAACCTTACACACGCTACGCCAAGTATTTCAGGGGTCGGATTCGTCCCCTGCTCGATACCTCTTCCTATCTACATCCTTATTGTTCGTCCCAATTTCACTGAAAGAGGAAATTCTACATCTCTCATTGGCTTATACCCCTGGTAGTTCCTCTTTCACTGAAAGAGGGACAATATTTTTAATCCCCTGCCCGTTTTTTCGATTAAAAGTGCCTGATAATACCTTCTTATTGGCTGGTTCGTTCCTTCGTTGCAACCTTTGCAGATAGCTTTACTTTGGTGGCGCAAAGCGATATTACCTCCTGAGCGCCTACGTGTAAATTAATATCTTGACCGCGCGTGTTTCGTGACCGCGTCGTAGTAATTTAGGAGGGCTCTACCGACGCCAGTATGTGGAACAAAGATTTCCCCCTCCTCAATTGACTCTTGACCTTATCAGTTGTCCACTTTTACGATGAAGTATCGACTACCCTAGTACTACAGTCCACAATCAACTCAAGTAGAATTGATTTTATTGACCCACTTTAACCTTAGTAGGGTTGATTATTGCCAGGGTGTAGAGTTGATTTGACATCGTTCTATATACAGGAATAGTAGTGCTGATCAAAATAGGGGTTTATCCAGAGCGCGACGCGTCCTTTCCCGTAAAACCCATTTCTAATAGAATGCATTGATTTGTTACATTAAGCATATAATCCCCCATAGGATACAAATTGGATTCGAATGATCCTGACAAGTCAAACGATGATGCCTAACTGCTCCGTACCTCTAATAGGTAAGGCTCCGATTAGCTCAGTGGTTTAAGAAATTGCTTGGATTCTGACAGCATTTTCCGCAGAACAATTACTCTCTCCTAAGACCTTCGTGAGGTGAAATAACCACTGTCTCAAGGAGGGCAGGCAGCGGCTAATCAAGCACGACACCACAGTGTTCTTGAGCCCCAAATTGGCATAAACGTGGAATGGTTATAATATATATCTTTCGGGTGGTCTATATCTGTCAGTCCTGGTCTTCTCAAAACATCGACCTCCCGTGTCTAGGTTCTCCTGTGTCATGCAGCTTCAGTTAGTGCATTACGACGGTATCTTGTCAAGGCTTCATGGCACCCGGCATATACATTTACTATCCAGTGAAGAAAGCCGAGACTCGCACCAATTATACACCTGACGCCAGAAAAGCCCAACTCTCTCTCTCTTTGTCACCCTCTCCCTCACTGCTCGACTTTCGCAGGGCCCAAAACGCTCTTGACATCCATGATATCCATGTGATTCGACAAGATCAGCTCTCTACCCCATGGTATGATTGACGACCTTGGATCTTCTTACTTCTATATAACGTCCCTGGAGGTATTTCGTCTGGCCGATACATCCAGTGCACGCGTGCATAGACGTGGTCTGCATTCAAAGCTCGGACTTCGAGAATGCGTGTTACCCATTCCTCATTATCTTGTGTTGCTTGGTTACTGTTTATGTTCTGACGTTTTATAGTTTGTTCATTGGCGACGAAGACAAAGTCGCCCAGTTTATGTTTGAGGCCGCGTAGAATGAAGCTCTTGTAGCTTGTCATTTCCTGCCATGCGGTTCTAGGCCCTACCACATAGAGGAGGTCTAGGGAGTCCGTAATAGACCACGTGAGAGGGAACGTTTGTAGCTTGATTCGTCCGTGAGAATTGATAAGGCCGTGTTGGCTTGTACTTTCACGGCCATGCTTCGCTCTGGGCTTTGGGGTTGTCCTTGGATATGAGATGTAGAAAGGATGTTCTTTATATTGCTCTTGTTCTTCGGCACGCACACACTTGTGGCCTGTCATTTGAGCGGCTTTACGCGATCAGTCGAGTCAATCAAGTGGTCGTCACGATCGCAACCTGAACTAATGAGTGATGATAACGTGAGATGTGCTCCTGGAGTTTGGAAAATAATGTAGATAGTAAGCAAGAACATGTAATCATGGAAGAATAATAAACAGAACACAACCGAGACTCTGATAGGTTAGAAGTTCTTTCAACTGATTGCAGATACGTTCATTGAGAAGAAGGACAGAAAATGAAAACAAAACTCAATCGACAATTTCCACATCGTCAGCCGCTTAGTAATAAAGTTTTATAGCGGGGCGCGGTCTCTGCTATATTACGTCTCTTACCCCAGACAGATTTCTTTACTATAATTACTCCGGCTTTTAGACAAGAAACAACAGTTATCTCTATCGGTAAGCGCCAATACTACTCTACTTATGTATAGTCATACCTACAAGTGAAATCTGAATTCTTCTATTACCTAAATCTAACAAAACGTCATGTAAATGTCATAAAACATTGGGGTGCAACCTCCAAGCCCAAAATGATCATGTCGTTACGTGTTCTAAACATGTCACTATCATTGACACATAGTTTCCTCAAGACTTTTCAAGACACAGTTCAACGGAATATTTTCCCGCGTCTTTGTTTCCTACTATCATAGCGGTATCCTTTGACAGAACAACTTTCATGCTGCATCTGTACGAATTCGCTTCTGTCGAGCTCCCTCACCAGCTGGACCTGCATGCAACGTCTGGAGAACCATCCAACATCCTGGTCTTGACTTTTTCTGCTCTTCCGTCCGAGCATAAGGATGCCGAATCATCTGTAAAACAGCTGTACCAAGCTCTGTAATCGTATCAGCTTAAATTCCATAAAATCATCATTCACCTTACCTTTATCCTCACACTGCCCAATACTCTTCATCGCATCGTCATAATGCCTATGGAACAACCATCTATTCCCTTCAAATGCTTCACCCTCCCTCCAAGGATTCACACGATACTGCCACGGATGTCTTCCAAGAAGCATCCAGATTGCCGCTACACCAACAGCCCAAACATCTGTCGTTGTGGTAAACTCTCCCAGTTCTCGCTCGGGAGATATATAACCCACCGTTCCCTTCGTTCCAGGCGTCACTGTTACGATGCCTCGGGGTGCATAGATTGCGTCTTCTGTGTCGAGGAGGACTATGGATGTTTGGTCTAGGACCCATTTATGAATGCCGATATTCATGGGTTTTATGTCGCCGTGGATCCAATTGTTGTCATGTAGGAAGGTGAGAGCTTCCAAAAGTGCTACTTTGCGCAGTCGTGGTGGTAATTCAACGAATTACAACAAATCTGGCCCGTGCACGTTGCTGGGTTATCCGTGTACGCGTTATGTTTTTTTTAAGCTCATTAAACTATTATATAATAGGCGCTTAGTGTAATTTATAATTGCTCAAGTATAGACAAAAGTCTTAGATTATCCTTTTCAAGCACCTATTAGTGTCCTTCACGGCCTAGTACTATTAGGTAAGTATCAACTCCAGCCGCTGCTTGGAAGTGAGGTTAACGGTGCCGGGACATATCAGTCAACTTACTACTTGCAAATAGTATCAACCGCAAGCATGGCTGCTGTCGCACAAAGCGTCAAGCTCGCTGTCCTGATCGACGCGGACAATACCAGCCCTAACGCAGTGTGCTTTATATTGGCAGAGATTGCCAAATTTGGCGCTGCTTTTGTCAAGCGCGCCTATGGTGATTGGACTAGTCCCGGCTTAAACAGATGGAAAACACCTCTCCTCGAGAATTCGATACAGCCGATGCAGCAGTTTGCATATACTACTGGAAAGAATTCAACAGATTCAGCCATGATAATCGATGCCATGGATCTTCTGTACTCCAAAAATTTTGATGGCTTCTGTATTGTCTCGAGTGACAGCGACTTCACTCGACTCGCTTCACGGATTCGCGAATCTGGTCTCGTCGTTTATGGCTGTGGAGAGCGCAAGACTCCTAAAGCATTCGTTACAGCTTGCGACAGGTTCATTTACGTCGAAAATCTTATGCCAACAACAAAAGCTGCGCGACCAGTTGGCTCAGATGGGCCGTCTAGCGCAGCAGGGCTATCCGCGTCGTCAAGCTCCCTTCCGGTCCACACATTGCTGGCTAAGCGGAAAAGGGTCAAAAGTAGATTGGAAAAGGAGGCGTCCATCGACACCCAAGCTGTTGGTTCTTTGACGATTGAAACTCGGGAGGTTGATGAGGAGGTAATTGACTTACTGTGGGAAGCAGTTGAAGTAGCAGCAGATGAAGAGGGATGGGCCGTTCTTTCGAAGGTCGGGTCTCTTATCACGAAATGGCATCCAGATTTTGACTCTCGCACTTACGGATTCAGAAAGCTAAAGGAGCTAATGGCATCCACCTCCCTCTTCGAAATCATCCACCGCAGCCCTGGACTAGGAAAGCCAGAGCTAGCATATGCACGTTGCAGTGTTGAACAATGGGAAGCCCGTCTACTCTAGAATACTAGATGGTAACGGGGCCCGTTACGGGTTCTAAGCCAATCAAAACTATTATATTTAACATGGGGTCCTCAAACTCGTAACGGGCCCCGTTACAGTCCAGGTCATGTTTACAAAATCGCTGAACGGGGCCCGTTTCATAACACGGTGATCCGTGCCATCCTTGCTGAGTTCATTGCTCTTAGGCAAGAGCCAATCATAGGTAACTAAAATCATTAGTTGATTTGACTTCATGTCTGATCTCTCCTCGACTGTCGCGTCTTGTACTTGTATTCAATGGTTTAGTGATTGAATTTGTAGCGTTTCTCTTCTCCGAATATTTCACCTGGTCGCCAGTCCGTACTCTTCTATTCCTAATTGTCGTGTACCCTTAATTGTCGCGTACCCCCGCTTATTTCTCACGTCTTCGTTTGTCTCCTGTCTATTCCCATATGATCATACTACGGTGAATTATGTTTTCTCATTTCGATCGACAGTCTGCGGGCGTATTACACGCGTAAACGCGTACTTCAGCTTTTTTACACCGTCTACTCTCTTTGCTGTAATTTCAATACGAGGTTTTCTCCAACGATTCTTAAAAACTCGTGCCATCAAAAGGCTGCAAATAAGTAGGTTTCAAGGGTGCAGGACCATATCGCCAGGACGTCTCGACGACAAGACTAAGGGTGAACATCACCAGGAGGTTATTATAGACGTAACTGACCACCTGTCTCACAAACCGCCATAAGAAGACCACCAGCCTACAAGCAAGCATAGTTCCAACGTAAATACCAACACGTAGAGCAGAAGTGCCGTACTCCAGGTCGGGAGTAATATACAGGACATCGATACAGCAGGCAGTCACTCTTAAGAAAAAGCTCCTCCCGATATTCTTAAAGGCCATCGGCAGGATTATTGGGATTAGGAGGATATACAGCTAAATTCACTATATAATTGTAAGCTAACTACCGTGTTATTCAGCTTGCAAACACACAAGAGGGACTTGAAATCATCCAGCACGACTATCATGAACCATTCAGGCCTCGTTGATATGGACCTCGATCTTGTTTGTACCAGTGGCCCTTGTCTTGATATAGGTCAGATCCGGCGCCCGCTGTGGGTCCCCGAGATGGTTAGTCAAGAGCCAGGTGCCGTTGTCCTCTAGGTTGAAACCGGTGCCGGTGTCAATAAGGCGGGCTTTAAACCCGGACTGGGCTGAGACCGCGTGGGCCTCAACCATATTGGTGCCTGTGTTTCTGATCTTGATATAGTACAGGTCGGCAAACTGGCCGCTGCCGATTCGTGGAGCGAGACACCAGGTACCGTTGTCCTCGACGGCGAAATCGGTACCAACCTGCTTGGTGAAGCTCTGATATCGAGACTCCTTGCTGGCGACGTGGTACTCGATTTTGCCGGTGCCAGTGTTGCGTGTCTTGATGTACACAAGGTCTCCCTTCGCTGACATAGTCCAGACGCCGTTGTCCTCAATGTCGAAGACAGTGCCCGTCTGGAGCACGAACCGCTGGTAACGGGACGCAGCGTCAGCGACATGTACCTCGATCTTTCCGGTGCCCGTATTTCGCGTCTTGATGTAGACAAGGTCGGCCTTGCCGTCGCCCGTGTAGTCCTGCATCAGCCAGGTGCCGTTGTCCTCTATGTCGAAGACGGTGCCTGTCTGAATGATGAACTTCTGGAAGCCTGACTCCCTGCTGACAGCATGCACCTCGATCTTATTGGTGCCCGTGTTTCGCGTCTTGATGTAAACGAGGTCCTGCGTGCCGTTGCCGTCGACGTCGGCAAAGGTCCATACGCCATTGTTCTCGATGCTAAAGGCAGTGCCGGTGGCGACGATTCTCTTCTGGTAGGCCATGATTAGGATGTTGTTCAGAGATGAGAATATAAAGTTTGGTGTAAATGTAATGTCTGGTGTTTTGAGCTTGTTTGTGGTTAGATATTGGGCCCTTGGTAGCGATGTGGCCTTCTTTATATAACCTTTACTGATCATCTTGGTGTCGAACTGTCGGACTCTCCCATACAGTCTTCTCCTTGCAAAGGTCCACTTCTTCAGCTTCGCTCAGTCCGACACAAGAACACATCTAGACCTCGTTCTCAGCTCGCCACAAACAATATCACATTTCCGTCACTAGACTATTGAGATAGAAATTTGCCCAGTCAGGTCATTCATGTCGTCTTCAGCCAGACATTGTCAGATACGAAAGTTAGTTGTCAGAATGAGGCTTTCCAGCCTTCGTCGCAATTCGCTCTCCGGAACCAAGCTATTAATTCTCAGGCAGCCATGCGCGCTGTGTGTCTTAAAAGCCAACAGCTGACTCTTTTTCTCTACACAGCCGAGTTATCTTTCGGCCAAATTCCTTTATCGAACTGCTACCTGTTCATATCAGCCAGCCACAGCGAACCATGGGGCAGGGGGAAGCGATTCTGACACTGGATTTATCAAGCCACATCGCATAAGGGGCCATTTCAGCTCAGTGTGTCTGCCATCCTTGGCTGCTCTCTTTCCAGGATACCAGCTTAAGTAGATAGAATTTGCAGGCGGCATGCGGCTTGCATATTAGCTAGCCAAAACGAGGCCCAAGCATGCCTCACAGGAAACACAGGAGAAGGCTCTGTGGCATTTATTGTTGAAAATATAGTTTGTGCCTTTTGTTATATTAAGTAGTAATTTCTTATTTATTTTATTAGTAGAATTCTTAGTATTAAGAAGAGTATCTACTTAAGTAATATCATATTTCAAATACCTAAGAGGCAATATAGTACTATTTAATAATCTGTTTAGTTATAAAATACCTCCGTAAACCGTCGGCACTTATGGCAGAACCCTGGAAAATGTGGCTCGCTGAAAAGCCGAAAAAACAAGCTTGTCTTATGTCGATCTCATGGTGCTAGGCATTCTAGACCAGACCTAGTCTACTAACGTTAGTCGCTGCAAATAAGTAGGAAGCGGCTTGATTGGCTTAATTTTAAAATGGAAGAGAACATACTGCATGACGACCTTATGTACAAGGAGATGGGCCAAATTCAACTCGGCCCGGATGCGTGCTGTTCCTCTAGAAAAGACAGAAGCTAAATATGGCCTTGGTTTAGATCACCTCGCGCACATTCGTAGTATTGCTCCAGTGCCATTTAACCCGTTCCGAAAGCATAGATCTACCGTGTAGTGGGCGTTAGGGCTACTGAAGGGATGGATAACAGAGTTTATTTCTTCTCTGAGGAGAGAGAAAACAGCCTTGGTCTATGGCCGTTTTCGGTTTTGATGGAAACCCTGTCAACCCCCCCAAAACGGCTTGCTTGACCGGCTGCAGCCATAAAAGCCCCTCAGCACAGACTGACCAAACAGGGCTTGATGGCGGGCAGCCGACTACGCAGCGATGGAAGCACAGGGCCATCGGGCGTTCAGTGGCACTTGTGACAGATGACAAGTGCAGGCGAGCAACTCAAAAGCGGCTCGGCGAGCCACACTGTGGTGTGAGAGTACAATTGCGGCATGGCAGAGGGGAAGCGAATGGGCAATCATTGGCTGTCGTATGTTTCCTCAATTATGCGGTGGCACGCTTTACCCCGCAAACTATGTTAGCATCAAGTTGTTAGGCAGATCGGCCGGCTCCGCGAAGATAGCTAAGACCTAACGAAGGAACCTAGTCCTACAGTCTGGCTGTTGTTCTGGCTGAACATTGACTGTGGGGTTCGTGAGCGGGCGATCGGATGGGGTCGACGGGCCGCGTGCACGGGTTATTCCTCGAGGACAACTTTCCTCCAGGGCAGCCAAGCTAACTCCAAATTCCAAATCGAATGAGGCTGGCGCGACTTAAAACCCTATATAAAAGACAGACTCTATTGATACGCACCCAACTCTCAATTCGTACGCACCCCACCACATTCAGCCACAATGCCTCCGACATCGCCCCGTGAGCTTTGTCTCCGCCATTTCCAACAATACGGCCCACAACCATGGAAAACAAGACAAGACTAGTCCTAACTTAACTGCAGCTACCTTTGGTGCTAAGGCAGTATTGAACTACCTTAATTTATTAAATTCCACCCCGGGTAACTTCCTAATCCGTTGCAACAGTAATGCTATCCCCAACCTTTTCTTTTCCCGTTTCCTTTGCAGGCGACGACTCTGTTATGTCCGGGTTTTCTTCCACTTCAAGAGCAATATGCCGCTCAATTGGCTTGTTCGTATCTTCCTCTCTCTTTGCCTGTTGACGAGCAGCTTGAGTTGTTACTGAAACAGCAACTTTACGCCGTTTTCGCCGAAGTTGTTGGTCATGTAAGTCAGCTGCATCTTCCTCGTCAAGAGTTGGTCCTAGTTCGAACTGGGAGTAATTTCGACGCGCCGACCTCTGCACGCCACTTCGTGTTGAGCCTTGAGGGGCAAATTCTTGTTCTGGGATTGCACGTTCGTTGCCAAATGGTTCACTATTTCGTGGTCGACCCTTAGGTATCCCCATTGGAGGACGTTTTATTTGAAGAAGAGGATCGTCAATATCTCGTGATCGTTTGATATGCCAAAATGTATCCAAGCCTTCCTTCTTTAGTGGTTCGTCTTGAAGAGCCAACTCCAAGAGCCTGTGAGCACAAGGCAAGCCATACTGAGTTTTCGTAGAGCCTGTACAAGGTGGCAACATCTTCTTGGAGACCTCGCTTGATTCCATAAGCCTGTGGATCTCGTCCAGCTGGTCTAATGCCCAACGAGTGACAGTTAAGGGCAACTGGCCAAGCCATTCTCTTCCCGAGAACTGGTTCCGAATAGTGGTATTTGCCCGCTGTATTTTGTCTTTATACAGCTGACGTTTATCGTCTGTCTGACTAGCCGTTGCTGCTTCAACATCAGGGAGGTCAGACCGAAGGGATAGGTGGTAGGTCTTCAGAGAATGATGGTTTGATTCGGCGGGTGCTGCAGTAATCAATCCGAAATTTCGATAATAGCGAGTATAGTAGCAAGCCCATTCTCTCTTCAAGGGCAAGTATGTATCCTTGAGATATCTAAGAATTCGCTCCTGGTGTGGAAAGGTCTGTTGAATTTGCCTCCAAGCTTGATTGAAGTCGTCTTCCGATCTGGTGTATACCATATATCTCCGGAGGAGGTACATACCGGCACGAGTATTTAATACTCGTTTGGGAAGAGGACCAAGCTTTGCATTCTTCATGTCTTTGACCTTGGTATTCCCACGCTCCAGCTCCTGGACATCAGCTGCGTCTGCATTGTCTTGATCATCGTCCATATCAGAGCCCAGTGAGCCGTTGGCTTTCTTCCACCACTTCTTGATATATCAGACCACGTTGCTGTTGATATGGAAGACGCATAGCTGAAGTTGCGTATTGAGAAAGACTTGACGGATTGCATTACGCGATTGATCGTCCTTATCTGTGATAACGATCTCTGGGGGACGGATGATGCCTGCCCGTTGGAACCTAGATACCTGCTTGAGAAACCACTCTAAACTAGCAACTTGCTCATTATTGAGTAGACCATAACAGATAGGCATAGATGTATTCTCTGAGGATAAGGCCACAACAGTAACCAAAGGCATCTATAGCAGTTAGTACTATATGTAGCATCAATCTGGAGACATGACGAGAATTGTTGCCACATTTTGCCACCTTTGTGATATCCCCAAGCAGCATTTCGAAAGCGGAATTCATCCCCAATCCAGTCTAGCCCCCATATCCAGACTTTCTTCGACTCAGAGAGCGTCCGTACAAATTCGTTGGCAGGGCCGTAGCCGTGACGTTTGGTCTGGTTGACTTTCCATCGCCAGTTGTAAATATCGGTTCTCCGAATAGGAATCTTTGGCCACTTTTGACAGAGTTACTTATGAACGCATCGACAGGAAGTCGTCTTGTCAAGACAAAGATCTACCAGAAGATTCATTTGTTCCTCTGTTAACCTTCTCCAATGGTTGTGCTCGGTAAGATTTTTCGATCGGCTGTGATCTCGATGAAGAGGACTGACAATTCTCATGGACCATTCGTAATTGTTGGTCTGGAGAGATTGAGCGATAATCTTAAACTTGCAGTTGGCGGCCAACTTTGTGGTAGTCGTATTCCGTATTTTGGCAGTGGATTCCCTTGGATTGTACCGACTCTTATCACAGACAAGCTCATATTTTATCGTTCTTGTCTTCGCCTTATCCTTTTGACTTCGTAACGTAATGAGACCCATCCGATTCTCAATACAGAACCCCTTTAGGGCATCAAAGAGTCCGCCAGAAGACTCATAGGTTATTGCCAGAAGTGGGGAGTCCGAGGGAAAGACTACCTCCCAAGGCTGACCGTCCCAGTCGTCATGGTCGTGGAAATCGTCACAGTCATCGGAATCGCTACATTCATCCGCTGATTCGACTGGTAGCGCTTCACGGGGTTCAGGAAGCCCTGAAGGAAGCGCCGGAGGCGGCATCGGAAAGGCCATGGCGATAGCTTATTGTTAGGTCACACAATGATGCTGTGTGAAGCTGTTGTAATCCATCTACTTCTTGTTCTTTGGCTATTCTCGTGTGAACAGGATTCTAATGCTCTATGTAGTTAGTCTCTTTGAACAAAGTGTAGAGGTCAGAGATCTAGGACTTTTGAGTCCTACAAAGTCCTACCATCTAGGACTCGGCCCTATAAGGACTACTGGAGCACCTGCAGTCAGCTGGCAATTGGTTATCTTCTCAACATTGCTTAATTCGTTGTTATTATCAGTCGCGAACATACTGCACACGAGATATCATTGTCGGCGAATTGCAAGATTGGCGACATCGGGAGGCATTGTGGCTAGTATGTGGCTGAATGTGGTAGGGTGCGTACGAATTGAGAGTTGGTGCGTATCAATAGAGTCTGTCTTATGTTAAGCCAGAAGTATAGCAGTACATCGCTGAGGTTCAACGTGTTGACCCTGTTGACTATGTTGCGGCCTGAATCTCAAGTATCTCATCTTGCTTGACGACTTTCTCTTATTACTCAAACCTTTTGACGCGAAACGGTAGATTCCTCATATTATGCTTATCGTATGCAGGTAACTTCTGATAGCCAGGAACCACTGAGGGCGATTCCCCCGTTCCTTGCAAGGTACCACTTGAGCTATGCTTACACCGAGTAAACTATACATTGAATAAACACCGTAAAGCATAAGAATTGTACCAGTCGGCAGTATTTTACCGCGTGACTTGGAATTTACAATTGGGCGTCTTATATGAAGTACACCGATGTTACATCACATGGAGTAGACCCAATCAGAAGAATTCACACCTTGCCAGCTGAATAGTAAGACCAACCTTTTGAAGCCAACCATCAAATCGTAATTACTCACTTATCAGCAACTGTTTCCCTGCCTCAACGCCACCAGTTATGGTCCAATAATACCTTGAGAAATAGTCACCTGACAGGTTGAAAATCAAGCAGCGCGTCTTGCACTTCCTTAAGCATTGAGATAAGCTCCCAACTCATACGCAGCAACCTGTATACTGGGTCCTGTTTAAAGTCTATAAAACTATGACTTGGCGAGTAGTAATGGCCTTGTCCATATTCAATTGTTTGCTTCCCCGCGCCTCATCACTACATGAAAGAAGAACTTGGTCAATAACGCAATCTCTTTTCGGCAAGCATCGCTCTTATAAAAACACTTAGAATGTCTTCTATACAAAACAGAATTCCTCATACACTATCAGATGAAGTGCTTAACAACGACACGATGTCTTCAATCTCGGGAGAGGATTACATGCTTAACGAAATCTCGAGATCACCCAACCCTAATCCAGTACCTCTCAATCTATCGCTAAATCCAATCCTCAATACCTATCGATCAGAAGTACACGCGGTGCTCTATGAAGAAAAAAACTTCTTGTCAAACTCTCGGGTGGATGTTCTGACGGTCTCGGGGCCCAAAAGCGAAACAGGTACTTTCAGAGTTCTGTGCCCCGTCAGTGTCACTTACTGACGTATATGCCAGATTATCGTAGAGACCAGCATGACTCCCAAGTCCAGGCGATAATTGATGTAATTATCTCCCGTCAGATGTTGGGTATTCTACTGACTGGTCAAGTCCCTCAAGCTAGACGCAGACAGTCCGACTCTTGTGGCTTTGTATATCATATCCCCGGCAACCTGATTGGCTTTATGTTCTTAGCCTAACCATTTTGTACGTCTAGATGCATCAAACTTGAGAAAAACTCCAGCGCAACATATAAATACACGCCATCTATTTCGAAAACTCTTCTTACCCGTCTCTTCAACGATTATAACATCAACAGCAACTTCTTGCTCGATCTGGTTGGGCGCGCGAACTACTGGTCAGCGGTATCTCAAGTAAAATATGACACTGTTAAGAACGGTGAGATATTTGGTAAGTGGGGAAAGCGAATAGTGATGCCTGTCTGACTTGATGATTCGTTTAGAATTCCATTGTCAACAGCCACGATGGCATCACAGAGAATGGTACGACAAAGAGAAAACGGAAGAGACAGCGGCCTCGGAGTGTAATAAGGCGCCCTGCTCTGTCTACATGTCATATTCCGTGACCACTGACACATCCATATACTTAATCGTGGCACCAGATGAGGACATCTGGTTTTCTTTCATCGGTCTGATACAGCTTGGTTCCGTTCCTGTTAACAATCAGCTAGTTACAGGACATGACTTGGCAAAGAGTCCTTTTCTTATATACGCAATGGTCTCCAACATTGGTTTGGAAAAGGCTGCTAAGCACATTACTGAGGCACAGGACTTCCTAATGGCCCAAGTACTTCTTTCAACCACTCACGGATATACCTAACTCTGACACTAACGTGCTTGATAGCTCAGACGGGTCGATAAATACTCAGAAAGCTTGAAAATGAGTGGAAAGCAAAACCGAGATGCTCACGATTCTGACTCGAGGGAAAAGCTATCTTCAATCACGCGAGAGCTGCATTACGTATCGCAATTGCTAGACACAGGGCTTGCACGTTCAAGGTCAGCCGTGAAGCTCAGCGCCAAATTACTCCAAGCTCATGAACAATTTTGTCATCACACTGGCCGAGGACTGCCAGGTACAGCAGCAAGTCAAACACAAGCAGCGACTCAATACATACACGATTCATATATATGCCAAAACAGCTGGTTGGAGCAGTTCAAAGCACGAAAGGAAACGGCCATGCAATTGGTGAGTTTGATCCCGTTGTAAATCGCAGGATCTAATCCCAAGACAGGTGTTTAATATGGTCACGCAAGGTGACAGCGCCATCAATCTCAGGACTTCTTACAGAATGTCTCAAGATAGCGCTTCAATCTACGCCATCACAGTTCTCGCCATGGTTTTTGTCCCAGGTAATTTCACAGCGGTACGTTCTGCTGCTCTTATATTAACGACAAGTGTACTGATAATTTCAGGCGTTGTTCTCCTGTGTTGCGTTCCGAGCCACAGAATCTGGCGCCATGGAAGTCACGGATTGGCTCTTACCGTTTATACTTATAACAGTAATCTTAACATTGACCGTGATTACACTGTGGTTATCTCATGAGAGAATTCGAGACTTTTATTATGCAGTGGCTCTAAGATTACAGAAGCAAACAGCTAGATCAGGGAGGGTTCTTAACGCTATGCCATAACTAGCATAAAGCACTACTAGGCTGCGCCTCCACCAATAAATATGCTGCGCCTACACCCCTTTTATCCAGCTCACTTTCGGTGAAAGTAGAAATTCGCAGTCTTTCATTGGCTTATACCCCTGTATATCCTCTTTCACCGAAAATGTGACGGGGTTGTTAAGCTTCTAGCTGGCTTTTTAATTAAGAGTAGATGATATACCTTCTTATTAGTTAGCCTCTTCCTCCGTCGTAACCTTTATAGCTATACTTGCCTTTGTGGCGCAAAACGATGCTACCTCCTGAAAGCCTAATCCAGTAGGCAAATGCGAGTTAGGTCTTCAAGGCCGCCACTAATTATTGGGCTAAACTTAATTCTAATATGTATTTATATGGTCTAGAGAGCATAAAGAATGAAGTTTTATTCTTTTTGAATTAATATTGCTGTCGAGGCATGTTATGGTATGTTGCGATAGAGTGACTCTCAATCAAACGTTACATTTCCTATTATGGAGTAGCGCACTTCATCAGTCAAGCGTTACATTTCCTAACATGGCTAGTGCTCCCAGCTTCGCGAAGTTCAACTCTCTCACACAATGTGTTGTCAGGTGCGGGGTCTTTATGAGTGACCCCCTCGCACTTCCAATGTATAATGGTATAGTAATGAACAATTGATTTTGGACTGTAGGACTAGGAGAGTCGCCAGGGGAAGAGAAGACTTCACTGCATTTTTAACTACACGCGAAGGGATCAGAAGAATCATCGTTGGTTGGGAGAAAATTCGTGGTGGAGACTGCCCGTCATGGCGGACCCAATAGGGGCCGAGATCGTAGTGGAGCAGGATGACGCCCCCTTTTCGACGCCAAAGAGACCGAGTCGAATGGTGAGGCCAACGAGCAAGGTCCGAGACACCGCGCGACAATTGGAAGACACTGCCAAAGAAACGCGAAAAACTACCCGGCAGACGACGCGAAATGTACCGGCCGAAGAACAGATCGACCGACCGACCGAAACCCGAAAGAGTAGCGGCAGTGGCAGCAGCAGCGATGGAAGGGCAATGCTGCAGAAGGCGCTGGATCTCCTGGCGGAGTCGCGTAGGGAGACCAAGAGGCTGCAGGAAGCGCTGAAGGAACAGATGGAGATGACCAGGGAACTTAAGGAAGCTGTTATAAAGCAGGAACAGACAGTGCACGAGATGGGCAAGCAGATGGTAGAGATCAAGGATCAGACGACCGAGGAGCTGCAGCGCGTCCGCGAGCAGCTCGAAACTACCATGACGAACGCAATGGACGGACCTCAAAGATCATATGCTGACGTCACACGACTGACATCGTTCTTACCCCACAACGATTCGAGAACCTTAGCCGCTCCTCCGAACCCTGCAGACGTGCTTTACTGCACGATTGACGTTTCAAGACTAGAAGAAGATGAGGCTAGGCCCTCAGCCGGGACGATCCGAGCGACGGTGGAGAACGAAGTCCGCTCCGAACTGGATAATCCCACGTGGCGATGCCGAGCGGTGACTAAGGACCTAAAGAATCCCCACCACGTCAGGATCACCTGCAGGGATGAGAACGAGCATGAGATTGTGAAACGCGCAGCGGAAACAAAACTCGCCCCTGGGGCCCGGATCCTACGAGATGACCTCTACCCCATCAGAGTCGATAACGTTAGCTGTATTGCGGTATTGGATGAGAGAAATGAAGTTCGAGCAGAGGCCACTCAGACCTTGGGCCGAGAGAACGACACCGAAGTCGCGAAGATAGCGTGGCATAGCAGGAGAGACGTCCCCAAGGCGTACGGCTCGATGGTCGTATACCTTAAGAAGCGTTCCGAAGCCAGGCGATTCATTAGCGAAGGGTTTTTCGTGGCTAGAGGAGAGTCCGGCACCACAAAAGTGTTTGAGCGTCGTGACCGACCAAAACAGTGCTGCAATTGCCAGCAGATCACGAACCATAAAGCCTACCAGTGCGACCGACCGCAAGTCTGCGGCAAGTGTGCACGAGAAGGTCATCACCATAGCAGATGCACAGAAGCGATCCTGAGATGCGTCCCGTGTGGGGGTCCTCATGAGTCATTCAGCAGAAACTGTCAGAAGCTCTATCCATCACAGCATGAATAACGTATTTCGACTGTTGCAACTGAACGTTGGGAAGCAAGGGCCGGTACATGAGAGCTTAATAAACGACAAAGACATTTAAGACGGAACCGTGCTGGCCATCCAAGAACCCCACGCGCGACGGATCCAGAGGAAACTATTGATCACGCCGATGGGGCATCACAGATGGGTCAGGATGGTACCGACGGCCGAGAGAGAAGGTAGATGTGTGATTCGGAGTATGCTTTGGGTGAGCAGAGAGGTAGAAGTGGAGCAGGTGTCAATAGAGTCCCCAGATGTGACGGCAGCGGTCATCGACTGCCAGATCGTCTGGTCTTCTTGGCGTCTGTATACGTACCGGGGGGAGATGCCCAAGCTCTACAGGACATTTGCGGTAAGCTTGGCAGGGCCATCATGGAGGTGAGGCGGAGGTCAGGGAGGACGGTGGATGTGGTGATTACCGGCGACTTCAACCTGCACGACCAGATGTGGGGAGGGGACGATATTTCGGTGGCAAGACAGGGCGAGGCCGATCCGATCATTGACTTTATGAACGACTTTATGCTCAGGAGCCTCCTCCGCAGGGGCACGAAGACATGGCAAGGCAGAGATTGCGAAACAACCATCGACTTGGTTCTGGCTTCCGAAGAGCTTGCAGACGCAACCATCAAATGCGCGGTACATGGCACAGAGCACGGATCAGATCATTGCACGATAGAAACGGTGTTCGACATTTCAGTCCCGGCGCCGAAACAGGAAGAAAGACTTCTATTCAAGAATGCACCCTGGAAGGAGATCAATAGCAGGATTGTGAACACGCTGAGAGATAGGCCAGCAGGAAACACGGTACAGCAGAAAACGGACAGGTTGATATCGGCCGTGCTGGAAGCAGTCCAAGCACTGACACCCAGAGCCAAACCATCGCCATATGCAAAGCGGTGGTGGACCCATGACCTCACACAGCTGCGGCATATATACACATACTGGAGAAATCGAGCCCGAGCCTCAAGGCGGGCGGGACAGAATGCTAAAGATCTGGAAAACACGGCAAAGGCTGCGGCGAAGCAGTACCACGATGCCATCCGACAACGCAAGAATAGCCACTGGAAGGAGTTTCTAGCGGATAACGACGACATCTGGAAAGCAGCCAAGTACATGAAGTATGGGGACGATGCGGCTTTTGGGAAGGTACCCCAACTCGGTAGAGCGGATGGAACGAAAACGACAAATCATCGAGAGCAAGCTGAAGAGCTTCTTGCCAAGTTCTTCCCGCCACTACCAGACAACATCGAAGACGAAGGGCTGCAGCATCGGAGAGCCCCTGTAACGATGCCGGACCTGACTTTGGGGGAAGTGGAGCGTCAGCTATGGGCGACAAAGTCATGGAAGGCGCCAGGGGGAGACGGACTACTAGCGATTGTATGGAAGCAGATCTGGCCATCGGTCAAACACGACGTCCTCGACATCTTTCAAACATCACTAGAAGAAGGCGTTATACCAAGACAGTGGAGACATGCTCGAATCATCCCGCTCAAGAAGCCAGGCAAAGATGATTATACGATCGCGAAAGCCTGGAGACCGATCTCGCTTCTCGCTACGCTGGGCAAGGTGCTGGAGTCGGTTGTTGCCGCGAGGATCTCCCATGCGATAGAGACTCACGGACTTCTTCCGACCAACCACTTCGGTGCGCGCAAGCAGCGGTCGGCAGAGCAGGCCCTCGTACTTCTACAAGAGCACATATTCTCAACATGGCGCTCACGTCACGTTGTGAGTCTCATCAGCTTCGACGTAAAGGGCGCATACAACGGTGTGTGTAAGGAGAGATTGTTGCAGCGGATGAAAGCAAGAGGGATCCCTGAGGGGGTTTTACGCTGGGTGGATGCATTTTGCTCCGAGCGAACTGCGACCATCATGATTAATGGACAAAGTTCCGAGAGCAGACTTCTACCACAAGCAGGACTCCCGCAAGGATCGCCCTTATCACCGATACTGTTCCTATTCTCCAATGCGGATCTAGTGCAGACCCAAATCGACAGGAATGGCGGAGCCATCGCATTTGTTGACGACTACACGGCGTGGGTGTCTAGACCCACAGCCCAGAGCAACCAGAGAGGAATACAAGCAATAATCGACAAGGCTCTGGACTGGGAGAAGCGCAGCGGCGCAACTTTTGAAGCGGAAAAGACGGCGATCATACATTTTACTAGATACACAGGCAGGGTAGACTCGGAACCGTTCACCATCAAGGGCGAGAAAGTCTCTCCCAAAGACCAAGTCAAGGTCCTTGGAGTCGTCATGGATTCGCGCCTGCATTACAAACAGCACATGGCCAGGGCAGCGACTAGGGGGCTAGAAGCTGCAATGGAACTGAAACGCCTGAAGGGGATGGCTCCCTCGACAACGAGACAGCTCTTCACAGCCATGGTAGCTCCCGTGGTAGACTATGCCTCCAACGTCTGGATGCACGCATGCAAAACGGCGTCGGCATATGCCATTCATCGAGTACAAAGAGTAGGAGTACAGGCAGTCATAGGATCATTTACAAGCGTGGCTACAGGGGTAGCTGAAGCGGAAGCTCACATAGCGACCATTCATGAACGGTTCTGGAGGAGAGCAAGCAAGCTTTGGGTAGACATTCATACGCTGCCGCGGACTAATCCAGTCAGAAACCTCCTACGAGGGATCAAAGCTTTTCGGCGCTACATATTTCCTCTTAGATGCATTGCAGACGTATGCAAAGAGCTACCAAGAAATACCATGGAAGTCATTCAGCCGTTCGCCCTTGCACCGTGGGAGGCACGTATGCAAGCCGTGCTGAGCGGACAGGAAGGGGAAAACGAGGACCAGATCAAAGAACTAGCCAAAGCAGAATGGGTGGTCAGAATAGCGACAAGCAGCTCCGCAAGGAACGATCTTGTTGGCATAGGAGGAACGGTTCGGACTCCCGTATCTGTGGCAAGGGCCGGCAAGATCATTGAGAACTTTTCGGTCACGCTGGGCACGAGAGAAGAACACAACCCCTACGCAGCCGAATTGGCAGCTATCGCCCATGGGCTTAACTGTCTGCCGGAGACGAAGTATCGAGTCGTTGTGATCTTGACGAGTAACAGATCGGCGGCACAAGCTATAGGAAATCCTCGCCAACAATCAGGCCAAAGCCATATTCGGAGGATATATGATGCCGTAGGGAAGCTCCGAGAAGACGGAAACAGAGTCAATCTCATGTGGCTACCATCTGGTGGTGAGCTCAAAATCCAGAAGATAGCCAAGATGTCAGCCCGTCATGCGACCGAGCCATACGCCACACCGCGAAAAGGGGCGATCAAAGTAAAGACTACAATTCTCAGTGGAACAAGGGCAGGCCTGCGGAATGAGAGAAAGCTACCAGACGGAGTTGGCAGGCATTCAAAGAAGGTCGACTTAGCTCTACCCGGAAAACACACCCGTATACTCTACGATCAGCTATCGTGGAAAGAAGCCAGCGTGTTAGCACAGCTCAGAACCGGAATGGCGCGACTAAACGGTTATCTCTATCAGATTAGAGCAGCACCAACAGATGAATGTCCATGTGGGCAGGCAAAGGAAACAGTAGAACACTTTCTCTTTCGATGCGTAAAATGGACAGCACAACGCAAGGAGATGATGTCACAATGTGTAGAAGAAAAACGTGGCAACCTCTCTTTCCACCTGGGAGGCAAGGCAGCGTCGGATGGACAGAAATGGGCACCGAATATGGAAGCGGTGCGAGCCACGATCAGATTTGCGATCGCTACAGGTCGCCTAGAGCAGAGATGACAACACCACTCACCTACCAATTGCTGAAACACATCTACTAACAACAGCTACCCTCGTACAACCAATAGCAAACACTGCTTCAGTCGCCGAAGATAGGAACCTGAACACTTGGAGGAATTGGGCTTTAAGTTGATTTGCGACCACTAACCAATACGGGGATCTAGAAGGAGAATAATGAAGAGACAGAGAAGAACAAGGCGGGAAACATAGGGGCTTTGCGAGATCAAGGCATCAATTGGCGAAATGTATGTATTTTTAGTTTTTAGAGCCCTATGGGCGGTGGCCTACCGGGCGTAATAGACCTGTCTGTCTGATAACTAGGACTTTGAGATTGGTTGACGTTCATAGCCAAGCAGTCGTCGTAAGCCCATAGTCTCGACACGATTAGCAACGAGTGAAATAAAACGCGACATTCGAAACGGCGCGAAAGAGACCGATAGCGGAGTAAGCTATACCAGATATGGCAATTGGGACGGGACCCCGTCCAATTTTAGAAGGACGGGCACCCGTCCGCCTATTGACCGCCTGGGAAGTTGGAGAGGGCGCACGGACCAAATATTCTCATACTGCGACCCAAATTCCCAAAAATCTAAAATAGAAAGGTGCACGGGCCACGAAAAGTGGTATTGGATGCCATTACCAGTGGTATTTGGTACAGTAGGGTTTGTGCTCGAAGATGAAGGTTGTGTTCGCTGTCTTTTCTGCTGGGGCTGGCTCTCCTCGTTTTGCGAGTCCCAGCCATAGTCACGCTTCCTATCTTGGAATGTGGCATGGGCTGCTCGTCCCCTAGTAGCGTTCTCCTTCGGTGGTGCCATTGTTCTGAATTGCCTAATACAGAATCCGATCGTGATCTTCCTCTCGGAGAGGGTTGGGTTGAGCTTGCGGAAGGTCCTGAGAGCTCTGTTCGTTGTATTCTGAGCTTTCTGAACAATAGTGGCATCATCATTTTGATCATTTTCGTCCTCTTCAGAATCAGCCGAGCTTGCAACGGTGATAGAGCCGTTACTGGCATGGTCAGGACTAATCTCGTTAAGCGCGGTGAGAAACGCGTTTGAGATCTTCTTCATGTTTTTTGCTGCCTCCTTGATGAGGTTCTTCTCATTCTCAACCAGAGCTTCTTAGGACTTCATATAGTTGTAGAACGGTGGGTTGACTTCACGAAATGCTTCAATGAAGGCATCACAAATCTGTGACTCACTGAGATTCTCGATCTTGTAACGCTTGGCGTTGCTGACGAGAGCAGGCCAGCGGCTAAGCCATTTGTCAAGACTAGTGCTGCCAGGGCCTTTCTTAAGCGATTCGAACTCGGTCCTGACATTCTGGTTCTGATCTTTCGCGATGGGTTGGATGCTATCAGCCAGCGCGATGAGTTTGCCGCGGACGTCATGGATTCCGAGGTAGTGTTGCTTGAACTCCTGACACACCGTGAGGTCGATGCGATCAGAGACCTTGTCATATTTCTTCTTCTCGCTCTCGTAGATAGCCTGGAGGCTGTGGTATTTCTGGATCGTATCCTTGCTCGCTGAGTCTGATGGTTTGGTCGCAGTAAAGACCAGGTTTTCGATCCCTTCTGGATCACAATAGTTCCAGACATCATTACGCACAGCAAGGTCCTCGATAGAATTAATCCAGTTCGTCCAGTCTTCACAGGCGTTGAGCATAGCGAGGTTATGGTCGTTGATCAACATCTTGTGTTTGACGTTTTTTTTTTCGGTAAAGGGAATGTTAACTTCACTTTTTAATTGACTTCTATTTAATGCGTTAGCTTCCTTTTAAGTGAAATCATTACGAAAATATCAGTATTTCTGAGTCTTCTCTGTAAGATCTTGTTGCTGCTTTCGCGGCTGGTGATGAACCCCGCAGTAAGCATAATGCAACCGGTCCAACTTCGTTCCGGTTTCTCTGAAGAGAATTTCCTGTCGGAAGAAGGATTTCATTGCGTCCAGGTTGACAGGAAAGCTGGTAATGGTGATAAATATCGCGTGCGACGTAGCGGAAGAGTCTCCGGGCTCATAACTGTCGCACTGGATGTGCTTAAAATGGATTGAAGGTCGGGTCATTCACAATGAGCAGCAGTAGTGAGTTGATTTGTTTTATCTTCTGTGTGGGGTATTCCATCCCACAGGTTTTACTTTAAATCATCCAGCTTGATTACTAAGGGCTGTTGTTGCTGAGGATCATTGAGACCATGCCCGGCATGCGACACGACACGTGCACGCGCGCCCACGCTCAACGCTTAATTACGATCTCCCCCTCCACCTCGAACCCTCCTCGAAGAACTCTCGCCCACAATCGAGCACTCGATATCCGAGTACATGTGCCCTTGATCGCTCACACACGAGTGCCGCGACGGCATCATGGCGCAGGCACAGCATGTCGCCTTGGAGCGACTGGAGCAAATCTCCCGCGGTCTTCGATCAAGGTCAGTTTCACCATGTGACGATTGGTAGGGCAAGGGGCCTAATATTTCCACAGAACAAGCGACGATTTGCGAAAACGATCCGCCGTACAGCTTCGCGAGCTTGTAGCTGTTTGTCATCGAGACCATAGCCCTGAACAATTTCAGGTTTTCTACAACTCAGTCAACAACAAGATTACACAGCTCATTACACATGGGAGCGACTCGTCCGAGCGACTCGGAGGCATCTACGCCCTTGATGCGCTTATTGATTTCGAAGGCGTCGACGTCGGTGTCAAATACACGCGTTTCACACAGAATCTTAAGACGATCCTTCGAGGCAAGGACATCAACCCTATGCAACCAGCTGCGATCGCGCTTGGAAAACTATGTCAACCTGGTGGATCAATGATCTCGGAAGTGGTGGACTCGGAGGTCAACACAGCTCTCGAATGGCTACAGAATGAACGCGTGGAGGAGCGACGATACAGCGCAGTCCTCGTCCTGCGCGAATTGGCCCGAAGCGCCCCGACACTGATGTATCAATACATCCCGACAATCTTCGACTGGATCTGGATAGGACTTCGAGACACCCGGCAGCTTATTCGGGCTACGTCGGCGGAAACAGTTAGCGCCTGCTTCCGAATCCTTCGCGAACGAGACCAGGAGATGAAGCAACTCTGGATGAGTAAGATTTACAACGAGTCGAAAGCAGGTCTCAAGATCAACACGGTCGAATCAATTCACGGTTCGTTGCTGGTTCTCAAGGAACTGCTCGAGCAGGGAGCTATGTACATGCAGGAACATTATCAAGAAGCATGTGAAATTGTCTTTAAGCACAAAGATCACAGAGATCCCACTATTCGAAAGACTGTGGTTCTTGTGATCCCAGATCTTGCCAGCTACTCACCAGCTGACTTTGCGCATACTTGGCTACACAAATTCATGGTATATCTATCGGGCATGCTGAAGAAAGACAAGGAGCGAAATGATGCCTTCCTTGCAATTGGTAACATTGCCAATTCGGTCAAGAGCGCCATTGCTCCGTACCTTGATGGTGTCTTGATCTATGTGCGAGAAGGTCTCAGCGTTCAGTCTCGCAAAAGAGGTTCAGTCAACCCGGTATTTGACTGTATCAGTCGTCTTGCTGTAGCTGTCGGCCAGACACTGAGCAAATACATGGAGGCACTTCTGGATCCCATCTTTGCGTGCGACCTCACCCCCAAGCTCACACAAGCCCTTGTCGACATGGGTTTCTATATCCCTCCAGTCAAACCGACAATCCAGGAGAGACTACTTGATATGCTCAGCATGGTACTCTGCGGCGAACCCTTCAAGCCCCTTGGTGCTCCGCAGCCAAACACCCTCAACTCAGTTCCTATTATTCCCAAAGACGCAAAAGATCCCCATGCTTATGAGCATAGGAAGGCTGAGGTTAAGTTGGCGCTCAACACTCTTGGTAGCTTCGATTTCTCAGGACATGTCTTGAACGAGTTTGTCCGCGATGTCGCAATCAAGTATGTTGAAGATGAGGATCCAGAGATTCGTGAGGCAGCGGCTTTAACATGTTGCCAATTATACGTTCGCGATCCGATTGTCAACCAGACCAGTTACCATGCGCTTCAAGTTGTGGGTGATGTGATAGAGAAACTTCTCACGGTCGGAGTCTCAGATCCTGAACCGAATATCAGGCGGACAGTTCTGGCGGCTCTCGATGAACGATTTGACAGACACTTGGCCAAGGCTGAGAACATTCGCATCCTCTTCTTTGCGCTCAACGATGAAGTTTTCTCCATTCGAGAAGTGGCCATCTCCATTATCGGCCGCTTGGCTAGGTACAATCCAGCATATGTCATTCCTTCACTACGAAAGACTCTCATTCAGATGCTTACGGAGCTCGAATTTTCCGATGTCGCCCGTAACAAGGAGGAGAGCGCAAAGCTATTGAGCCTTCTGGTACAGAATGCGCAATCACTTATCAAGCCATACGTTGAGCCTATGATCTCAGTCCTTCTCCCGAAAGCGAAGGACAACAACCCTTCGGTTGCCGCCACAATTCTCAAGGCCATTGGCGAGCTTGCTACTGTGGGTGGCGAGGATATGATGCCTTACAAGGACAAATTGATGCCAGTCGTTCTTGATGCGTTACAGGACCAGAGCTCCAACGTAAAAAGAGAGGCTGCTCTGCATGCTTTGGGACAACTCGCAAGTAATTCAGGATACGTTATCCAACCATACATCGAATATCCTCAACTGCTCGAAATTTTACAGAGTATCATCAGAACCGAAGGACAACGCGTGCCCTTGCGACAGGAGACCATCAAGCTGATGGGTATCCTGGGTGCACTCGACCCTTACAAACACCAGGTAAATCTTTCGAAATGGCGCAAATTGCTCCAGCTATTAACACCAACTCAAGCCGAAGAACGAACTCCCGATTCCCGACGAGGCGAGGCCAACCAATTGACCGACATTTCTCTCATGATGACCGGACTGACACCCTCTAACAAAGAGTACTTCCCGACTGTTGTGATTAATGCTCTTCTCTGGATCTTGAAGGGCTTTTCATTGGTTCAGCACCACGCGGCTGTGATTGAAGCTATTATGAACATCTTCCGCACCCTGGGCTTGGAGTGTGTTTCGTTCCTTGATAGAATCATACCGGCATTCCTCCAGGTGATACGATCGGCCACTTCCACGAGACTCGAGTCTTACTTCAACCAACTGGCCACTCTCGTCAGCATCGTGCGGCAACATATAAGAAATTATCTTCCATCAATTGTCGAGATTTTGCATGAGTACTGGCACACCTCGCCATCACTACAGACCACCATCTTGTCGCTTGTAGAGGCCATTTCGAGGTCGCTTGAGGGTGAATTCAAATTTTACCTCGCTGGTTTGCTACCCTTGATGCTTGGTGTCCTCGACAAGGATACTTCCGCCAAGCGAACACCGTCGGAGAGGGTGATGCACGCTTTTTTGGTGTTTGGTGCCAGTGCCGAGGAGTACATGCATCTCATCATCCCCGTCATTGTCAGGACGTTCGAGAAGCATGGCCAACCTACATTCGTCAGGAAGCAGGCTATCGATACAATTGGTAAGATTTCTCGCCAGGTGAATCTTAATGACTTCGCTGCGAAAATCATTCACCCTCTTACACGTGTTTTGGACATGGGCGAACCTCCACTCCGTACTGCTGCTCTAGATACGCTCTGTGCGCTCATCCAACAGCTGGGCAAAGACTATCTACACTTTATGGGGACTGTCAACAAGGTCATCAATCAGCACCAGATTCAGCACTCCAACTACGAGCTGCTTGTGAGCAAGCTTCAGAAGGGGGAGGTTCTGCCACAAGGTTTGAGCTCTGGTGCTGGCTTTGCCGATGGCGCAGACGAGCCTCCTTTTGCGGATCAAGGCACGAAGAAGTTGGAGATGAATGCTATCCATTTGAAGGCTGCCTGGGATACCAAAGGCAAATCCACAAAGGAGGATTGGCAAGAGTGGCTACGACGGTTCAGTACAACACTGCTTACCGAATCACCGAACCACGCACTTCGAGCTTGCGCCAGCCTCGCCAGTGTGTATTTACCTCTGGCTCGTGAGCTCTTCAACTCAGCGTTCGTGTCTTGCTGGAGCGAGCTTTATGAACAATTCCAGGACGAGCTCATCCAGAACATTGAGAGCGCTATAAAATCCGAGAGCGTCCCGCCCGATCTGCTTGGCCTCCTACTCAACCTCGCCGAGTTTATGGAGCATGACGACAAGGCTTTGCCGATCGATATTCGAGTTCTCGGTAGGGAGGCAGCTTGCTGTCACGCGTATGCAAAGGCCTTGCACTACAAGGAACTCGAGTTCCTTCAAGACCAGAGCAGCGGTGCAGTCGAAGCCCTGATCGTTATCAACAATCAGCTACAACAGTCCGATGCTGCCATTGGTATTCTCCGCAAAGCTCAGTTATATAAGGAAGGCATCCAGCTGCGAGAAACCTGGTTTGAGAAGCTGGAGCGTTGGGAAGAGGCACTTGCGTTTTATAATAAGCGTGAGGAGGAGGTGCCCGAGGATCAAGCTATACCCGTTGATATTGTCATGGGTAAGATGCGATGTTTGCATGCTTTGGGAGAGTGGGAGGCTTTGGCTTCTTTGACCGGTAGTACTTGGGCCAACTCTACGCCTGAGGTTCAGAGAATGATTGCACCGCTTGCGACAGCCGCTGCGTGGGGTCTGAACAAGTGGGATTCCATGGACAACTATCTCTCATCGCTCAAGAGATACTCACCTGATCGATCATTCTTTGGTGCGATTTTGGCACTCCATCGCAACCAGTTCCGCGAGGCGATTGCCTGCGTTCAGCAAGCTCGCGAAGGCCTAGATACCGAGTTAAGTGCATTGGTTAGTGAGTCGTACAACCGGGCATACCAGGTCGTCGTTCGGGTGCAAATGCTTGCTGAGCTTGAAGAGCTCATCGTCTACAAGCAATGTGACGAGAAGAAGCAGGCCATCATGAGACGCACCTGGGAGACACGACTGAAAGGTTGTCAGAGGAACGTCGAGATTTGGCAGCGAATGCTCAGGTTACGTGCCATTGTGATCGCGCCGACCGAGAATATGCACATGTGGATCAAGTTTGCAAACCTTTGCCGCAAGTCTGGACGAATGGGACTGGCTGAGAAGTCACTCAAGCAACTTATTGGAACTGACGCTCCTTTGGTATCCACGATTCCCTACTGGAGTGAACAGCGACAGCCAGGACCTGGTCCAAGGAACTCACCAGCTGCACAGGTCATCTACGCTGTGCTCAAGTACCAGTGGGAACTCGGGCAGCAGTTGCCTGCTAACAAGAAGGCCAACATTCCCGAGAAGACACTGTATTGTCTGCGCAAGTTCACTAATGATGCTGCTCATCGTTTGGAGGTTGCTAAGGCTCACCTGAATGCACAAGCTGGTAGTGAGGTCAACATCACTGGCGACTATGGGTTCCAGAACCAGATGGACCCTACTCTCATGAGCCCACAGACTCAGCGAGCACTGTATGATCAGACGGTCCTGTTGGCCAAATGCTACTTGCGACAGGGAGAATGGCTAATTGCGCTCGACAAGGATGATTGGCAATATACTCAGGTTCAGGATATTCTCACATCGTATTCTCAGGCGACCAAGTACAATCCTCGCTGGTACAAAGCCTGGCACGCTTGGGCGTTGGCCAACTTTGAGATCGTTCAGACTCTCACAGCTGGAAACGAAGGACACTTGCCAAGGACGGATCACAACATGGTGATTGACCACGTTGTTCCGGCTGTCAAGGGCTTCTTCAAATCTATCGCACTCTCACAGGGAAGTTCGCTGCAGGATACTCTCCGACTGCTCACACTCTGGTTTACGCATGGTGGAAGCGCAGATGTCAACACAGCTGTTACAGAAGGCTTTGCTAATGTCAGCGTCGACACCTGGCTTGAAGTGATTCCTCAACTGATCGCACGAATCAACCAGCCTAACAAGCGAGTTCAGCAGTCAGTGCATAACCTTCTTGCCGATGTTGGACGAGCTCATCCGCAGGCTTTGGTTTATCCCCTCACTGTCGCCATGAAATCTTGGCAGAACACACGCCGATCCCGCTCTGCAGCTCATATTATGGATAGTATGCGGCAGCATAGCGCAAACCTGGTCGCCCAAGCTGACACGGTCAGTCATGAACTGATTCGTGTAGCTGTCTTGTGGCATGAACTCTGGCATGAGGGACTGGAAGAGGCTTCGCGTTTGTACTTTGGTGATCACAATATTGAGGGTATGTTTGCAACACTCGAGCCTTTGCATGAGCTTCTTGAGCGCGGTCCCGAGACTCTTCGTGAGATCTCTTTCGCACAAGCGTTCGGCCGAGGCCTCAAGGAGGCGCAAGATTGGTGTCGACAGTACGAGACAAGTCAAGACGTCAACGATCTGAACCAGGCGTGGGATCTGTATTATCAGGTATTCCGCAGAATAAGTAGGCAGCTACCTCAGGTTACCACCCTGGAGTTGACGTACTGCTCGCCCAAGCTCCTCAACGCCAAGAACTTGAACCTGGCAGTTCCCGGAACATACAAGAGCGGACAGCCCATCGTAAGGATAATGTCCTTTGACACGACGTCTAGTGTTATCAACTCTAAGCAGCGCCCACGAAAGCTCAACATCAACGGTAGTGACGGAAAGTCGTACGCTTTCTTGCTAAAGGGCCATGAGGATATTCGCCAGGACGAACGAGTTATGCAGCTGTTCGGCCTATGCAATACCCTTCTGGCTTACGACTCTGAATGCTTCAAGCGCCATCTCAACATTCAGCGCTACCCTGCCATCCCTCTGTCGCAGAATAGCGGTCTGCTCGGGTGGTTTCCCAACAGCGACACTCTTCACGTTCTTATTAGGGAGTATCGTGAGAGCCGCAAGATTCTGCTCAATATTGAACATCGCATCATGCTTCAGATGGCGCCTGACTACGATAACCTAACCTTGATGCAGAAAGTCGAGGTGTTTGGTTATGCACTGGATAACACCACCGGACAAGACTTGTACCGTGTTCTCTGGCTCAAGTCAAAGTCTTCTGAGGCTTGGCTTGAGAGACGAACGAACTACACTCGCTCTCTGGGTGTCATGTCCATGGTGGGATATATTCTGGGTCTGGGTGATCGTCATCCTTCCAACTTGAAGCTTGATCGTGTCACTGGAAAGATCATTCATGTCGATTTCGGTGATTGTTTCGAGGTGGCGATGAAGAGAGAAAAGTACCCCGAGAGGGTTCCTTTCCGTCTCACTCGCATCTTGACCTATGCTATGGGTGTCAGCAATATTGAGGGTAGCTTCAGAATTACATGCGAGAACGTAATGAGAGTTCTACGCGACAACAAAGAAAGCGTCATGGCTGTTCTCGAAGCGGTAAGTTTTCTCTCCATCTCCAAGCTGAAGATTCCATACTAACAGTCACAGTTCATTCATGATCCCCTCCTTACATGGCGCTTAACGAATGCCGCATCCCCAACAGGCCCCAACTTCCGCTCCGACAGAGACGTAGCAATGCCTGTCCCCGGCGGTGTCCGCGCCCGCCGTGCCTCCATTCTCGACAGCGACGTAACACCCTCCGAACTCGTCAATGCCCCCGAAGCATCAATCCAGACACGCGCACGCGCTCGCACAAACAGTTCAGCAGGCGAAGCCATGACAAACGGCGGCGCACCCGAAGTAGAAAGTCAGAACGCGCGAGCTGTGGAGGTGCTGGATCGTGTGCAGCAGAAGCTCACGGGTCGTGATTTTAAGAATAACGAGGAGCTGGATGTCATCGCGCAGGTTAACAAGTTGATCATGGAGGCTACTAAGCTGGAGAATCTGTGTCAGCACTATATAGGATGGTGCAGCTTCTGGTAGATTCGCAGAAGAAAGATGTTGCTAGCCGGTGCCTTTTTATGTATGTATTTGCTTCAAGTTTGCGGGAGTTGGGGGTGGGAAATGCGATATCAGGAAGCTTTTCGTTGTATGTTTGTCCATGTAGTGTACGAGTATAAAGCCTAGATGAATCTTGTTGTATTCTATCTCAATCAACATTGTTCCAATTCAACATTCTTTCCTCCGCTGTTTATAGCTCATCTCGATGTCTAGGCTTCTTGGGCTGACTTCCAACATCCCATCTCGAAAAGTCACAGGCAGCAGGCGTGCCAATCTCCATCCTGTAAACACACTTCTCACTCTCACTAACCCTCCACAACTCCTCCGTCTCGGCACAACCCAACCAGACATCCGTTCTCCTCTGGGGCCCATTCCAGCACTGTTGACCATCCTCATACTTCAACAACATACGCTCACCACGCCCAAGACTCTTTCCGTCGATTCTGTCTTCTTCATCTGCCATTTCGCGAGCGATGCGCTTGAAATTTCCCATGTTGCTTTGACCGTGGCCCTTCTTTGACTTTTGCTTTGTGCTGCCGAGCCAGCATTGTTCGTAGGTGTACTCTCCTGCTTCGAGGGTCACGCATTTTCCTTTTAGGGCACGGAAGATATCGTCTGGACCGTAGTCGAAGTCGAGATCGGCTTGTTCGACGTCGAGGGTGGATTTTTTGTCGGAGAGGTCGCGTTAGGCTGCATCGACAGCTTCGCGGGCTGCGCGGACGAGAGTGGATTCTTTGCCGGGGGTTGAGTTGTCGGCGAGGATTCCATTGGCGATAGCCCAGACACGGAGGTTGTCGAGAGAGTTGTGGATGAAAGCGCGGACGGGAGCTACTTTAATATCTTCTAATTTATCTCTAAAGGTATTTAGATTATAATCCAGCCTTAAGGACTATTTCTAGGGTTCTTAAAGTCTAAGATTAAGCTTATTAGGCTACCTCCTTAATAGGCATTAGAATCCGTAGCTGTATATTAAGCTTTAAGATTATAACTTCTAAGTTAAAAGCAGCAAGGCTAGCTCCTCTAAAACCTCCCTTAATATTTAACTTAATTATAGTTAATTAAAAGGCAATATAAAAGGCCAGGAAGAACTTAGCCTTAGAAATATAGGTTATAGACCTTCTAATTAGATACTCTATTTCTTAACTATATACTTTTTTTAATAGCCTAAAGCACCTGATATTAAGGGGCTATAATAGATGTAAAGAATAAGCCGGTATATAACGCATAATAATATTATTCTCCTTATAATATATCTAGAAATTAGCATACTAATAACTTTTATAGCTATTAAGGATTAGAAGATAATAGGTATTAACTAATTAATTAATTATATATTAATTAAAGTATTTTAGCTAATTAAGGCCTATCTTATTATCTATCTAGCTATTTTAGGTTATAGTAATAGCCTAAGTGCCTAGGAGGTTGCTCTTTTAGTATTAATTAGTAAGGTAATATTAGCCTAACGTGTTTGATAAGCAACTCCAGACAAGCAAGTGCTCCACTGCACTGTATAGTATTTAAAACCCTACCCTGTAGTATTCTTTTATTATAAATAAAATAGCTAAAAATCTACTAAAATTGTTTTTTAACATAGTATAACGTACGCGATAAGCGAGCGAGACAGACAACCGAGCGAGACAAAAATCCCTCACCTTACATCAACACTATCAGATCAATTGAATTTCAACCAAATAACATGTCACAAGCCAGTGAAGAGGCTCGTATGAATCTTGCACTTCAGGCCTATCAGGCAGACCCAAAATTAAGTCTGCGACGAGCTGCATTTCTCTATGACGTCCACTTCCAGACCCTCCACCACCGATCTCAGGGTCGTCAGGCTCGCATCGATTGTATTCCTAATGGTCGGAAACTAAGTGATCAGGAGGAACAGGTTATAGTCGAGTATATCTTAGACCTAGATTCGCGAGGATTTCCCTCTCGGCATCGTGATGTTAAAGAAATGGCGAATCAACTACTTGCTAATCGCAACGCATCACCAGTTGGCAAGCGCTGGGCTATCAATTTCATTAAGCGCCAACCACAGCTCAAGACGCGTTCTTTTCGTAAATATAACTATCAGAGGGCTCAATGCGAAGATCCAACTACTATTCGCAACTGGTTCAGGCTCATACAGAACACAATCGCGAAGTACGGCATCCGATCAGATGATATCTGGAACTTTGACGAGACCGGCTTTATGATGGGCGTGATATCAAGCGGTATAGTGGTCACCAGCTCGGAAAGGCGTAGAAACCCAAAATCAGTCCAGCCTAGAAATCGGGAATGGGTTACTGCGATTCAAGCGATTAATGCAGAAGGCCAAGCGATTAATCCATATCTAGTGGTTGCAGGCCAATATCACCTTGCCAATTAGTACCAAGAGAGCAACCTCCCGAGCACTTGGGCTATCGCCACAACACCAAATGGCTGGACAGATAACGAGACGGGCCTCGACTGGCTAAAGCACTTCAATCGATATACAGCCGACCGATCAGTTGGTGCCTATCGTCTTCTGATCCTCGATGGCCACGAAAGTCATCAATCCGTCGATTTCCAGCTGTATTGTGAGGTCAATAACATCATCACGCTCTGTATGCCTCCTCATTCTTCGCACCTACTACAGCCACTTGACGTCGGGTGCTTTGGGCCGCTGAAAAAGGCCTATGGGCGAGAAATAGAGCGACTGATCAGACGGTCTATAACCCACGTTTCTAAGACCGAGTTCTTCCTGGCCTTTTATGCCGCTTTTCAATTGACTATGACCGAGTCAAATATTAAGGGGGGTTTTAGAGGAGCCGGACTTGCTCCTTTTGACCCTGAAGTTGTGATCTCAAAGCTTGATGTGCAGCTACGGACTCCAACGCCTGTTAAAGAGGTGTCCCAACAAGCTCAAGCTTGGACTTCAAGGACCCCAGTAACAGTCCTTGAGGCCGGATCACAGTCTGAATACCTTCGGGGCCGAATCAGAAGACATCATAGTAGCTCCCCAGAGTCAATCCTTGAAGCTCTTCAGTCTCTTACAAAGGCAGTCACAAGGAATATACAGAAGACTGCCTTATTAGAGGCTGAGAATCGGGAGCTTCGTGAGGCAAATGATATGCTTAGCCGGCGGCGCAGGGCAAAAAGGACACGCCTACAGAATAGAGGGAGCTTGACTATACAGGAAGGTCAGGATTCAATTGATCAGATGGATGTGAGTACGCAGGTATTGGCTGAATCATCGAGAAGTGGTGGTCAAGGAAGGTCAAGGAAGGTCGGGGCAGCCGAGGGTTCGGCGCTGCGGGACTTGCGGTAAGACTGGACATAAACACCACATATTAACCGACTCAAACTAGACACTAAATATAGTATAAAACTTTCTAATTCCTGAGAAACATATAATATAAGAGATTGGGATTCGTTTTATTTAATATCTTATTACTTCTTCTTGCTTATTGTCTAGATATTCTTCTTAGAAGATGTCTACCCCCGAGTATTACAGCCAATTAGAATCTAGGATAGTGGATACATAGGGCCTCCATTTAGCCAATTACTGAATTTCGCGGGCAAAATCCATCCATTTTTAGCTAGTGTAAAACTACCCTCCGTTGATCTTACATAAGGCACATGACGACGCAATGCGACCCCGAGTTGGAAGAGGCCATGACGAAGCTTCTTCATCAGGTACCCAACCAGCACAAGTTCATCAAACAAACACTCTATGGACCTGTTCAATATGAACCCACTGCCATCAGCATTGAAACGAAGACGAGTCCAGTGTCGGATGGTCGCTCTCAGTCGGCTTTTGGATTTCTGCTTGGATGGAGCAGATGCGAACTCTCAAGTCTTGGGCGTCAAGTCCAGACGCCAAGCACCCTGCTCTTTCCCTAGAACCTCTTGATATACAGATGCCGTTGATTGTCTCCACGAAGGATACCTGGCATTTATACCTTGCGAAGGAGGGGGAGGGCAAGATTCTTATTAGCAGCTTGTTTGATATTGGACCAACAGATTCGATATTAGGAATCTATACACTTATCAAGTCTTTGAGAGTCCTGGGTACTTGGGCAGATAAGCCGTTCAGGAACTTTATCAAGGACAAGATCTTATCTCCTCCGAGAATGGGACGGCCACAAAGCATTTTTACTAAGCTCGATCTAAGGATACCTTCCGTAGGACATGCGACATGATCATTGCGCAAAACACTCTACTCAAACATTTTCACCAGTAACGCACAAGGGAAAAAGGTAAAGGCCAAATTGATTGACGAATGACTACCACGCACGTGCTCGCCGTCCGGCAGCCGCGTTTGAAATCTAGGCGGCTTTTATTTCAGCTACAAGCATCAATAGGATCTGGCCAATCTATGAGCAGATTGTGGAACTCATCAGGTTTTATCGGGGGACAAGTGGGGCTGAGGTATTTTTTGCCTCATAGACACTTTTCTCCACAATTTCAAGCATCATGTCGAGTACATAATACAGCATTGTTCTGCGTTCCAGGAAAAGGGACACTACCACTTCTTTATACCAATTACTTCTGTGGCAGAGAGAACAGCAACAAAAGCATGTCAGGATCCGAAGGGGTGCCGAAAGGCAGAAAGGATCTATGGACACGGTTTCCAAAAGAGCTCGTTCAGATTATTAGCGAATACCTGTTGCCTGATTCCTTTGGTGTTCATGCTTGCCCTTCGCCTGAGGCCGATGGAACCAACATTCGGTACTCAGTATGTAAGCATTCGATTGAAAACGGGACGATTCCTCATTTCATAGGGTTACAGATCGTCTTTGGGCCCCAGTAAGTTGCAAATAGGATGGGGTTTCTGATGCGTGACTCATCATAGTTTTAGGCCAGATATTCTCAGGAATCGCATGCAGCTAGTCGTGAGCGACATGAATTTTCTTAAAGATCTGCCGGGCAAAGATTGGCTTTCGGAGATTCACCTCAGATTCTTTTATCCGCCGTCTATGGCGTCTGGGCTGGAGGAGATTTCTAACTTCAAGTCATTGAGGCGGATTTCAGCCGATTGTTTTCAGGATTCAGGTGAATCCGTTCACAAGCGTTTGACTACCGCGAGCCCTAATGTTGAGATCATGATCACCTCCATCCTCGTATCCGAACCTGGTACGTCGAACTATGCAAGACACAGGCGTCATCAATTAGAAGCCAAGATACGGACACGAAGCCAGTCGACTTGCGGTAAAGCGCCGCACATAATGACACTAGCGCTGCCCCGGGGATACCACCCACACTCACCTTGCTCTGATAATCAGGAATCCCATCTTGGAACGGGCGTTCACGGCGACATTATGTATGAAAAGGCTGAACCCTTGTGGTTTTGTGATAAGCTTAGCCGATGGTTGGAACTCGAACCAAGAACATAACTAGAACGAGATCTATACCTAAGGTCGGCTCAGGATTCAATGTTACGTCCATATTGGCAAAATTGTATTCTTCATATTATTAGCAACCTAGTAGTTAATAACAATAGGAACTCTAGTAGAATTCTTTTGGATGTCCCACTTTACAGGGAGTAGAGTTCTTTTTTATCACAACCAATAATAACATGTCTACGACGTGTTATATAAGATGCGCGACAACGCGAAGTAAGTGTATCTAAGTAAATGAAATTGTAAAATTATATAACAGAAGTCCATTTACATTAATGCTATAAAGCCTCTTATCTATCTTCTGTTGTTCGAGGTCTAAGGAAGAGTCATGATAACAATTCCTCGATCTTATAATCATCTAGTATTGAAAGCGAGGCGCACGTATTGGCGATGCCACAACAGGTAATCCTAAGCCACCTACAGCCTACTACTACTACTACTGTACAAAGGTTGAACTAAATCCCGCCGCATTGTGTAATTTTTGTCCGTGCCAACCCTACTCAAGAATTATCAGCAGAAACGCATTGCGTTTCCTGTTTTTGACCAATCACCGTCTAGCATTTTCGCCCCATATTTCTCCGATGGAAACGCACTGCGTTTCTCGTACCGCACTCATGAATTAAGAAAACCTAAAACACGAAACGCGGCGCGTTTCCGTCGGCTGGCCCTTGTCAAGTTCAACAGCTTGACTACAAGCCTAAACAAAAACATCCATTACAATTGCCTGTTGAAACTCACGTGTTTATCATCTACATCCCTATTGTCTGTCCCATTTTCAGTAAAAGAGGAAATTTACCACTGCTCATTGGCTTACACCCCTGCTAGTTCCTCTTTTACTGAAAAAGGGATAGTGTTTTGTAAGTCCTTGCACTTTTTTTGATTAAAAGTGTGCGGTGAAACTTCTTTATTGGCTACTTTGTTCTTTTATTGCAACCTGTGCAGCTAGCTTTACTTTTGTGGCGTAGAGTGATACTACTTTATGAGGAAAGTAGAAGCATAGGATGAAAGTGGAAAAGTAGAAGTAAGAATGTGCATAGATGAAAAGGAGATAAACATTAGGTTATTTTTATTAAACCTAGTTACTATATTAATGTGTATGAACGAAAAACGTAGAATCTAGGGGTGATTATTTGGGAAAATTTCAGAGGAATTCAGGGTTGGTACAGATGAAAAGTAGATAACCTGGCGGGATCCTGATGGTCCTTTGTACAATAGTAAGAAATAATGCTTTTATATAACTAATACAAGTTCATTTAAACACTAAAGTCAGCTAGAATTATAAAAGGTGTCTACTTTCTTAAGCCTTTTTCCATAATTTATTTATATTTACTTTTATTTATTTGTATTTAACTACACAATAGATTACCAAAAGGCACCTGTCTCCCACTCCGCTTGATAAGTCTGGTGAGACCATACTACAGCCCCAGTTGATCCATCAACAGTTCGTTGATAGCCCAAGGGGTGCGACTTCTGCCTCTGACCATTGGCCGCCTTCCAAATGGGAACGCCAGTGTAATACTCCCGTGAACATGGTGCAAGCCCCCCTACAGTGAAACCTGTGACTGCGGCCACCTCTCCTTGGCAACGTCTCCATCCTTGAGCCAAGAGGCGATAAAGTGCATACCGAAGGCTACATGACGAGTTCCTTGACAATGTTAGCCTGATTGATCTCTTTTTTTTCTCAATTTCTTTAAAAATTGGAAAAAAGAAAAGGGAATAGGCATACTTAACAGGAATCATCCAGGAGTCAATCTCGCAGTCCTCATTCTTGATACCCTCGACTCTGTGTGCCCGAAACTGTAGGAGAACAAGGTTCGAACCGTCGAAACAAAAGACCTGGGGACACTTATATTTGCTTGCATATCTAATATCTGTTAGCTGTCTTTTGACTTTTAATTGTATGATAGGAAAAGAGGAATATAGGTGAAGGCACCTGGGGGATATCAAGAAACTTGAGACCTTAATCCTTAATGGCAAAAAGAATTAGGTAAGCTTATCTTAATTTTAGGAAATTTTGGCTTAATTTATTTTGTCACCTTGTCTTTCGGTCTGAAGTCTTGCTCCCTGTCGGGGAACTTACCCTCTGAGTTCTTGTGAAAGTTTCCTTTGGCCACCTTTAGTAATAGAACCACTTCCCCACTCATTCGGATCGAGAAGGTTGCGCTTAAACTCCCCAATAGCTACAGTGTATCTCTTTCCGCCATACTTTACTGAAAATGTGCAATCCACATTTTCGGGGATATTTTCTTCTGTCAGTGGTTTAGTGTGAGAGGTCTGCATAAGTGGTGGATTCGAATGCCAGGCAGAGAGAACCACGTTAGTTATCTCAGTATTGAACCAGTTCTCGCAATCTGCTTCAGTCTCAAGTCTCCAATGACGTTGATTGGTAGGAACGGCTGGCTGACGAAAGCGAATGGCGTCATCTTCCATCATTCCCATGAAGGCATTTTCGAAATTGGCATCTATAACGCCATTATGAATCTTCATGTAGGAGGCTGTGCTCTTTATGGGCTTGTAGGAGTTGGACCAGGGTTTATCGGATGCGGTCTTATACCCCGGGTTAGCAACCACATTGGTGGGGTGTTGTTGAATAAGCTCTCCAGCTGAATTGGTAGACATGGTTTTAAAAGCAATAGTTAGGAGGAAAGTGGAGAAAGATTAACAAGAGTAGAAGCTGGACTTGAGCTTCTTTCAACATGAGCGCTGCTGGCATATTATATAACAAACTGTAACCGCTGGTTATGATCACCCTATAGTAAAACTTCAACCAACAAGATATCATGGCGGCTAGAAGCTGAACTGTAAAAACTAAGTTCAATTCCAAATAAAATCACCAATCGCAATATCGGTATTAACGCTCGTTGGTCCATTTTCTACCAAGACGACAACCAATATGCACAAGGACATTCTAAGAGTGATTTGATTGGGCCTACGGGCCGACTGTGGAGTTTCTGCCTGGCACCCCCCTGCCTCAAGAAAAGGCTGACTCAGTGATTGATGGCACGTGCGTTTTGGCTTGGAACTCCTGAAATTTGGCATTCAATATACAAACCGAACCTCTTTCAATTACATACTGACCGCACCTTTTTGTTGGAGGGACTGCAAGCCATGAGAATACACGTTAGCCAGCTAACACAGGTGATTGGAACCCAGCATTTTGTCCCTACGATATAAACTTTCGTCAGCTGGTCGTTCCGACAAATCAGCGCCATTGGAGGCTTGAGACTGAAGCAGATTGCGAGAACTGGTTTAATATTGAAGACATCGCTTCTTGGCTGCAAAAAGAGGCCAAGAGAGAGGTATAAATACCTTGAGATTCTCTCTCGAAAAACCAGCACGACACAAGACTGATCGCATTATGGAGCATTCGGATGGAATACCTTCCTCTCCAACTAGTGATATACTCACTGAAGAGGTCATGCAGCCTGAAGACACTGTAGGTTCCACTACCCGTTCTAAGCCATATTACACTGCTGATATAACTTGACCGTAGCGTTTTCGGTTTGGTACGCGAACTATCACAGCCAGAGGTGGACCTGCAGACCATTGCCATCATAATGTCCTTTGCCTGCGAATTCAGCAGACATTTCTGGATCGGGTCGTCCAGTCCTTATTCGGTGTTTTATCTGGCGCGATAGGCCCATGGCTGCAGAACAAATTCCCAGAGTGGTTCCTGCCAGAAAGAATTGTTTTAAAATCCCAGAAGCCTAATTGGGAAGAAGAATTTGACAAGGAACTGGAAGCATATCACAAACTTCAACCTCTCCAGGGCACCGTCATACCTAGATTCTACGGCATGATTCAATTCAATGATATCCGCGCTTTGATTCTTTCAGATATCGGAGGGGACTGCCTCGCGACACCGGAAGGCGCAGTACTTGATAAACAAGATCTTCGGCCCCTGTTAGATCAGGCGTTTACGTCTCTTGCTGATCTCGGAGCGTATCATGATGATATAAAGCTTGACAACTTTCATCTTGTGACTGACAATGGGAAGGACAAAATTATGGTATTGGACTTGGAATCTGTGAGCTTCGAACTTTCGGGGGAAGACCTGTCTCGTGTGGCAAAGGGAACCTCAAATTGGTTGATAAACCAGTACGATAACCATTTAGAGTGCATGGAGTACGATGGAATGATCCTACCAAAGCGACCACTCAGAACATGAGAATACTTAGCTCGCTGATTTAGCGTGACATTTTCTTGCTTGGAGTTACAGGGAGAAAATACGATAATAGGAGAAGATACATTCCATAAACCCCACTGGTTGGTGATTCCAATGAGTTTACTTTCAGTCCTTCCTCCATGTATAAACATGACTAGATCGCTAGTGACCTGTCATGAATTCACTCCATTTTCTAACTGCCCCTTTGCATTTCTCAGTAATCAACCTAAGGTACCTAGGAAATAATCCGCTGAGTGTAATGGGTGTCTTTAGTTTGTAGAAAGTGCGAAACTTCGGTTTCACTTTTAAGATATATAATCTCATTGTTTCTTGGGTGAATCGAGTTACCGATGTAAGGTGACGGCCAACCATCATGGCCGTTTCGCGCTCACTACTGAGTGTCGAAAACAACAACGAGGCCCGTTTTAACATGGTATGATCACTGTCAGAATCGGGATATATGATTGGCCTAGTACTACAGTCCAAAATCAACTCTCCTAGAGTTGATTTTATTGACCCACTTTAAACCTAGTAGAGTTGATTATTGCCAGGGTGTAGAGTTGATTTAACGCTGTCCTATATACTGGAGTAGTAGTGCTGATCAGAACAGGGGTTTGTCAGGGGTTTGCCACAGAACGCGACACATCCTTTCGCGTAAAGTGCTATATGGGGGTAATATCATACTACTAGACAGTCTCGTTGTTGATCAAAGCACTATCATTATTCAGGTCTTACTACTAGTCACCGAGTCACTATGACAGCTTCAAACTTGCAATCTGAACCATGCAGTGCAACTTATCCCTACGTTCTTCTCTCCACATACCAGATCGTACTTCTCCTTCACCGCCTTCGTATAATCGAAGAAAATAAAAAAGAATGATAAGCGAGGCAACGAGGCAATTGGCTGCTAACAGTAGTTTTGTGCTCCATTTCTCTGTATCGCAGGGTAGGCATGATCTTCATGGCCTCAGGAAACGGCGACTGATAGGTGGGCGCCTCCTCCAAGGCTACAATATGGTTGGCTCAACACATTGTGCTTGATGACAAATAATCTCCACATCATCGACCAAAAATGCTTTCAGAATCAGTACAATGCCACTAACAATTAGGAAACGTTTGCAGCAATATGACACTGGTACTATATAACGAAATTTGCTATTCTAATTAAATATCTACAATCAGAAAATAACTACAGCTATTTTCACTTGGGTTATATAAGGATTTCGAGTGAGGAATCGTTTGCGTCTATGCAATTCTCAAGCTTCTCGAGGGAGACCGAAGAAATTCGTCGCTATAGCGGTAATAAGAAAACTACCATACCTCAAGGAATTCAGGATTATTTAATCCCTTTTCTAATTGATATAGGCCGTAGCTTGTCTTTTCCCTCTCATTTTTTAGATCAAGTCTATCGGTCCAATTCATAATAGCCGTAAAGACCTCCTGTAAAGCAATTGTTGTGATGTATGTACCGTCTCCAGGCTTAGTCAGGAAATGCGCCCAGGCGCCCACCTATCACTCGCCGTCTGCCTCTAAAGTCCTTAGTAAAGCAGAGTAATAAAAGCATAGTAAGATATTGGCTGCAGGAACTTAAGAGAGTTGCTCCTGGTTATCTAAAGACGAAGCAGAAGTCAACTCGGCATCAGAGAGATCACCTGCTTCTATAGCCATACTACTCTGATTGTTATATTCCGATTTACCATATTCATCTCTCTCCTCACATTCACTTTCGTCCTCGCCTTCATCCTCTTTATTATCATCATCATTATTATTCTCCTCTTCTTCACCCTTATCATCGTCACTCTCATCACCATTCATAGTCTGCCCTCCATCCTGGTTATTAGTACGGTTTCTATTAGCAGGCCCCTTAGACTGCTAGATACCATCTACCTAGAGCTTAGAGCTCACAAAGAGCTCTAAACTAATATTTATTCAAACCTCGCCCTATAATTGCCCGCACAGTCGTCAGCAATAATCAAGATAATCAAAGCCAGATGTAGATAAAGCATTTAAGTTCCTTCCGGTAGAGCTTCTCGGAAGACGGCTTTACAACCAGCTTAAAGGGCACTTTATAGAGGCAGTCTAGGAACCTGGCATAAAGCCACCTAGTCCTACAGTCCAAAATGAGACATGCCAGAATTGTAACAACTGAGACTAACTAAGAGCCGAATTGTGGTGTAGTCCTACAAAAATGAGGCCAGCCGCAGGCGGGGTTTAAATCGCCTACTGCAGTCGCAATAGGTAGAGAGCTGATATCATGTTGGTCATGCTGCATTCTATACCCCGTGTTGGAGGCGCTAGTCAAAGTCATCGGGTTAGCTAAAATGGGCATTTCAAATTTCGCGGTCAACGGGCTAGCCAGTTTGGGTCTTAGTGCGTCCCACTGTGTCCAACCAGAATTTAGCGGTCATACGCTAACGCTTTTTTATTTTCGCGGTCACTTTACTAACCTAATCAGGATTTAACGGTCAGTTCAGGGGAATCTCATTTCCTGATGCCCATCTATACAGAAACATTTCCTACCTATCACAACCTATCATACCCACAATGCCGGGAACACCCAAGAAACGAGGGCGGCCTCGAAAATACGACACGCCGAAGGACAAGGCTAGGCACGATGTCGTCGCCAAGCGCGCTCGAAGACGGCTTCAGAAACAACCAACGCACGACAACATTAGATTTCAAATCTACGTTTCTCCACAGATAGGAGCATCGCCGCTTGAACCCTCACAGGAGGACAACGAGTCAAATGAAACGAACCTTTTGGGTGATCCTCCAGAGGCGGATAGCTCGTGGAACCGCACCGAGTCACCCACCTCGTCAATTGACGCAGTCGTAGCCGGAGGGGAACAATCTCCGCAATCGTCGAGTGGGAACGACCTGGTGTCACCGTGCTCACAGCGTCTTTGTAACCTAACGGGGCCGCGTATAGTAATGGGATCGTTCTCAACTTCGCAAGGCGGCCCAGCTGAGATTCTCTTGCCCTTGAGTTCTGACGGGGTTCCGAGTGATCGTACGAGTCACGCTGCTGGGGATGATGACAAGTCTGTAGAGTCAGACCGCGAGCTGTGCCATATCAGCAGTGTATCAAGTCCTCGCCAGGCAGCAGATCCACCATACCGGTAATGATTTGACGTACACTTGCAATCGAAGCTGAAGAATAGCCTAAACAACTGATCGTATACAGCAATTGCCCCATCGATGGCTCGGTCTCTTGTTTCACTTCCTTGATCTCTCGACGCTTGGTAAAAACGATCGAGGCCGGCACAAATCTTGATGTGGCTATGTTCAGTCGGGGGTGATCCAACCCTCGATGATAGTGGACTAGCTCGATCTGCATCCAAACTGTAGCTCCACGAAGGGTCGCCTTCAGTCGGGTCGCCTTCGGTCGGGTCGCCTTCGGTCGGGTCGCCTTCGTTTAGGTCAGAATGTGCGTCTTCTGTTTCATATTCGTAACCCGATTCCATAGTTCTATTCTCGCCGTCATGGGCCGATGCGTTTGACGGCCGATCTATCGGCAGTTTCGGATGTGGTATTCCATCAATGGTGAGATCTTGCAACCCGGATAGGACATCATCTTGACTGTTATTGTTCACTGTGTTGAGGTTGTCTGACGTAGTAGTCGCTGCATCTAGTCGTAATCGATGTTGCCTTTCCCTATATCGCTGCACTCGGAGGCGCATCTGTTCGCGTCGTGTCTGAACAGGATCGGACGATGGAGCGTACTGTTCCTCCCGGCCCATTGGCTGTTCGGATATTCCTGTAGCTGAAGGATTTGGACGAGCCGAGCCGTTTGCTGCTGAGATCGGCCCTGTAACGGCTTGGGTAGGTGCATCGTACGAAGTGATCGAAGATTCAGGGGTAGTTTCACGTATCGGTTGAGAGCATCCATTGCTGCAACTAGCTGATTCGATTTGTACATCCGTTTGAGAGTCGCGGGCTTGCTTTTTTTGTCGCATTCGTTCTCGATAGGCTTTGGCTTTCAGCCGGTCACGTTCCCGGGTATGTTGCATGGAAACTGGTCGAGGAGCCATAGTTCTTAGAGGTTTGTATTGCCTAGTGCAAAGATAATGTCCGTCTGGACCTTCGATATTGTTCTGTTAGAAACGCGGTTTTTGCTCCTCATTTTAACCGCTGACGCGTTCACCGCTTAGACTCGAGTCGTCACATATAATCACAGATAATCACTGCTTTCCAAGAAAATTAATTACGCGTGTGGCCCTGGGACAGCGAGCCTATTAGATGAAACTGGTGAGTTTTCCTGTGCACGAACTCTAATCGAGACTCCAACAGGATAAGATGGCGTATCTTCTATGGTAAGATGATTGCTAGGGCGCGAGAGCGCGCGATCGCGACGACGATTCCTATGACGATAGTTTAGTTCGGTGAAGTCCTGCATGCTAGTTTTACCTATCGCAGCACTGATAATATTCAGATGCTGCGTACATCTTGAACACTTACAGACTGCCGAGCTTGTCCTGGAACACGGGCTGCTAGTACGGTAGCTATTATGTGATACCCCTGAGCTAGTGTGGATACCGTCACCGTCATGCCTGTCCTGGATTGGCTGTAGGACAGCGTTACCGCCATAACCGGATGGGATTGGCAGCCGCATTCCAAGTTTTTGAGCATGGGTGTAACGCTGTGTCGACCAGGGTGTAACGCTCTACGATAAACTGCCTTATCGTCATACCGGCATATGGTAATTAACACCAAGCTGTTAGCACGAAGAGTTCCAAACCAAGAATAAGGCATCCTAAAAGCGTCGCACCCGTAAGAGGAGATGATTCAATGATTTAAGATACTTTGGACTTGGCTTTATCAAGTTTTACAGAGTCAATAGAGCCCAAATGTGTTTTTTTTTTGGCATTGAATCTTCTGTGCTCCCTAACAACACAGACTCAACGTCCACTGAAACCCGAGCCCGATTTCCATGACATATATCCCCAGGACTTCTGGCACCCAAGGTCATTCACTGGCACGAAACCACATGTCATTGAGGATTATTTCCAGTCCTTTGGCACCACTTGATACTCAATTTTCGGCAATTCTTAGCACTACTACTACAGAAAATCTTCTAGTTTCAGACTGGGTACCAACTCTTCTAACACGCAATCGTGCGAATCTAGCATTCTCTCGAACCGACAAGCATCGTGAGGCTTGCAGGCATGCCACGCAGGAGTTTGTATGCTCCGAATAATCTCATATATAGATGGCGAATTATACCCGGAGAAAGGTTTGTCTGGCTTGGTTATTGGAAGATCCTTTGCCCTCATTTGTTGCATCAATGAACCAAGAAGCCTACAAGAACATTCTAGAGAACAGCCGGCTTGGCCGACCATGAGGTCCTCTTGCAGCTCATACATTTCAGAAAAGAGCCGGTCGATTGTATGGACGCGACACTCATTGATTTTAGCTGCTTCGTATTAGGAATTTCTACTTCTGGAGTTAGGATAGAATTCCATACCTAAAACTTGACTCGGTATCGGGAGATTCGTTCTAATCAGCCCCGTTGTGTGGTTTATGGCTCTTGATCCAAGGTTTGAAAATGCTGATCCGTCTCGAATTGCCCAGGCGATGAATAGCAAGATTATTTCGCGATTCCCAAAACTTTCTGCCTTATCGGCAGGAGATGGGTCAAAAGGTCCACTGTATCTGGCCCAATCATCAAGGCGCGAACACCAACTATCGAAGAATATTTGGACAATCTCGAGGCAGTCGTAGTAATCAACGAGTAACCCAACTTGAGCTATGATCTCCAGGTTGAGCTGTCTAGGTACTTCTCGATGATGACCATGTATAATATCAAGCAAGATAAGGAATGCTTCAGCACTCCAGTCCGATGCCCCGATTTCTAGTATGCCTTGTGAATTAGGTTGAGATTCTCTGTATCTCCCTTTGATAATAGCCCTGAAGACTGGTGACACGATGCATAGATGCCTGGTCGATACTTGGAACTGTATCATATTAGGATCACCATTGTTTAGATATGGCTGTAGCGACCTTAGATCCTCATAAGTTGTGGGCGATTTGATAGAGTTTTTTTTGTCCGTCTGAGGCGATGTCGTTGTCTCAGATTGAGAAGCCTCACCACTATCCCATGCTTCTCTCTCTTCCGCCGATGTAGTCTTTTGCGCGTTAGGGCACTGCAAAATCAGGAGTGCATCTGCCTGAGGATCAAGCTCGAGGAGAGATTTCTTCATCGCAGGGACTCGGAGGCTCAAGTCATTGAGATCTATAGTGTGATATAAGTTGAGTGTTATCAAGAGCAGACAGAGCAGACATCAACAACATTTCCCCGCCTTTCATGTTTACTTTTTGTACGCTCAGCTTCTTACGTCAGTCACGTGCGTGCTCAAAGCAGCCAGTTCCATTGCTATCTATCCGCAATTAAAAAAGGCTGAGCAGCGGCACTACTAATGATTAGAAGGCGTTTAAGTAGTCGGTAATTTTTACATTTTTAATTCCATAAATGTAAAAGACTGGTGATAATTTATTTGTTATGATGGGTACTGGTGAGATGCCGATGCTTACCCTATATCTCCGATCTTATCGCTATCGATAAGATTGCATTTAGTGCGAGGAACACAACACCCCTTGCGCACGTTTCTGTGCCAGCACTCGTTATCTTATCTCTTTCAAAATAACGGTCAGCCAATTCCAAGGACGTTAACAACATCGACATCTATCATGTATACAGACCCAACCTGACTTTCCACACATTTTCAATTCTATCTCCATGACGGACTACAATACAAAGCTGTCAGAATACATCGACGGCTGGCTCAAAACCTTTATCGCTGATTCCAGCACTCCGTTCCGCGGCCAGAAACGCGACGCGTCGTTGAGTCCCATATTGAATTGGAACGACATGCCGACTCCGCCATCGTCTGACGTGACTCAAGAAACACCTAGGAAAAGTCGAAGGCGATCGCCGAAGAGACCGAGACAGGGTGACACTCCCGAAGAAAACACCAGCCAGGATACTCCCTTCGACGACAACCAGACTCCCACTGGCCCTGCAAGAACGCTTCGGATGGCAATGCCGAGTCGCCCTTTTTCAAATCCACCGTCTTTACCTCCATCATCTTCCACATCTCAATCTTCAAATCGTTCCCGATCGACCAGCCCTGTCAAGCGCTCCACGCTAGAACTCCTCCAAAAACCCGTTAAATTCATTCCTTTGGATGAATGGAAAGTCGAAGAAAACATACAGAAGGCATTTAACAGGATCTTCGATATCTCGTATGGCGACAAATTCATACCTAACGCGGTTGAGAAAGAGATACGGGCCAGCGGCCAAAGAGCAATGTCAGGCTGGTTCTTCGAACACTCGGATGACAAAACCGCCTATTATATGGAGGAACTTGCCGCTCTTCTCAAAATCAAGGATGCTGCCAGGTACCTTGAAAAGGGAGGAGCTCACGAGTCGGCTTGGAATTTGGATATCCATGGACCTCTGCTGGAACTTGCCCTGAAGCCGTTCAAGTCTTTGAAACGCGAGCTTCTCACACACGCCAGAATAAGCCCGCCCTTTATCCCAGAGCTTCGAACGGATTCATTTTATGACATAATATCGTCCAAGATGATCGACTTCGGCATCACAGTGCAGCCTTCGGCATCCACGGCGCAACATATCAGCAAGGTGCTTAACGCAGTCCCGCATAATAAACACTCTATCAATCCGACGACATACAACCTCGTTAGATACGATCCAATCGCGGTGCCAATAGAAACCAAAAATACAACAGGGCATATGGAGGAGGCCAGAGTCCAGCTTGGACTTTGGGTAGCAGCATGGCATAAGCGGATGAATGCTCTTCGGACGAATAACGAGCAGATCATTACGTTACCGCTGATAATGGCCGTGGGGCATGAATGGAAGCTCCTCTTTGCGTACGATGGAGAGAATACAATTGTGAGTACAACCTCATTAGTTGTGTAGTAAGAAAACTAATCGGTCTTCAGGGTATTGCAGAGGGCATAAATATGGGTGGGACTATGGACTTGGTTGGGTTATATCGTGTTCTCGGGATATTGAGAGAGTTGGCAATGTGGATGGAGACTGAGTATGTTGCTTGGTTGGATAGATGGCTTGGACTTAGGCAGCCATAGGACATGCGAATCGGGCTCCCCCAGGCTTGGGTCCTTGGTGGTCTATCCTAGCTGCGAGGCGAATACAGGTCTGAATTGAATGGAAAACACATATAAACTAAAACCACGCTAATGAAGACAGGGACCTGACAATTATTGTTTACGTCGATATCCTACTCTTCTATTCCTAATTGTCGTGTACCCCTAATTGTCGCGTACCCCTGTCCGCTTCTCAAGTACCTCTCTATCTCCGGTTTATTCCCTTCCAATCCATATTAGGGCGATTGATTTGTTCCATTTCGATCGACGATCTGCACGCGTATAAACGCGTACTTTAGCTTTCATACGTTATACACTCTCTTTTCCGTAATTTCAATCCGAGGATTCTTTCCAACGACCTTTGCGAGCTCGGGTCATCAAACGGCTAGTTTAAATTCCATCAAAATCTTGGTACGAAGATGCTGGTCAACGCGGGAAATGCTGACGATCTACCGAGGGAAGAGCGGGTCAACGAGCAATTCAAGGCTTAGTTCGTGTTTACGTTACAAGCGAGGGTAGTTCCGCTCTAGCTTGAAATTTATATCGCCCAATTGACTTTCATTATTGAAATGATTCTGTAATCAATCTGGACCAGACTTTACAGCTCACAGCTTGAGCATGACGGGTATAGCCACCACGGCAAACTGATGAGGCGGTGGCAGTGTTGAAGTCACGTGAGTTCGACAAGTCCTTTGACGCAGCCTGATTCCAGCCTCCATGCCCTCGCCATCTTTTCCTCGTGTATCTCCAGTCTTGGACGTAACGACAATCTTACTGAGTGTCAAGACAGCATCCCCTTTTGCCTTGCCACAGAACTAGGTCCGCTGCATTGACCGTGGCGCGCAGCCCGAGAGCAATTCTGTTAACATGAACCTTACTTTGTTGCATGATCGCGATGGCGAAGACTATCCCCGACCCCTGAAGCGACAGAAGACGCCTTGTGCGAGCGCGGAGAACGGTCTGCCATACGATCGCTATACTATAGCCTGGATTTGTGCGCCGTATATCGAGACGGCTGCCGCTCTAGCCATGCTAGACGAGAAGCATGGTGAACTACCGAGATGCCCCAACGACCATAATACCTATACACTTGGAAGCATCAAGAATCACAATATAGTCATCGCGTGCTTGCCTCAAGACCAATACGGGAATATTAATGCCGCAAGTGTGTTAACAAACTTGAAGCGTACCTTTCCATCAATCCGCCATGGGTTGATGGTCGGTATCGGCGGTGCAGCACCTGCCAAAGAAGACATTCGCTTAGGCGATATTGTTGTGGGAACAAGGGTCATGCAATATGACCTTGGGAAGATTCTGAGTGGTGGTGGAATTCAGCGAACAGCCATCCCTAGGTTCCCTGAGCAATCTTTATGCACGGCTATAGCAAACCTGCGAGCCAGCCATGAAATATACTCTACTCGTATTCCGGCTATTCTATGGGAAAGAATGCAGAGAAATCCGGAATATAACCGTCCCAGCGCACCTGACCATCTATTTCAGGCATCATATGAACACGACCGGTCAATGGCAAATTGCCAAACCTGCGACCAGTCGCAGCTAGAGAAACGGGAGGCACGAAGATCCTGGGAGCCAAAGATTCATTACGGAGCAATTGCCTCCAGTAATCAGGTCATGAAGGATGCAGTTACCCGCGACCGTCTCGCCCACGAACTGGGCATTATATGCTTCGAGATGGAGGCTGCAGGGTTGATGGATGTCCTTCCCTGCCTTCCAATTCGAGGTATATGTGACTATTCAGATTCTCACAAAGCCAAAGACTGGCAGAAATATGCAGCAGCAGTGGCTGCCGCGTATGCGAGAGAGTTCTTAGAGGCTCTACCAGCAACCGGCAGCGCGTCAAGAGACTCTTGGCCTAGTGCCCATTTTCGTATGTTGGTCATTTACCCTGCAACTGCTCAAGTCAAAGAAGCTAACTTGTTATTACAGCTGAGCAAGCAAATCTCGGAAATCGTCGACAAAAGCTACTAGAGTCTCTCGAATTCGACCAAATCGATTCACGCAAGACTACTATCAAAACTGCCTATTCCAAGACCTGCAGCTGGTTCCTCAAACACCGTCACTACCTGGAATGGCTCGATTCAGGGAAGCAGTCGCAACACCATGGCCTTCTCTGGATCCGAGGCAAGCCAGGTGCTGGTAAATCGATCATCATGAAGTTCATCTACACAAAGACGAAGAAGACAGATATCCCAATGAAAGCACTCACTGTCTCATTCTTTTTCAACGCCAGAGGAGAATTGCTAGAGAAATCAGTCTCAGGGATGTATCGATCTCTACTCCTGCAGCTCCTCGAAGGCTTCCCCGATCTACAGAAAATCCTGGACGATCCTGACTTGATACCACGGAACCAGGTCACATGCCCACCGTTAAACATCCTCAAAGACTTGATCCGTTCCGCAATCTCGTCTCTGGAGAAGCGATCCCTTACCTGTTTTGTCGATGCGCTGGATGAGTGCGATGAGCAGCAAGTCAAGGACATGGTCGAGTTTTTTGAAGAAGTCGCAGAACACTGTGTGGAAGACAATGTGAGATTTCAGGTGTGCTTCTCGAGCCGACATTACCCTTACATTGACATCAAGTCGGGGATTCGATTGACGTTAGAAGGCCAAGACGGTCACAACGAAGACTTGAAACGCTACATCAGCAAACACCTGCGGATTCAGGATCGTTCCCTTGTGGATGAGTTGACGCAGATGATGCTTGAGAAGGCGGCCGGTGTCTTCCTCTGGGTTGCTCTGGTAGTGGACATTCTAAACGAAGAGAATCGCCATGGACGCATAGCACTTCGAACAAGGTTACGAGAGGTACCGAGTGAATTAAGTGCACTTTTCCAAGATATCCTGACTCGAGATCGAGACCACCTGGAAAGTCTGTTACTCTCTATTCTCTGGATTCTGCTTGCACAACGACCGTTGCAGCCTGGAGAGTATTATCATGCTCTTTGGTCTGGATTATCATTAAAAGGCAAAGGAGATCGCGAGATGCCGCCTGTCAACACTTCGGATGCCAGCGACTGCTTTAATAAATGCGTCATCAGCTCTTCTAAAGGACTTGCTGAAATCACTAAAGCTAAGAAGCCTACAGTCCAATTTATACATGAGTCAGTCCGTGATTTTCTTATCAAGGACAAGGGTCTATATAAACTATGGCCAAAACTTGGGGCAGACTGGGAGAGCCAGGGTCATGAGGAGCTCAGGCTATGCTGTAACGCCTACATATTTCATGAGGCCATAGGAGAGGCGATTGACGGACAACAATCTACTGAAGCACAGACCATAAAGGATGACCTGTTAAGACAGTTCCCCTTTCTAGAGTACGCCAGTCAGTTTGTTCTTGGACACGCTGATGCTGCTGCCCAAAAGATTGCCCAGCAACAGTTCATTAGCGAATTTCCAGTATCAAGCTGGGTCCGTATCTTTAATATCTTTGAAAAGCATAAAATCCGAAAGTATAGTGAAGGAGCAGACATTCTCTACATCCTCGCAGACAGGGGATATCCTGAACTCATTCGGATGAGACTCGAAGTAAACCCTGGGATTGACGGTGGAGGAGGAAGATACCGTCACCCGCTCCTTGCTGCGATGGCCAAGGGAAACAAAGATAGTGTCACAGCGCTGTTGGGTTTATCATCGAGGTTCCATAACGGAATCGACATTACAGATGGCCTCAAGAGCAAAATAGACTCAGTAAAGACGAATCATACCCCTGTTTCTTGGGCATGCGAAGAGGGTCATCTGGCTATCGCTGCATTTCTTCTGGACCAGGATGCGAAAGTCGGTGTGGATGACTTAGTGAGATTTGTGGGGAACGGCAATATCGAGGTAGTGAAGATGCTTCTTGAGAAGGGAGCAGATGCTAGGGTTGCAACTAAGGATGGACGGACACCACTGCTTCTATCATTACGGAACGGTCACTTGGAGATAACGAAGATGCTTCTTGAAAAGGAAACGGATGCTGGAGTTACAGATAAGGATGGATTAACACCACTGCATCTAGCATCGCAAAATGGTCACTTTGAGATAGCGAAGATGCTTCTTGAGAAGGGAGCAGATGCTACGGCTGCAGATAAGGATGGGTTAACACCACTACATCTAGCATCGCAGAATGGTCACTTGGAGATAGCGAAGATGCTTCTCGAGAAGAACGTGGATGCTAGGGTTGCAACTGAGTATGGATTGACACCACTGCTTCTAGCATTACGGAACAGTCACTTTGAGATAGCGAAGATGCTTCTTGAGAAGGGAGCAGATGCTACGGCTGCAGCTCTGGATGGACGGACGCCACTGCATCTAGCATCGCAGAACGGTCACTTTGAGATGGCGAAGATGCTTCTCGAGAAGGAAGCAGATCCTACGGCTGCAGCTCAGGATGGATTGACACCACTGCATCTAGCATCGCAGAATGGTCACTTGGAGATAGCGAAGATGCTTCTCGAGAAGAACGTGGATGCTAGGGTTGCAACTGAGTATGGATTGACACCACTGCTTTTAGCATTACGAAACGGTCACTCGGAGATAGCGAAGGTTTTAGGGTTTGGATTAGGGTTAGAAAAGGGTTAGCCATTGAGGAAAATGGGACAGGACATGGGTTTCAAAAACCAATCGAAAATATTCATCCCTAGTTCAAATCTACTCAATTGAACATCGTAATATCGGAAAAGCTACTTTAACCTTTACTACTACCCTACTCTTCTATTCCTAATTGTCGTGTACCCCTAATTGCCGCGTACCCCTGTTCACTTCTCAAGTGACTATCTATCTCCGGTTTATTCCCATGTAATCCATACCATAGCAACTTGTTTGTCCCATTTCGATCTGCGCGCGCATCACATGTACTTTACCTTTCATACGTTATTCGCCCTAGTACATATAGTAGTTAATGACAATAAAAACTCTAGAGTTCTTTTGAACGCCCCACTCTATAGGGGGTTAGAGTTCCTTTGACCGACAGGAGTAGAGTCCTTTTTCACCGCCAATCATAATCTCAAACATATTATATAATAAAAGCGACTACGCGAAGCAGATCCAAGTACCTCAGAATGCTTCCCTGCGGTGTTTCAAGCCACAGTTTAACTAAATGCCCATGGGTCCAATCACTAAGCGATTTCCCACTATCACTCGGGTCATGTCTTAGATGATCCGCACGCCACGTCCACTTTACCAAGCTGAATCTGAACCGAGAAAAGATCGAAAAGATCTTCCTGTGGATCAAGAGCCGCTTTGACTACGCCTAACTTTAAATGAGCTTTCTGATATGGCGAGAAAGGTCTTAGTGCACCCTAGTGAGATGACAAAAGCCTCTCATCAGGCGACCATTTGCCCCTCGTTTCTGGGCCGTATGTTTCACAGACGTCATCTTACCTGTCCTATTGGGGCGCATTTAGCGCAGACGCCACTAGCAAGTTGACTGTTGAGGGAATGCCTGGGCCAAGGCTAATAAAGAACTACTGGTCATATAATTCGGCCACAGAGTGATGGTAACCTCTGGATCCTTGATTGGCTTCGTAAAGCTGTGGTTCAGTACTTACTTTTCGGGAAAGAGTTATCCTTGTTGTGCTTGCGAAGCTGCACTTGTTACTTTCTAGGACTGATGTGAGTGAGCTGTAATATGAGTAGGTATTTTTATGCAACAGCAGTATCAAGTAACATCCACTTTGCTTTCCCTGATACGAAACATTATTTATTCCTAAATGCTTTAGTACACGAAGTCGGAGAATTGTTACTTACAGACTCTCATAGAACGATACTCTTTATTTCTACCCACATTTAAGAACCGATAATGATGTACAGCCTTGAATCTCAGAAAGTTCTCTACGTTACAGTCTTGTATTTTCCACCTCATTTGTAATTATTTTAAACGCCTATGAACTCATACCGACTGACAATGCTGCTCTAAAAAAACAAGAGATAGTTTCTTATCTCAGCTCTTGGCAAGTACAGATAAGACAAAGGCTTGGACAACATCCCTGACATTGCCAAGAGTACTTGCTGTCAATGTTGCTGCAATTTCTGGCCCCCAATACATAAATGAAGTCTAGATCCCGCAGAAAGAGATATAAGAGGTCTAATAGTCTTAGCAGATTATATGGTATAGTTCTACCCCTATTATCATTAAGCCTTAAACTCTTTACCTATTAGATTATTATATATTTATACCTTTATATCTCAATATAGCCTTAGAGGCCTTAACTTATATTTATCTATTAGGGTCTAAATTATAATATACTAATAATATAACTTAATAAATTAGATTATAAGTTATTATTAAAGTATTATATTAATATTTAGAGTCTATAAGATTTAAGAATATATTTATAAGACTTAAGTTATTACTTAAAAGGATTTAAAAGTCTTAAAGGAGAAAATTGCTTCTAATTCTGTATTATATATTATAGTAGTATTATATTAATAGGGTATTACCTAAATGCCATTAAACACTTGATAAAATATGGCCCCTAAGATGCTGGAAAAGTATTCCGCTTTCTTTCGATAGCGCCTAGCCCCCAAATAAGGAAACTTCCGAGATACCAGGTGTAAATAGATGCCACAAGCTAATGTAATGAAGATGTATAAATAAAAGAAACCGTGCTGGTGATAGTATATAACTTAGAGCCTTAACTCTATCACTTTCTATTACATCAAACTAGTCACTATGCATTCTTTCAAGATTATTCTTATCTCCCTGGCCCCTGTACTGGCTGTACCAGCGATGAGTCCACGGGACATCGATTCTGATGAGCCTTTCGACTTTGGACAAGGCTTCCTGGTCCCTGCCAACGTTTCCATTGATGACTATGATTCTACTCCCATGATCTCACTGTCTCATCTCAACCTGCGCGATCTTGAAACCTTGGAGGAGCCCCTCGCTCCCGAGTTGGGCAACACCACTAACTTCGATCTCGACACCCGCGCACCCAAGGAGACCAAAGTATTCTTTGGCAAGACTCAAGTTGATTACGGCTGCGACGCCTCCATCAGAAAGCCTCTCGGCGAGGCCATCCACTCCATCTGCGGAAATGGAGACTGCGACAAGAGCGTCGTGTACACCCGCAAGGTCGCCCATATGGTGAATGGCAAGCGCAGAAAAGAAGCCTGGCTCCGTATCTCAGTCAGAGGCGAGTACTACGGACGTCATACACGAGGTTACATGGTCTCAGCCGTTGAGAATACAGTCAACCCCAAGACTGCGAAACCAGCAATGCGATACTATCTCCCGACAAACCCAAACTTCCAGGCTCAGAGTTGTAAGATGTCCAAATTTAGCAACTACATCAAGATGCGCAAGAACTTTGGCGACGCGATCTATATGGAGATAGACGTCACTCTCCAGACCAGTAACTGTGAGTCATGTAACCATCAAGATAAGAAGACTGGACTAATGTTGAGGTAGCGCACTGTTTCACACCAAATGTTCTTGAAGAGGTTGCTGGCGCGCTTGGAGGTGTCGGTGGTTCCTTTTTTGGATATGTTGTTACTTCCATGATTGGTTGTTAAGTGAAGGATCAGACGTGTTCAAATAGAGCAATCTTCAACTTGCCAGGGCTATAGGCACTCAACTCCTATGCCGTTAGTGGCTCGCGCGTCACGATCCTGGAGGAGAAATCATTCCTGGATTCTAATATAGATATCGTCTGAAGCTTTCTAGATACCTTGTTCTGGGCTGCCTGCGATCCTTTTCGTGATAATGCCAAACTTGCTCATGCCTGTATGTATAGTCGACTCATTGCGCCTATCATACTGGTCCTTGGTCCAAGGCCCTCGAGAATCTTCTTCATCCATATAATCCTCGCCCTCTCCGTTCAATCTTCTTGAGTACGAGCGACAGATGGGCGCTTTGCTTCGTTCGACGTGATATTCATTTGAGTGCCAACGACCAAAAACCTTCCCGCATCCCATCGCGAACCCAACAATAGCGAACCCTCCATCTGGACGCAGATGAGTGGGAAGCCTATGGCTACTGATAGGAGGACAAGCCTTATTCGTTTCTTTCCCGTTTTCACCTTGTTCCATGTCGACGCCCCAAATCACTGAACGGCCCCGATTTGTACAGATCTGTATTATGTATTAGATTAGATGGCACTGGAGTAGCCTGACTTACTTCAATTGCTTTGGGCGAAGGGTCTTGGGAGAATGCATGATGGACTATAACTTCTTCGATTATCTCGCCCCCTGGACCATCTATGTCGAACGTATCCCAACGATGCTCAGGCCAAATCGAGCCGTCGTCATCCATATCTCTCAGATAACGAGTCTCCACGTCAGTTGTAACGCGTAAGTTGCCAACGTCACAACAATGGTTACTCCAACTATTGAAGCAGATCCGGTCTCGGATCAGGTATGCAGAAATGCTGCGTATCTGGTATAGTTGGGTTGTATCGTTGGCGAGAATGAGAGTATTAAGCGGAACGAGGCAGTGCCAACGCTCGAAATTACGAACGCGACCTTTGCACAGGTTTAATTCGAGGTCTTTGTCCGGTGAGATTAGGCTTTTTAACATGCAGTTCACTGTGTTCCAACAAGACACCTCATGGGCTCGATGTTTGAGGGAATCTCGAGAGCTTTGCCCGCCGGTGATAGGGGCTTGTAAAACCCAAATTTTCTCGATAAAGGGATAAATACCATGTGTCTTGTGTGCCTTTTCGATCATAAATAATGGAACCTCCAAAAAGGGTCTGCGGAGACTTACTGTTAGAGTGCCTTTTATCCCCACGATCGTCATGTTCTCCGCTGCAGCAAACGGCATTTTGACAAGATGTTGACCATCCTGGCCGTACGTATGCTCCGAACCATCAGTGAGATGAACCTAGGATAGTCAGCGCTTGTGAGCGATCTCAAGCTTCTTCAATACATACTGTAATGCCCTTGCAAGAGGAATAGTTCCAAGAACAAGCCTGCCAGGGTCTAAGAACGGATGAAACGTAGATATGAAACACAAAGCCCCTGATCCAGACGCCACCTGGAAATGATCCTGTCGTTTGGGCGGCGCCTCTTTCCAGCGGTTCATGTCCAAAGATTCTCTGGTCTTCTCCAAAGGTAACAGATATACCTGACAGATCCCCCTCCGAGTTCCAGAAAAGGTCAAGAGTCCATGGGCGCAACAACTCAGACCAATCTCGTAGGAAATTTACGGATCGAAAGTACAAGCCTGGTTCTCTTGTATCTCCTATTACTTGCCCTTCACTTCTGCGGGCCTGGCACTCTAAGTAGCTCTTTGGGACATTTTTCTGGTGAGGTTCTTGGTTGTATATCTCTCCGATTTGCTCGCAGACCTTCCAGATCCGTCGACGATTAGCGACTGGAAACATGAGTCTCGTCACTCCGGATTGCGGCTTGGAGGCTGCATCAGCCCATAGGAAGATCTTTCTGAAGTCTCTGTTCTCCAAACCTTGAGATTGCTCTTTCAAGTAATCATGTAACTCGAAGAAAAAGGGCAAGTGAGTGATTATGCGCCTTTTCCAAAAAGAACCGTTATCTCTCAAGCTTGAAAATGTTTCCAGTGAGGCGCAGAATAGGTTTATGAGGCTCCGGTTATCAAGGAACTCTGAGACACCAAATATCACTGTCTCTGGAAGGGTTGTGAGAGGGTTTGACTCTCTATTAGCTTCGTGGCGGTACTGGCGAGGCTTCTCGAATCGTGGACTTGAGATGAAAGCGACGATATCACGCTTCAGTTGTGCTTGGCATTGGGGACTGAAGACTGTGTACTCTTGTCCAGGAATGCATTCCCAGTAGTCCTTCTGAGCCTTGCTGACGTCGCCATAATCCAAGGAAAGGCATCTGTACTCAGACACTGACGCTTGTTGCTGGACACGTCTCACAACCGAGAATCGATCCAAGGCTCTATAAAGCGCCCCTTTTCTAATTCTCGTGGTGTCAGATGTCCCAGTCAGATAGAGCGCTAAAGTCTTATAGCATTGCCAGTGGAATGGTATCACTCTCTCAGGACCCTTCTTGTTTCTATAGACACGTAGAGTACGCACGTCAACACCTGCAAAAGAAGGATCTGTCTGTGTTTCACTAGCCATGTCCACCCCTCGACCAATGATAGCTAGTCCAGAGACGTAGAACCTATTTTGGTCAGTTTGTGAAATGTGCAATGTATGGCTAGCGTACTTTGACCTCGTTGTTACTGAGGTGTTATAGCCGAGGAGATGTACTTGATCAAGCCACTCGACGTCTGCGTCGCAAACAACATCTGGATCATATGTAGAGAAACCTTTCGGGTAGATTAGACGGAGTCTAATAATAGTTGACTCGATTGTAACTCCGCAAATAGCGCACCAGGCATTTCGAGAGTTTGACGAGGTCATGTTGAAAGGCAACGTGAGTTTGTGCGGATCGGCCTCCAGAAGGCTCTCAGAAAGCTGTTGGCGATAAAGCTATATAGCGGTAGATTTTGAGGAAAAGGCGGAAAGCATACCATTTTCATGCAGGTAGTTGCCTAAACTCGGACTAATTATGCCCCGGGCATGGTTGGCTCGGGCCCTGAAGTACTAAAGGGGCCATCTTGGTGCATCTTACTAATATATATTAGGTTCTCTATAAAATAAAATACTTTAATAAATATAAGTTATTCTTTTTAAAAAAGTATTTATATTAAAAATGATTATTTAAAGTCTTAATAAAATATTTTTAAATAGGATTAAAAAGTATTAAATTAAAAGTAAAACTAAATTAATATTATAATATAACTGTAAGCGTGATACTTATTTAAGCGGGAGCCTTATTATAAAATCCATATTACCATCTTGCCCACTTTCCTCTTTTCTGAAAACCTGTAGTCTTCCTTCACAACCTATAAAGTACTAAACGCAACACGAGACAGAAACATCGGAATCGATAAAATGCCGTCGATCTCAGAGATGATTGATTTCCTATGGCGGCCCCCACGAAAAGAACCAGGAGTCAAGAGGCGTCCACTTGATCAGAGAGATCCAGCAAATGCCCAGTATTATCGCAACTGGGGGTTTACAGTTTACCGAACATATTATGGCCCTGACTCGGATAAGCATTGGGAGACACTTATCGATGCAATGACTCGACAAACTCACCTTGCACTCGGCTACCATGAGACTGAAATGATATACCAAGAGGACCAGAGACAGAAGTGGGGTTTATATGCAGACAAAAGCGACTATGTGGACGACATAAACCGATTGAAGAAGCTATTTCGTCTTACAGTGAGAGAGGACTCATCAGTACTTGATGGTCTCGACATCCCTCGCATTCGAGATCTGTGTCGCAAGGAACTTCCGGAGGCCAGCAAGAATATAGAAGGGGCGAAAGCTTGCTTTGTCTTTGTCGCCGATGAGGCTGTGTTGAAAGATATCGCCCGTGGAGTGTTTGTGATCAAAGTTGTTGGTTATGATTGGGACGAGGATCGAATCGGGCAGGGTTGGATGAGAATTCCAACCGGCGAGGTGCTGACGTTTTGGGAGTCACTTTTACTCTGGGACTTCATTGAAACTGACGTTTACCGCGAGATTAATGATCACTGGTTTGGAGAGGAGTCGGAGAGGTACACTTGGCCAGGCGATGCCTCCATTTATCCAACTCACGGCTGTTCCGAAGCTCAAACTGCATGTCAGTCTAGACATTCTCAGTTCAGGTTTGATTATTGACTGAAATGGACTCGGAGATGGAACAACTGCATTTTAATCTACATACTTTCTAAATATTATAAATACAGAAACTCAATCCTAACCCGATAGCTCTCAATCTGACCCGGTACTCATTTCGTCTTCATCCTCCAACAAAGGGATGTCCCAGTCCGTTACGATGCGCACAAAGGTCATCTGACTCTCAAAAGAAACAATAGCCAGCCTAATCTCTTCCGCTCTGGCACCCGAAGCCGCTCTCTGCCTTTCTCTAAGCTGAGCTATGGCCTCGCGAAGCCACGCTCTTGCAAGTCTTCCTGCCTCCTCGAAGTAGTCTTTTAGCCACTCCACGAAAAACTTAACCGCTGGGACAGGGCGACCCGGATGTTCATTATTCCAAAGATCTTGCGCGTGATCTAACTGGTTCACGATGTTGTTGACGATTTTGTTGATCTTCGTTTTGACGGTCTCGCCGTTCTCGTCTCCTTCTTCGGAGCCCATGTATTCAAACAATGAAATGACTGTTCGAATTTGTGACATCAAGCGGTCTGTGTCATAAGTTTCAAGCCGATTTTCCGCGACAGGGGCAAAGAGTTGCATAACCTGTATTTCGTAACGTTTCGGTTAGCCTAGGCGACATGGTGGTTGTCGTTATTGAAGATATAGAGTACTTACCCTGGCCTTTATAGAGTTGATGGGTCCTACGATGATGACAAAGTTTCGAAAGTTGGTCTGACTGCCAAGACACTCGAAAATACGAGTCAACACATTTTGATTATCGAAGGGGACGCCGCGGCCATCAATATCAGGGAAACCGCCATGCAGTTCCCCGAGTCGTAGCGCCTCTTCCCAAAACCTTACAGGTATCCCATGGTAAGTAGATTGAGCTCCACTTCGTAATCTTTTGAGCACCTGTTAGCAAGCGACGTCTCTCTCAGCTTTGCGATCAGAAAAGACGAAAACGTACGTTCCAAAACCAGCGTCTAGAAAGAACCGCTTCAAGATGACTTTGTCAATCAGATGCTCGGCTAATTTCTAGTGTTAGCTGTAGTAGCCCCAAGACTGGGCAGAAAGATACAAACTCTGAAAGCCCATGTTCTCCAACCCGACGGACCATGTTGTATACCATAGCTTGGTCTCGTGACAATCTGCCTCGTTGGCAAAGTCGACCACCTGGGCATCCGGATTCCTCAAAGCCAATTTCTTTGGCTCATCATGCTGAGAAAATCATCAGTGACTCGATCACGATGAGGCTCGGGATTAAATGGCAGTCCAGGTTCACTTACAGCGGGAATGTTGTATTCAATTGTCGCTTCACCCCCGCCTCTATCCCTGAGAGGCACCTCATTATGTTCTGCACCTGCTTGTCGAGCATGCAAGTGGTAATGGAGGTGTGCAGCTGAATGCGAGGCCCTACTCGTTGATAGGCCACGCCGCCTCCTGGCTGCCTCAGGGGTAAAAGGCTCGCAAACGCCGTTCTGACATATGGTATTTGTACAGTTAAATGCCAATGTCCTTCCATCACTACCCTTCCCCAGAATGGCAGCGATCCTGGCGTTGGCCCGTTTAGGATCGCATATAGTGACGCGCGACATGACCTCGGGATCCTCGTCCTCCCACTCAGGTACTGAATTCTTCGCTTCTTGAAGGGTCCTCACCACCAAGTTCGGATACTCTTCCTCCACAACAAGATTCCATTTCGGCGTGAGTGCCTCCGCCACCTCTTTGGAGACCAAGCCCGCGATAAGTCGGGCCAGCAATATAACCAAGTCGTACGAATCCTCCATTTCTTTAGCCCTCGGGGATAAATCCATGGAAAGCGACGAAACCATCGTAGTGTCGTTTAGCGGATCAAAACGCTTGAAAAGACCGCCGTCGTCTTTTGGACAAGTTGGATTCTTGATCCATGCCTTGACGTCGTTCTCAAATGCGTCAATCTTGGGATTCTCGACCTCAAAAATCTCGGCATAGTCGGTCTTGCAGCAATGGGCCATTCCCCCGACCCCGGCGATAGCACAAGTATCGACCTGAGTGTCAATAGCAACCTGGATGCGATCGGGAGGACAACCACTGCGGCAGAAATCCCTCGGCATGACGTCCGGTACTGGTCCAACATTCCTAAACTTTTGGCAATCTGTGAAGCGAAGGTTCTTGTCGCTGTCGTTACAGCAGAACTTGCGGTACTGCACGCCGGGAACATTGAGGCCGAGCTCGTTCTTTGCGTCGTCGCAGTTGCCACCACCAGATCCCGAGGCCGAGTATGCCAACAGAGACCCCATCTTCTTGTTGCCGAGGGGATTGGGACATCCTTCCTGAGCATCGCACTTCGGATACTGACCCCATTCGCAAGTGCCATAGACCTTTGTACCCACGACGTCGGTCTTACAGCAGGCTGTCTGAAAGTTCTGCTTCTTCGAGCCTTTCTGCTTCTTGCAGTAAATCTCGTTGGAAGCGATTTCGGTCATATCGCTTGGGCACTCGCTCCGAACCGGGCAGCGCCCATTGTTATGCCCGTACCAGCCGCACGTGGGCATCTTTGTAGATCCCGCAGGGCAGCAGAAGGTATGGCCGCCGTCACCGCCACAGCCCGTCTCGTCGAACATGATCTCGTTCTTGCGCGCACCTGAGTCGCTGCGAGGGACAGGCACCCAGCCCTTGCGACATCCCTCCTTGCAGTTGGTCCAGCGACATTGCTCGTTGGGAATCTTCTTGATCTCGTATGCCTTCTCTTTCGGGTCAAAGTCGCCCGATGTGGTTTTTCGGTTCAGTGATAAGGCCAATGCTTTGTTGAACCTCGCCTCTTTGGTATCATGTGATATAGCCCATACCATGACACCTCCGAGACATCGAGATTTCGCATAGTCAGTCTTCAGCTTGAACGTGTCCTCGTCATCGTATGAAACCCACTGATTGCCCCATTTGGCGACCTTGACAGCCTCCTCCTTGAAGAACTCGGGCTTGATGTTGTACTTCTTGATAGTAGTCACAATCTCCGAGTTCAGCAGGATGCCCTTCTCGCGACTACAGTCACCAGCCTTGCCCGCTGCCTTGAATAGGCAACCGGGTTTGGTGCAGGTCCCAGACTGGACCGAGAAAGCACGACCGTAGAAGCCCATGCCGAGGACCACCTTGTCCGACTGGATGTTGTTGCGCCAGAGCAGGTCGAGGGCAAGATCGATCTCCGTAAGGTTGCTGTGAGCATTGAGAAAGGGTTGGGTGTAGTTCTTGCCTTGATCCCAGGCACCATGCAAGTCGTAGGACCTGTGAGAGAAGTTAGTACGAGGACTGAGAAACTCATTTGAGAACTCACATAATGTTGAAGAAGTCAACCGTTTTTTCCTGTTAATAGTTGTTAGTGTTTGCTCGGGGTTTCTGTAGAGAACTGACTTACGAGCTTCTTGATGTCGAATTGTCTCAGATACCAATATGATGCAGGCAGCGTGATACTGAGACCTTTGTCCGCGGAATCCATCATGCTCTTGAGCCTCTCCATGAACTTGGGAAAATTGGCAAAGTCGACCGCACGACCGCCTCTGTCTGTGTCGACAGGGTATTCCCAGTCCAAGTCTAGGCCATCGAATCCGTAGGTACTCATGAACGAAACAAGAGACTTCATAAAGGCTCTTTGACGGGGAAGAGATGCCGCAAGGTCGGAAAACGTAGATGCGGTTGGACCTGGGTCGTTGAAGGTCCAGCCGCCAACTGCGATGTAGACCTTGAGCTCAGGATCCAGTCTCTTGAGTTCGGTAAGACGCTTGTACATTCGGATGTCGGATTCTTTATCGGGTTTAATCTCGAAGGTCTTGGGATCGATGGTAGCGAAAGCGAAATTAATGTGCGTATAAAGTCCGATCGGAATCTGCTCGGGAGAGAAGGCTTCGCAAGGACGGGCTTTCGCCCATCCCTCAAAGTATCCAATAACTCGAGAGACATCGCCAGTCTTACTGCAGCTGGGCTTCTTAACCTTTTTTGAACCACAGAAGTCTTTAGTGGTCTTTTTTCGTGTCAGTATCTCAATCAGAACACTGCCTGAGCAGCGCTGGATGCTTTACTTACGCCGCAATATCCGTGCTTGGAGCAACAGACATTGAGAGGGCATTTGTCGTTTTCGGCCCATTTAGAGCCGAATCCAGGATTACACTCCGATTTGCGATCGCAGTCCGATCGACAGTTGGTTCCGCAATCTGTGAAGTGAGTAGTGAGTACCAACTTGGTAAGTCAAGTAGAACAATACTACGTACAATCAGGGCCAAAGCCACAGTTGCCGGATTTGTTACAGCAACCGTTCTTACAGCGTCTGGTTGCACTGCATGTCGTGTCATCCTGCGCCGCTACTGCTACGCAAAGACATAACAGTAGCAGGCCGAACAGCCATGTGCGCAGCCGCATGTTGGCTGTCGCTTGCTCAGCAATGAGGATAATTCACGATAAAGACAGTCAATATGAGTTTGACGCTTGAAAATATTGAATGAGAGTATTCTTGCGACTGATTGACAAACTTAGTCGAACACAACTGGCTCTACTCTTGCCAGATAATAAGAAGCCGTACATTGAGGGCAAACTCCCCACCATACCTCGATACCGCGGTCTCCGTTCCTACTGTCCAGGGTGAAGAGCAAACATGGTGATGGATGTTGCTCTATTGCCCCATTTGGTAATAACATGTAGTCATTCGGGCCTTCCGAGAGGACCGTGAGGCTGGTGATACAGATGCTCGGTCCTCTGCTCGTGTATGCAACTCGCAATTAGCCTCCAAGCATGACCCCTTCACAGGTCAGGGTCCAGCGTCCCGCAATGAAAGTGACCATAAATCATGACAAACCTGCAAGGGTCGTGACAAAGTTTAGTGTTAAATCCCCAGCGAATCATTGGCCCGGCTCCCCAACCGCCGACTAGCCTCGTGGGGCTGAGGGGCTTAAAGCTAATGACTACAACAAACTCACAACCAACACAGCGTTACATATGAACGAGCAAAAGTACTCCTGTTTAGGGAGCTCGTTGAAATTCTTTTTCATCCGGCTTGGCGGACTTGGCACATGCGATGTCTCGGGATTTGATGTGTTATTACACATCGGATGATGAGCCTCGGCACGCCTAATGTCAGGGGCACAGACGCGTGATAAGAAAACTGCTATCCAGGATCTGTCTGAAGCGTGTTGGTTCTAAGTAAGACCCATGCAGGTAGCAAGGGCATCGGATTATCGCTCATCGTGAAGTCTGTCGTTTTCCGAGTGACCCGTATATACTACCTGAATCAGTGGTTTGTCGGAATAGGTTCTGTTGATCGCCACCTTTGTAAAGATCACTCGCCTTCCATTCTTTTCTCTCACCAAGCAGTTGCAGATAACGACCATGGCTTCAATCCTCAAGCTTGCTGGTCTCGGCCTTCTCGTCGGTGCAGGAGCTTTCCGCATCTACGAAGCCGAAGACCTCGAGGCTTACGATGTCTCAGCAGCATGTGTCAGCGCCTTATCTGCTGATATCACCTGTAACCCGTATATTCGCTCATTTATGCAGCCTTCATACAGAGGATCGCTGGACAACGTGACATTCACCGATCAGATCTGTGTTGGATCCTGTTCTGGGTCCCTCCGCCGATGGTTTGATTCGGTTTCCAAAGACTGCGAAGGTGAGACTCTCGGGTCTAGTAACGCCGTTCCTATGCGCTATGGCGGTAACATTTGGGCCGGCTGGAACGAGACTTGCATTAAAGATCCCAAGACAAAGAAATATTGCAATGGTGAGTTGATACAGAGAAAGGGGGACCGCGCAGATTGCTAATGCCGAGCCACAGATATCATTGATGACTTCTCAGAGCCAGAAGATGGTGAGGACATGCCCCGTGAGGAGCTATGTCACATCTGCTATCAGAGGCGCCTTTCCATAATGCAATCCTCTCAGTACTCCATCTATAATGAGTACTACAAGGAAGAACTCGAGCGTGTCTACAAGACATGTGGTGGTTCGGGACCAACTGAGATTCTGCCTCCTGTCAAACCAAAGGAGAAAAAGCCAGAGTTTTGCCTGACTGGTGAATATTACACGACCAAGGAGGGTGACACCTGCGACTCTATCTCTAAAGCCGCAGGTGTTTCTGGCGCTCTTCTCTACATGGGCAATCAGGAAGCGATCCGCGATTGTCGTGAGGTTCCTGCGGACTTGAAGCTTTGCCTTCCTACAGCCTGCGAGACTTACTACGTGAAGCCCGGAGATACATGCTTTAGCATTGAAAGAACTTTGGGAATCCGCATGGACAGCATCTACAAGTACAACTCATGGGTGGACCGCGATTGCACCAATCTTCAGGTCGGCACTGAGTTCTACGGCAGATCCGTCTGTATTTCTCCTCAGGGCTCTAAGGACACCATTGCAGCAGTCTCGGAGGGGTCTACGATCAAGCACAAGTTCAGCAGTGGAAACGGGCCTGCAGTCTTGCGTACTGATCCTCCGAAAGAGGCCAAGGTCGCCGAAGGCACGACTCTGATGTGCGGTGAATGGCATATTGTTGGAAAGTCTGATACTTGCAATGGTATCTACAAGGATTATGGAATCGAAGATAAGCTGATGTACGCCATTAACCCCTCGTTGAATGGGAAGGACTGCGACAAGAGTTTGGTTCCTGGTACGGCTTTGTGCGTGGCACCTGTTTCTGGTTGGGATTCTTCTAAGTAATTAACACGATATGCTTGGACTCCTGAGGTGGCCATATGACAACTGATACATAGATAGATGAGATATATTTCTATGCTAATCGTAAACTTCTGTTATTCCTCGACATGTTTCTGTTTAGGTGACGTAACCATAAGCCTGGATATAATTGCGATGCAACCTTTTTTCGTCTTACCTGTTGAGACAATCATAACATCACTACAGACACGATAAGGAACGAAACTCGGATACTAATCCCCAGCGTATTGGCTTATTACTTTTGGTTCCTGAAAGCCAAGGACTGTGTAGGCCAAATCCGGAATACGAGGAAATCTCCGACGATTCCTGGTAGCCAGCCTCATTCACGGTGCGAGGACTGGGTATTTGGTGGAGACTAAACCCATGATAGAAATTACCGACAAAAGTTCTTTCGTTCTTCGGCTTTCAGGATAAAGCGAATTCACGCAAGACCTAGTCAACGGTGTAAACAACGGCTCAGATCGGGTCCAATGACAAGGAGGAGGCGGACCGAGGTTTACAACCGCACATACTCGAGTCAGAATCGCCTGTTGGAGACCCAGAAGTAATTTCAGTATGGGCGCGGAATTTACGCGAAGACCGAGATTCCTCGTTAAAGCCTAAACTCAGAATCTGATCACAGAGGGTCCAGTCAGTAGTGGGTCGTCACATGCAGCCCCTGCTTCATCTAACCCTGCATCAGCTGAAGGGACAACCAACAACCAACAGCATATCAAGCACCAACAGGTTTAACGAGAAAATTTTTCAGAAGCGGAGAATCTATCAAAAGTCCGACTAGCAAAATTACCACTGCCTCATTGACTTCACCAGGGAGAAAATCCCGCAACATACCGGGAAATGACATACCGACTGTTAGAGTTAGCCTGTAGAATTATGCTTATTTGGAGAACAAAAGTCCGGCAACGTTTAAGGTTCTTACAGTCATCCCGGTCACGTCAGTCAAACCGACCATTCACGCTCACCGCCTGACAAACCTTAGCATGCATGCTTGTAACGTTGTATACCAGGTATCGCGGATCTTGCCGAATGAGGCGGCGGCCAAAGTCGCATGCCGAATCTTGACCCCCATACAAGGCTGTTGGTCCATCATGCTAAGACGGCACATTCTATCCTACCCGTCTTGGCGTGACTGATGCCTTCGGAACCTCGGACTTTCATGACACGATCATGTCTACGGGTCCATGACCTGATCTGGAAAGTGGCAGGGTAAGATGAGCCCATCGTGATAGTAGTGACACCGTGAATAAATTAACATGACTATTGGGTTGTGAAGATATGATTCAGTAGCTCTAAGCCTCCTACACAGGTTTGAGCACCAGATTGTCCTTCTTCTACAGAATCCTTCATCTTACTGGTTTCACTATCAGCCATGCATCTTTCTTACTTGCTTATCCAAGGGCTGCTGGCGGTTTCTGCCGGAGCATCTCGCCACCGAAAAGTCCGCCGACAGAAAGGACCAACTGATCCAGGTATCCCTTCAGACTGCACCTATTGGGAGACTGTAGAGGCAGAAGATCAAGGTTGCACTTACCTTGAGGATCTCTGGGAGTTAGAACACGCTACGTTTGTTGAATACGTAAGAGTACCCCACGAATCCCTCAGTCAACTTTCGCTGACAGATCGCAGAACCCCAGCGTCAAGGACGACTGCAGTGGTATCCAACTCGGGCACTCGTACTGCGTTGAGGTCAACAATGGGTTTCCTCGTGACGATGATCCTCCCAAGGTGACAAGTACTAAGGATACCAAGCCAGAGCCCGAGCCTACGCGGGATACCAAGCCCAGTCCTACCCAAGATGGTCTCATTGACACTTGCACATCGTTCTACGAAGCCAAAAAAGGAGATACTTGCAACAAGATTATTGCTCAGTATAAGACTTTTGACTTTGATGACTTCTTCAAGTGGAATCCCGCGGTTGACAAAGACTGCAGTGGCATCTGGGCTAGCACTTGGTATTGCGTGGGAGTACCTGGAACGCCTACAAGCCCGCCAACCAAGACAATCGTGACTACAACCAAGCCAACAGGCGTTCCCAAGCCCACTCAAACCCAAGAAGGGCTTATTGAGAGCTGCACGGCATTCCATATGGCTGAGAAGGGCGACACCTGTGCCAAGATTGTCTCCAAGTTTGGCACCTTTGACTTCGACACTTTCTACAAGTGGAACCCTGCTGTCGGCAAAGACTGTAGTGGCATTTGGGCAAGTTACTACTACTGTGTTGCTGTTCCGGGTACTGCTACCGTCAAGCCCTCTGCTACTACCCCGAAGCCGACGGCGACTGGAGGAATTGAGACTCCCTCTCCCATTCAAGAAGGTTTGGTCAAGAACTGCAACAAGTTCCATCAGATCGCCTCGACCACAACTTGCTCCTCCATTGAGTCATACTACAAACTACCGCTCTCCCAGTTCCTCGCCTGGAACCCCGCTGTTGGCAAAGACTGCACTTCTCTGTGGAAAGGCTACTGGGTCTGCGTCAGCGTTGAAGGCTACAAGCCAGCCACTACAGCAACCGCCAAACCCACTACGACAAAGCCTGCGAATGGCATTGCAACGCCTTCACCAATCCAAGATGGCATGGTCAAGAACTGCGAGAAGTTCCATCAGATCAAGTCTACTACCACTTGCACCTCCATTGAGAACTATTACAACCTCCCACTCTCGACCTTCCTCTCGTGGAATCCCGCCGTCGGTAAGGACTGCAATTCTCTTCTCGTCAACTACTGGGTTTGCGTTGCGACTGTCGGCTGGAAGCCTCCAACCAAGACCACTACGAAAGCCGCAACAACAACGAAGAGTTCTTCCAACGGAGTCAAGACGCCTCCCCCTGTGCAGGCTGGCATGGTCAGCAACTGCAACAAGTTTCACATGGTTCAGAAGACTACAACTTGTGCTTCCATTCAAAATTACTACAAGATTTCTTTGGCAGACTTCGTCAAGTGGAATCCGGCTGTTGGCAAGGACTGCAAGGGGCTATGGGCTGACTACAACGTCTGCGTTGGGGTCATTGGTGGAACGCCGACGAAGCCAGGTAATGGAGTTGAGACGCCTTCGCCCATCCAGGCCGGATTGGTTAGCAATTGCAAGAAGTTTCACCAGGTCCAGTCTACAACAACCTGTGCGTCTATTCAGAAGTACTACAGTATTTCTCTTGCACAGCTGGTGAAATGGAATCCGGCAATTGGATCTAAATGCACAGCCCTCTGGGCCAAGTATTGGGTTTGTGTTGGTGTATGATCCAATCAGTATAGCTACACTCAGAATAGAGGAAGATGTAGCCATGATACATTCTTGAATGGATGCAATATGAATCGTAATGTGAAGTCCCTTCCGTGTAATATCCTCGTGGAGATACCACGAGACGTGGTTGGGCAGAATTGGCCATAAAAGAACCACCTCTCCCTTATGTGTCGATGTCGTGATTCATTGCCTAACACCTAGTGATCATCCATTTCCAGCAACTTTCGAGATACCAATAACCAGAATTCTGCCAGCCTGACTACAATGCCCACGGTCGTGGATATGATTGAGCTTGTATGGAGGCCTGAGAGATATCTGGCCCCTTCACATCGGGAGAATATTAGCAATGGTGCCAACACTGTCGGCCACCGTCTCAGGTGGGGGCTCGTCATGTTGCTGCCTAAAAAAGGGGGCGGCTTTCCTGGTCTTTATTTGCAACGTGTCAGCCTCTCTTCCTTTTCAATCCTGCCAGAACATCACCATAGTACCAGCAAAGTCTGAAAATGGCAGAACTGTCAGAAATTCTGGATCTATTATGGAATCCTCCCCGAAAAGCTGACCGCCATCCTGAGATGCCAAGACTTAACCCATCTAAGCCCGAGAATTTCCAATACTACAAAAACTGGGGGTTTGCGATTTATCGCACATATTATGGTCCCGAATCAGACCATCACTGGAATGTTCTTCTCCAGGCATTGAGGCAACAAACCCCGCTATCTATTGGGTATTACGAGAGTGAAGAGGCTGAAGACCTCTGGAAGAGGCACGCAAATGGGCGCCGCGGGTATTGGAAAATGAGGGCCAATTATTTAGCCTCACTAGACATATTCAAGAGCTTGTTTCGTCTATTTCCGCATCAGGATCCTTCTCATCTTGAGGGTCTCGACATCAATGGCATACGAGAGGTTTGTTGGAAACAACATCATGAGGCAAAGCAGAAGATGGCAGGGGCCAAGTTCTGTTTCGCACTGGTTGCTGACAAGGCGGTACTGGATGGCATCGCACGAAACGAATTTGTTGTAAAGGCAGTTGGCTACGACTGGGGTGGACAGATACAAGACGGTCGCTGGGGTTGGGTACGGCTGGAAACAGGCCGTTTGCTTGAACTTTGGGAAGCACTTCTGCTTGCCGACTTGCAATCTACCAACAAGTATTACTGGATGAAGTGCGATGGGCCAGAGAGCGATTTAGAGACCGACATCTGGACTGGAGACTGGTCCGTGCCTTGCTTAGACATTCACTCTGAAGTTCATACCAACTGAGATGACTTGGTTAAAGTTTGACTATTAATTGATAAAAGAAAGACCACTTTACAGCTCTTGTGTGATGTATGTACGATCCCTTGCTTGGTCGAATCTAAAAGGAAATGATCATGGCAATACTTTCTGTGGCAACGTCGCTGGTTAGATTGTCTTGAGAATAAGATTGATGCTGAAAGCTTATGATATCTGAGCGAGATATATCAAGCCAACACACTGAAAATACCCAATTAACTTCCTTTTTTTTTCATGTCTTGCGAATAAGATATTTAGTAATTATTTATGTGTTTTAGGTAAGTAAAATTCATTACTTGTGTAGAAATTAGCATTAGTAAATGTATTCTAGTGTCTATAAGGTTTTCTAGCTACTGTTGGTTACTGTAATGAATGCATCTTCGTATTTCGGAACATTTACTTGTCGGTTCTGTGTCCCAGCCGCCAGGCCATATGTACTCCTCTAGATCCTCTTCTGGGCCGTCGAAAAATAGCACCGCATGGTAATTATCGTCCTTCCCCATAAGCGAGTGCCAAAGCTCAAGCAGATAGCTTGTTGGTATTCTCATCCAGCCCCAATTATTCCAGCCTTCCTCCCAATCATACGAGACTGCCTTAACTACAAACTCGCCCCTTTCCATAGCTTGAAATACTGCTGTATCGGCAAGAAGAACGAAATTGAACCGACGCCCTGCCATAGCTTCTTGCTCCTCGGGTCTATCATGAAGGCATATTTCGCGGATCTCATGAACTCCAAGGCCGTCGAGCGATGGATCCTCACGAATATGAAGATGGAACAATTCTTTAATTCGTTTAATATCGTCCGAATATTCCTTTTGGCTTTTGTAGTACCAGGCTTTTGGTAAGAAATCAGCCCGTTGGTGCATCAGCTCATCTTCAAAGGGCATGTCTTGATCTCTACACCCCTTTTATCCGGCTCACTTTCGGTGAAAGTGGAAATTCGCGGACTTTCATTGGCTCACACCCCTATATATCCTCTTTTACTGAAAAAGTGATGGGGTTGTTGAGCTTCTAGCGGGCTTTTTAATTAAGAGTGGATAATATACCTTCTTATTAATTAGCCTTTTCCTCTATTATAACCTTTATAGCTAGACTTGCCTTTATAGCATAAAACAATACTACCTCCTGAAAGCCTTTATGCAAATCGATATTTTAACTGCGCGCGTTTCGCGCCTTATCTCGTACCTGCCAAGTGAGAAGTTCTTCTTCAAGGCTTCTAGAGCTCATTTCCATCAATGAACCTGAGGTAGTCGCCAAAGGTTACATATATAGGCTATAGATCTCTCGTAACATCCGTTTAGTATCACAATCTGCTCAAGAGTTATGTCGAAATGGTAGGCGTGAAGTGCGTATTTGCGATTAAAGGAGACGAGGGCCGAAGGGAACTGCAACAATGAGAAACTACCCGAGTCCTTCTTGTCTTGCTAGATATAACCCTAGAAGTGTCCTATCTTGTGTTGCCAATAAGAATCACATCAAGAAACATACTTATCAACAGCACTCACTATGGGGCTTCAAAGTCTGGTGTTACAAGATGGTCCATATTGAAGATGGTAGACCGCAAATCTGGACTAGATGCAATGACTAGTGCCTACAACCAAAGCCGTCTAATGGCTTGCTTGACATCTTGGAAGAATAAAAAGGCTGCAATTAAGCCACTGCACCATCCAACGATGTACTCCGAAACTCCCTAATTATGGACCATAATTGAAAGAGCCGACGAGAGATACAAATTAGAAACATTGAAGGAAGATGAAAGGCAGGCTATCTATACGGGGTGTCCTTCAAAGATCACCATAAGCAAGCTAGCACCGACCATCATCGCCCCCAAAAACGGCTGTACAAAAGTATTCATGCTTTTTGAACATGCTTGTCTTAAACCATTCCAAACATAATTGCTGCCTTACAGACAATTAGTTGCATTTCTTGCGAGTAACACCAGTACATACGCAATAAACCTGATATCTAGGCACCTACGGTAGAACAGTCATCATAATAGTAAAAGTGGCCGGTTGCAGTGCGAAGAGGAATTGTCTTCGCTTAGTGGGTATAATGGTACATCCAGCCTCACCTGAGAAGAAAGATGTCTCACAAAGTTAGCCGATTTATGTCTATGTAACGAGGAGGGCCCCTTTAGCAACCGTCATAGTAACAGGACATATGTAAGTGATGCTTGTTTTTGAGTCATATCATATCAATTATTCCTCATTGGCCTGAATTCAGATTTTGCTCCTTTTATATGTGTAGCCGTACTGGCGCTTTGCAGTAGATATTATTGGCATTCTTCTTCAGTACGAACTCACTCGTCTGCTGTCGTACCTCGTTAATAGCATCCTGTATCCCATCCGTACTTTCATGGTCAGTCTCACCTGCTTCAGCTGGGTCTGAATGAACGAGGCTGCATGGAGCACGCTGCTGAAAAGAGAAAAGGAAGAAATCGTTGACAGGGGTTGAAGCTCAGTAGATAAGGCGTTCTTTGCTTGATCAACCAAGGCGAGCGTTAACCTCACTCCGCATGTCCGTTCTCCTCGCCAATACTCCAAGTTCATCCTTAAGATTACAGGAATTCCATGTTATTTCCTAAATAATCTGGTAATTTTGACAATAAGGTAGAACTTGCTTGCTAGTCCGCATGCGCATTGCTGTGACGCTGCTACTCTGATCCGGAAGAGGTACCCGTTCAGTCTGGCCATGCCTGTCCTAAGCTGTGCCAGCACGCTGGCTTCTCTGGACTCTACTACAGTCGATGAGAGCATTGGTTACGAGGGCGCAATATGTTGACCCCGCAACCCCATTTTGGTGAAGGATTTGACTCAAATCGCCTGCGAATAATACCCAGGGGTAGTTGACCCGAGTTGAAAGTCAAACAAAACCTTGTGCAGCCTACTAATAAATATGAGACTTTACAGACAGCGAGCCGGACAGCGAGTCAAACAGTCGGACAGTCGGACAACGAGCCGGACAACGAGCCGGACAGCGAGTCGGACAGCGAGTCGGACAGCGAGTCAAACAGCGAGTCAAACAGTCGGACACTCGGACAGCGAGCCGGATTAGGCTAAGTCTAACTACTCAACCAAACCAAATTGGTCTAGGTTGCAACATTAGCGTTCAGCATGTGTTAATTCGGTAGTTCTGGCCCCTGCGCCCGTCACATTACTCGTGAATTTTACCGAACTGAAGACATGGTTTGTTTTTATCGTGTTGTATAATGGTAACTGTAGCGAACTGGGTTCTGAGCGGCAGAACAGTCGACTGACTAAGGATCTCAAACTTACGGAAAGAAAAAAGAACATAGCAAAAGTGGCAGAAGCTGCAGATGAAGCTCTGCAGCTTGGGCCAACAAAATAGAGTCCGAGCTTAACCCAGCAATTACGAGAAGTTCCACCAAACTCACCAAACCTGACTTAACGACCTAGGGACCTAGATCGTTACAGTAACGACCGGAATTGAACCTGACTTCCCTTGCGGTAGCGACTGTGACTGACATGCTGTATAGGAGATCGAAACTTTCTGCCTATCGGCTCGTACAATGAGTAGTCGGTGGATGGCTCTCGACTTGCTGTCGGCGCCGCCCATGTCCGCAGAGTGCGAGCGTTTGTTTAGTGTTGCTGGGCAAATGGTCTCACCGCAGCGGACACGACTGGAAGCCAGCACGATAGGGATAACACAGACACTAATGTCGTGGGTGCGGAATGGCCTAATCGACGCGGTGGACACGTTGATTGACGTGTCAGGAGCGGTTGGGAACAGCATTATATGGGGGGCAGAGGAAGATGGCTAAGACGCTGGGGAGTAAGCGTTGGGGATCTCGGCGCGGGTATGCGGTTCAACCTCTTCAATTCAACACCATCAATTCCATTTGGAGATGCGGTGGTTCAACTCCACGGGCCAAATGCTGAGTAAGCTATCAACACAACGCCGCGCAAAGGCGAAATTAATGGAATTGAATTGATGACCAGCCTGCGAACAACATCTCTGCATTAATAGTGATCTATGACTAAATCTCGGCGGAGCATAGCAACACACATATTCTACTTGACCTCGTCACATCCTAAGTAACATCTCAATGTGCGTCTTTTCTATACGAGAAAGAAAAGAAAGCGTAGTTCTGTGGTATCGTAAGCACAAACGCTGACAGCCAAACATCAACCCTCAATTTTTGGTAGTTATCCATCTAAAAAGTTTTCCCGAGCGAGTGAATCCCTCCAAGAACCGTCCATGCTGATACACCCGTCGAGACAAAAATGAATCGAAACCTCTTCCCCCCGGTGTCGGGGCTTAGAGAGCTTGGCCCACGGTCTGGCGCCCAAGGACTCCGTCACTCTCGGAGCGAGAGTGCCTCAGGGGAGGATATCCCCCGGCTGCTGTGCTATATCGGGTAACTCTGTTTGGCACCGGAGGCCATTCCTCAGTCATGCTGACCCCGCTCGTGTATTGAAGCTCTCACTGCGGGAGTGTGTTGTCGTGCGCTTTGGCATGCTGTGGAAGGAACTGGCGGCGGTGTAGCGCGACACGGAATAAATGTTGCTCGCGCTAGGAACATGTCGACCATCGAGCTCCAGATCAAAGGGGTTGGAGTGGATGCTGTCGCGCCATGCTTGTTTCATGGGCGGCGCAAGGTCCGCTTTTCCAGGCGCCTGGGGAGTGAGGTTGCGATACATGGACGGGCCCCGAGATTCCTGAACATCAGCCACATAGGTCGTGGGAGTGAGCCGGACAGCACCTTGTGATGTAATCGAGTCCGAGTCAGCGAACGGGTCGTCGGATCGCGGCGGTCGTGGAGGCCGCTGTTGTCGACCGGGAGCCAAAGGAGGAGGAACGAGCGAGCCTTGAGACATGTTGTTGCCATCTGAATAGGGGATGCCTCGGGGCATGGGTATCGCATTAGCATCAGAAAGGGGGTTTGGGCTGGACGATCGTGTCGTCTCCCGCCCCTTTTCCGCCATGTCCTGGGTGGAAGGCTGCTCGGCGCTCGATTCTGGAATGAGTCGTGACCACCATCCCTGCACCACCTCGGGCGACGAGCTCGCCCGGTTGTGGTACTGTCCCATAGATGGACGGCTATGGGGTGGAGTAGATTCGAGGAACTGCGAGTTTCCTCGGTTCATGTTGACATGGGGTGAGCCGCTGGTTGATAGTCGGAGCGCTCGACCGAACTTATTAGCATTAACGGTCACAGCAGCCGCCACCTTAGTGGAACGAGGAGTCGGACCTAGTGAGTGGTTATTAGTCTCATATGTCTCACCGTCACTGCTGCTAGGTCCGCTCGGTGGCAGAGGCAGGCCAAGGGGAGTCAGGAGTGTGCTTCTGCGTTTCCGTGAAGAGCGTCTCTTCACGAACCACAAAAGAAACACTAGCATTGACAGTCCCATAAAGGAGCCGATAATGCTTCCCACAATGACTGGTGTCGATTTGGTTTCGTTGGATTCCTGGCTGATAATGCCAGCACCATCGTCAGTCTCCGAAGCCTTGTCGGACCCAGCAGTGGCATCAAGCCCGACGGTGGTGATAAGACCGCCAGGTAGGGTTGACGTTGTCAAAGATGGTCGAGGATCAGTGATGCCCGTCTCATTGTCATCGGGAACGATGCCATCGGAAGCTTGAGTAGACTCGGGAGCAGAAGCGGCAGTCGTGGCTCCCGATCTAGTCTGGCGTGTTGTCGACGAAATACCAGCCGGACCAGTCCAAGTCAGTGATGCGCTGTCAAATAGGAGAACTTCGGACGTAGGATACTGTGCGTCCTCCGTATTCCGTCCATCCTCCAGCCGAGCCTCGTCCGGTGTTTCCAGAGGAGCCTCTTGAGTCGTCGGCTGGGCAGCTGTTTCCGTAGGCGCTGTCGTCTCGTTTGCGTCGCTCGTCTCCGGCAAAATATCCTCTTCAGCCGCGCTGGTAGGAAATTGCTGGCCGTCGCTTAGGAGTAGCGATGGATTGATCGCGGACGTAGAGTTCGATATCGCTGTCGAAGCAAAAGGTATCGTGGCGCTCGTGGCGCTCGTGGAAGTGTTGAGTGGAACATGATATGTAACCTCAACAGTTGTTGTCTTGGGGACAGCAACGGTGTGAGTGTCCATCACGGTTTCAGTAATAACTACCGGGTTTCTCTCGACAAGTGAGACCGAATGGGCGGCGTCGATTTCTCGTGGTATGCCAGCATACTGCCTTCCAAAAATGAAGTTGAACCAAGCCCCAGCCCGGAGGCCTAACATGTCGACCAGAAAGATTCGCGATGCCAGTCGCAGAGAGGGAGACTAATGGGCCAGTCGCCTAGCCCGGCACTGAATGAAGGTGGACGATACGACAAGCAGGAATTCACATAGGGTCTCGCTGGCCACCTAGCCCCTGTCGATATTCATGAAGATGGATGAGTCAGTCACCTTGTGAGTTTGCAATTCGAAGAATACGGCGTTTAAAGCGTGAGAGCCGCAGAAAGGAAAGACAGTAAGTGAAAAGATGATGAAAGAGAGAAAGGGAGGGAAAACAAAGCTACAAGGAGAGACAGAGAGAGAAACACACACAAAAAGGGAGAGACAGACAGAAAGAGAGGAAGAGAGAGTGAAACGACGATGAGGATGACTATGAGGGGGGATGGAACCCTAAACTAGAGCAACAGCCCGAAGGGGGGGCTATGCCACTCTAGTATTTTGCTTGACTCCAGAATAGAACGGGATTGGGCGAGAAGCCGGGACGAAAGCGAGGGAAGAAAAGCTCAGTTTGAGGCATGGAGCAGGGGCAAGCAAGGGAGTTTGACAGAGAAGCAAGGGTTATGAAATTTGTTGAAAAAACGGGTACCTGGGTGTTACAGTATCTTGTCGGGCCTATAAAGAGATTAGTAAACAGTACATAATCAGTTCAGACGAAGTTTCACAGACTCACTATCCCAAAACAAAAGCATATAATCCCTGTCTCATTAATGCTGTTTGCCATTAAACTATCTTTTGTTTGTCGTGACCAGTGATGGGTCGCGAGAGCCATATTTTTCATAGAACGAACAAGGACTCTTGGGAATCTTGTGGCAAGATATTAGGCGCTTGGTGAAAACCCTAGGCATATGGCATCAGATGCTGGGCGGCTAGGACTGCCTTAAAAGATCTTATTAGTACAGAGCTACTTTTTATCCTTGGACAGGCAGGTTTAATAACTATAATTCAGTCAAGGTAAAGCAAACGTGGGATTAAGTTGCAGCCTGATCTTTTGGTTTAGTTTACAATGCGTTGAGCTAGCCTTTAGTCATGTGCTACGAGCTTCCGCTATTCACTAACCGTAGGCGTTATGAATTGCTTTGGATTAACGACGGTGGGCTTCTGGATGCGGAGCAATACTGGATCCAGAGCGAATGGAAGATGAGAGGGCGTAGAAAAATTGTGACAATCTCATATGATTATAGATAGACAGAATCTCTCTTGGCTACTCTACCGTTATCATCGGACAACTAAGAAAACTGGCTGGCTGGCATTGTGCTGTCACTGGACTACAATACGATGAAAGATTACTTCCTACAGATTGAGTCGTTTGCTATCCTGTCGTCAAGGCGAGAAGGCTGTTGTAACGTCTCGGGAATAGGTCACGCTGCTCAGACAGCAAGCTTCCGCAAGTTTGAAATATTGGTTGTTCATCACAATTTCACAGGAACGTCTAGGCCAAAATTGAGAAATGTATTCTTTAGTTCGATATAATGATGTAGACGTGACTTTGGTTATTCGCGTTGTTCAAGCCAGGTAGCGTCTACGCGACACAGTTACCAGGCACAGCAATCTTGCGCATAACGGTAGGCTTGAAAACTGTACCAGAGGGGAGAGCCTCCAGAACTTTCTTAAATTCGTCCAACTCCAGTCCTTTCCTCAAATCTTCGTTGGTCTCCCATACGGCGTAATTCACGAGAAAGTGCCCGTCGAGGGATCGATGCAATTGGGTAGAGATGTAGCCTGGTTGCTTCTTGAGAACATCGCCGCTCTTTCGCCATGTATCGAGAAAGTGGTCGTAGTCGGCGCCATCGGGGATAGATATGATATTCATGAGAACGACAGGGCCGACAGGTGGGGATTGAGCGAGCTGCTCAGCAAAAGTGATGCGCGAGTCCAGCTGTTGATGGCTGACAGTCGGGGCCAAAGAGACAGGTGCCATTTTGATGGAATTGTCGAGATAAGTATAGGTCGTTGTGAGAAAAGACGAGCTTGTACGGTTGTCAAGGTTTGGGTATGCACCGAGTAGCACGATTATATCTTAATTTTGCATATCCTTACGGTAATGACAATGTGACTCTTGACCTTCTGATAATGACATATTGCCTATTTACGAACAGCTGACAAATGAATAGCTGACAAATAACTGACCGGACAATTCGGACTATCTGGACTATTTAGAAAGTCCGATTAGCCCTATCAGTTATGTAAACGTGGATAGGTGCAACCCACGTTTTATTTGTATGGGAGTTTAGTGTAGCACTAATATATTAGGGGTCAGCCCATATTTTTTTTCGAGGTTAGCCTAGTCCGACATACCAAAATCAATTATAGTAGAATTTATTTATTTTACCCCGCATTACAGGGGGTAGACTTGATTTTTGACCGGGGGTAGAACTGATTCATCACGTCATGACGCTTAATCCTATGACAGAGCCTGGTTCTTCTAATCCTATATAAGTCAGACTACCTATTTACGGATCAGGGGCTTAGCTAACCGCCCCACTTACCTTACACAGCAACCAAAATCCTTATTTAACTTTACTTAATATATATAATAAGTATGTGCACTAATAATTCTAACCCTCCTTAATTGAAATTACCAGAAAAGCATAATAAACCGTGAAATTAATTAAAATTAATTGCTAAACTCTTCTTTAGATATTATAATAATTATTTAATATATTCTTGCATTATGTCCTGTCTTTCCGCATCCTCCACGGCGCCTTTCCCTTTGGTTGTGCTAACCCTCCTTAACCTCTACTTGTTGATAATGTGCCCTCTACCTGCCTATCTATATTTATATAATTAATTACCTCCCTTGCTTCCCTTACTATTAGCACTCCTACTAACTATTTCACATTTATATAAGGGGCTATATATTTAAAAAATATATATAAAATAAAATAGCATTATTAAACTATAGGAGGTAATATTAATTAAAAATAAGGGGGGTAATATATAAAGAAACCTACTAAGTAAAATAGCCTAAAGTAATATATATTAAAAGGTAATATTTAGGTATATATTTTTCTAAAGTATAAATTAATACTAACTTATATTATAGTATTATAATAAGTTTAAAGTTTAGTAATTTTTTTTAATATAATTATTAAGATTAAGATTATATTATATAATTAGCTAGGCTATATAAATTATATATTTTAATATATTAAATTACAGAGAGATAAGTAGTTATTTAAGATAAGAAATAATATAAAAATATTAATTTATAGTAAAAGTTATTAATTTAAGTTATAATATATTAAAAGAAGATTAATTAATATAATTAGGGGATTTAATATATTTAAATCTAATTAGATTTATATTATATTATAAGGGTATTATTTAATATATTTAGCAGGGAATATAAAAAAGTATAATGTAAGGGTAATTCTATTAGCTAAGTAAAAACTAATTTATTAGTCTAATAAGTTAAATATAACCTGCATTCTAATTATTATCCTAATATATAATAGAATATTATAAATAAAGGCCTAGTAATAAGAAGGAAGGCTAAGATTAAATTATTATAACCCTAGCAGTTATATTACATATACCCTATAAAATCTTATATAAGGCATTAGCCCCTTAATAATTATAAGCTAATTAGAAATAGATTACCTTATAAATAGGATTATAATACTCTAGGAACTATTATAATCTAGGATTACTATAATTTAACTGCCTTAGTAATCCTTATAAATTACTTTTAATATATAAATTATATTTATTAGCACTTTTATAGACTTAGCTTACTAGCTATTAATAAGACTTCTTTATATTAATAAGCTTAATATATATTACTTAATTATTAAGAGATATAATACTTTATATTACTTAGTATTATATCTTATATTATTTACTAATATAAACTTAAAATAAATTAGTTTATCTCTTAAAAATTATAATTATTATATATTAATAGCTCTTATTTAAATTATATTATATAATACTAAGTAATACTAATATAATAGTACTTATTATTTTAAGTTAGTTTTTTAACTTAAGATATACTTAGTAGTACTTATAGTAAAAAATGCCTTATAACTTAGAGGATATTTTTATAAAAGTTAATAAAGAAAATAAAGAAGATATTACCTCTGCTTACCTAAGTACTTATAAAGGGGAAATTATAAAACTTAAATATAAGCTTAAATAACTTAGCTAGTAGTATAATAACCTCCTAGAAAATGTAAAAAATAATTTTAATATAACTAAAAATAAAATTAAAGCTTTAAAGAAAAAGGTAATTAATCTTATTAAGATTTTTAAAGTACTTAAAACAAATATAAAAAATAGCTAAAAACTTTATAAGGAATATATTAAATATATTATAGCCCTTATTATTATTAGAAAAAACCCTAAAAACTATTAAGAGATAATTAAATAGTAATTATCTAATAAGTTAGGTTATCTTACTTAGATTTTAAACTTAAATTAGTTAGGCTTAGGCCAAGTTACTAATTGGCTTAAAATAACCCTAACCCTACACTTAGGGTTAGCTAGTATAAGCTTGGGGTTAGTATAATATAAAGGAAAGGGGACTATAATTAATAAAGAAAAAGAATAAGACTGCTTTTCTTTTTACTTTCTATAATTAAGATTAAAAAGGCAATATTAAATAATAATAGAGGATATTATATAGCTTAATTAGGATTATTAAATACTTATCTGCTAGCTATATTAAGTAGCCGTTTAGCCTAGCAGTAATATTAAGTTACATTTTCGATAGCAGTATTAGCTTCAGGGATAAGTACTTAAGGATATTATAAACTACTATAGTAAACTAAAACTAGCTAACCTAAAGCGTATTATAATACTAGAAGATAACGGCCTAGTAATTAAAGAGCTTATTATTTTAGGTAGATATAGCTATTATATATACTAATATCTTACTATTATATATAATAATATTATTTATTATTAGAGAGAGGCAGGGTATAATATAATAGAGAAACTATAAACTAAGGTATAGCTATAAATATAGATAAGAGGAAGGCATATATATTACTAAATTATTTAAAATAATAGTAATAAGAATGGCCTATTAGATATAGCTAATAAAGCTAATACTAGAAATTAAAGTACTATAAATAAGGTTATTACTATAAGTCTGGCTTAATTAAAGGAAGAAGATATAATATAACTATAAAAGGGTGACTTAGAAGAAGATATTAACTGTAATTTACTATAGGTTAAGAGGCTAGGCTAGGTATAGCATTTTAGCTTCTAGGACTTAGTTAGTATTTATAATATAGCCTAGTGGCTATAGGTAAGGGCAGTAATGGGCAGGTAGGCTAAAAAGTAAGAAGATAAGGAAGTAGCCTGTAAATAACTATTATTAGGCCGGCTTAAATAGAGCTTTAATTATAAGGTAAAATATTATTATTAGTAACTTAATAATATGCTAATAAGGATATTATAGTAGCTTAATAATATTATATTAATAACCCTAAGATTATTATTTATATTAACAGCCTGCTAATAATTAAATTTATATAGGAAATTTCATAGCGCTAGTAAGACATAGGTATTATAATAATTAAAATAAGCAGGTATTAATAATTAGCATTTTAGGCATTATAATAATTATAGTAAGTTTAAAATAGGTAAGAATATAAAAGAAATACTTATAAATTAATTAATATTAATATTAGTATATAAATTTGCAATATTAGTAGCTATATAGTAAATTTACTTTAAGGTTATTTTTTTATATAGTTATTAGGCAATAGGGTTTATAAATATAGATTAGTCTGCTATGGCTAACTAAAGCGCATTCTTAACTTATAAAGTTTAGTAATAGCTATAGCTATATATTTTATTATATTTAGGTTATATTTAGCTTAAACTGCCAATATAAAATAAAGAGGTTTAAGGAAGGTATTAATACTATATAATAGCTTATAATATATAAAGGTTAAGTTAAAACTTTAATCTTATTAAATTTATTTATAATAAAGTACTTTATATATAAGTTAGAACTCTAGCTTCTCTACTGCTATATATACCAGATTATAGTTATATAGAAATAAGTAAAGCTATATCTTTATAGTGCTCTGCATAGTCTTAATATTTAGGAGATTAGGCTTATGTAAGAGTAAGTATCTAAGTATAATATCTTTAAGGGTTAGCTAGAGGCCTATATTAATCTATTACCTAGGCCTAATAATATACTGCTAATTGCAGCTTTAGGTCTGCTAGGTATAGGAGGTATTTAATATAAGTTTATCTTAGAGTAAAGCATATTATCTTAGTTAGATTGCCTATATATAGGTATAGAGTTAAGGCAGATTTAAAAACATCTTAAGGTTAAGTATAATTAGGATATAGAACTTAAAGGTAGATATTACCTAGCTGCTATAATAGATAAAGAAAGGAATAATAGTCTATAGAGAACAGGAGTCTGTTATTAATAATTATTCTTTAGTAAGCCAGGAAGCAAGTTATTTAAGGTAATAAGAGGACTAAATCTTAAATAATTAAGGGCCTAAGATAATGAGTTATAAGCCGTACTTTAGAGAGCTATTAATGCATTTTAGAGTAAAGGTAAAGATATTTAAAGTTAAAAAGTAGAGTATATTAATAAGGAGAATAACTTTATTGCGCTAAACCTATAGCTTTATTAGCTTAGTTCTGCTATTTACTTAAAGGATTTTAGTAAGAAAAAGGACTTTTTAAGGGGCTTAATTACTATAAAGTATAAAGTAAATTTAAATAATCTAAATAAGTTAGATAATACTTAATTATAGTTTATATATATTATATTTAATTAGCTAGTTAATAATACTAAGGCTGTTATTATATTAGGTATTATATCTTAAAATGCTTTATTTAAGGTTAATTATAAAGAATTGCTAAAAGAGAGGATAAAGCTATTCTATTTCTGCTTTAAGCCTAAAATATAAAGGAGGTATATACTTATAGTTAAGCAGCTACTTGCTTATATTATCTAATATATATCTTTTAAGGATATATTAAATAGATTACTATTTAAGCTTAATATATAGTAATAGAGTGCTTATAATGTTATAATAAAATATATAAATAACTTAACTAATATTTAGAAAGAAAATAAAAGTAATTTAGA